ACGAAGATCCTGGAGGTGTTGAATGAATGTAGCCCGGGTTTCTGGATCTCTGATCGCTTCTTCTCGAGGGATATCTGGTCGACGGCGGCTCCTCCGGCCGGTTTGGAGCTCTTCGTTGTTGATGGACGAGCGGTGAATCTGGATCGGATCGCTTTCCAGATCCAAGGTTGGGTTCTCGACAATATGCTCCCTCACTACAGGACCAAGAACATCGCGCAGGAATTTTCGGTCACGGGGTGACTTCATATAGGAGGCGAAAAGCTTGTTCCAGAAAGAGTTGCATCGCAAGTACTCATGGAGGGAATTGAAGCTCTCGATTTCTTCGCGGGCCGATCGCGCAAGCAGTTTGACGAGATAGTACTCCTCACGTCTCTTTTGGGAGTAACCAAAGAGTCCCATCATCAAATGCCTGATCCTCTCATATTCTTTCTCTGGTGTGTTCACCTCACGCAGCCGTCGGAACAGGCGCGCAAGATATTGCGATTGGGTCTGAAGGAGAAAGAAAAGCACCTGGTAATGCTCGAGCTTCTTTCTTGAGGCTTTGTTCAAAGCCTTGAGATCGAACGGGTCTGTTGACGAAATTTCTGTGTTCGGCAACAAGCTTCCGATGTGGCCTCCGAAGTGTTTCTGGTGCTTGACGACTTCATCCAGTGTGATCTTGTTCTTCACCAGGAGAGCGATCTTGATGTCGAGTTGACTGATGTATTGTTCAGCAAGTTCGTTCTGCCGAACCTGTTGCACGACCACCTTCCGCAGCCGCTCAAACTCAATTTCCTCGTCAAAATCAAAGTCGCTGTCATTTAGAAGGTGGACAAAGCCCTTCACCGTTCCAACAGGAGGGTTCTTTCCGCTGGTAAGGCTCTTGTACGCTTGACCTTGGATACGTCCTCGCACGACGCTCTGCGCTTTAACGACCTTCTCCATATTGGTCCGGTAATAGCGACGCTGTTCTTCAAATCGTGACCGGACCATGTGACCCCGCAGACGTGCTTGCATGTCGATAATAATATCCTCATCAGCCTCAAGATCAGATAACATCTGACCAACTTCCAAGCGAACCAACATGGCTCTTGTCAGTGCCTGCAGGTTGGTGATCTCATCCTCAGAATCTTCAAGTTGCTCGAGGATCCCGCCAACTTCGATTCTCAAAAGAGCCGCCCGAGAGAGGGCCTGAAGGTTCACAATCATATGCTCCTCCTCGCGAAGTTCGTCGTCGTCATCCTCCAATCGCTTCCGAAGCAGAGCCCCACGAATAAATGATTGAAGTTCCAGGATGGGCTCATTTTCTGACTTCAACGCCTCTTGCTGAGAATCCAGGAACTGCCTGACGGCCATGGCCCGGGAGAAACTCTGGAGCTGGACAACAGAAGCTGTGTGCTGTGCCAAGGTGTCCCGAAGAGAGTCAAAGTTCTCTCTGATAGCGGCACCGCGTACCATGGCCTGCAGGGCTACGCATTGCTCCTCGGTCTTGTGGAGCGCCTCCGCCAGATGAGACTGGTGATTTCTAACAGCGAGAGCTCGTGCGCCGGCCTGAATGGAGACGATAGAAGGAATCTCCTGGTCGAGTCGGGCCTTCGTGTGCGCCACGGATCGCCGAGTCATCATTCCTCGGATAACCGCCTGGAGCGGAACGGCAACCTCTTGGAAGCTCTCAATCGCAGCATGCTGAGCACCGACTTGATCACGCTGCAGGACGCCTCGAATAATAGCTTGCAGCGAGATAACATCACTTTCTGCGTCGCGGAGAGCCTCGTATTTGATCGAAGCGTGGTTTCGGTGCAAGGCACCTCTGATAATGGCCTGCAACGCAGTGATATCTTTCTCGGCACCTCGTGTGGCTTCATAATCGTTGGAGACGTGGTTCCGTAGCAATGCTGCGCGAATAGCAGCCTGCAGCAGCGTGACGTTCGGTTCCTCGTCTCGGGTGTCATCGTAGACGTCGCAGACGTACTTGCGCTGAAGAGCTCCCCTCAGCGCCGCTTGGATTTGCTTAATTCCTGGCATTTCCTTTTGCATATCAGTCTGGATGTGTTTCACTTCAGCCCGAGCCTTGGCTGCACGTATGAGAGACTGCAACTGCAGAATATCCTGTCCCTGGGCTTCCCAGGTATCCTTGTCATCTTGTTGGTGAGAGCGAACGAGAAATCCTCGGCAGGCTGCTTGCAGACCGATGGCGAAGTTTCGCATATCAAGTCTGTAGTGAACAATTTGGCGGGACCAGTCACCACGCAATCTCGCTTGCAGATCGACGAGCAAGGGCTCGAAGTCCCACAAGTCATTCATCACGTTGCCGAGCATGAGTCGACACATTGCACCTCGGATCTGGCCTTGAAAGTCACTGATCGCGGTCTCACTCTCACCCAGTTCCCGTTGGATGCGTTCCTCTTCTGATTCCTCGGGCTCCGGTTCAGGTTCAGGTTCTGCGCCAAAGTTTGCGGCCATTCCCGCGAAGCTAGGCATGCTAACGCCCGATTTGTCAAGACCCTTCTGTGTTTGCTCGAGTTCATGGTGTTCGAACTCTAGTTGACCGACAAGATTGTCCATACGGAAGTCGAGCATACCATGTTTGAACAGTAGCCACGACAGCGCATGGATGCAGTGGATGACCTTGGGGATGTTTTTTTTCTCGTAGAGGTCGATCAGCTCAAATCGGAACAGCTCTGGCAATTCAATCTCATCAAGGAGACGGAAAAATAGCGCGATATTATCTGAATGACGATACTGCAATCTCGGGTGTCTGAAAATTCGCAATGGCCGATCTGGGTACATCGCTTGGACGATTTCCGCCAGCGTGACACCATCCCGCAGGGCTTCCTCCAATTGGACGATAGGTGGGATCTGCTTCTGAATGACCTCTTCAATCCATTCTTTGGCTTCTCCAATATGGCATAGGTACTCGTATGCCTGAATAAACTGTCGTTGCTTGTCCATCCAATTGCCAGCGGTCCATGCTGATGTATTCTTTTTGCGAGCTGCAAGTGCGGTGGATGTTGGGGCAACGGAATCAGCGCGCTTCAAGCGTCGCCTCCCATGCAAGCCAACCACTGATGCTGTGGAGCTCCCAAGTGCCAATTCCTCGCTTTCCCCGGTTTTCGCAAACTTGGACAGTGTCCGTAGATGGCCAGTCGATGATTTCTGGAACGTCTCAAGGTCTGGCGCAGTCAATGTCGTTGTGATCGGAGCCGGGTTCGATAGACTGTGACCATGGTGCGCTTTCAAATGGGATGGTCGGTTTTGCGGCACGAGGGCCTGAGGAGACCAGGGACGTGGTAAGTCTGCGTGTGGAGGTGGCTGGGGAGCAAGCAATTCCTTTCCCTCAGGAGGCACGTTTTCCTGGCGGTTGATGTCACCGCAGTCTGGGGCTACGGGCCGGTTCTCCTTCCAATGCTTTGTATCGTCGACGGTATAACTTCGCGCGTGTCGAGACACATTATCCTTCTTAGGAACAGCCGAGACATTGGGCACCTGAGGCAGTGGTCGCAACGAACGACGGATATTCTCATATGTGGCTCCGGCATTGGCCCGACGGGCCTGGTAAGAACCATCGCTAGCCATCATGGTCCCGGTGGCCACAGTGTTGTTGACCTCACTCTTGCCTCGTCGATGACCAATGCTAGGATGCGAGCCTATCGAAGCACTGGAGGAAACGGTACTTGTGCGACTCGGGACAAACGAATTGGACGACAGGGAATAGGTGGACGAGGAAGTAGAAGCATCGGAGCCATGTCGGGCCGGACCGGGGGCATGGGGAGGGAGGTCCGTCTGGGTTCGTTTGAGGGAGAACGAATTGGAGGACATCGCTGATTATTGGCACCGTTCCGTGGTAAACAAGAATGCGACAGCCGAAGGAGATTGTTGGCAGGTCTCGTTTTCAATTGGCCGCATACCTGCTTCCCAACCGAAGAAGCAGCACGGTTGCACGGAAAATGCTGCCGGTTGTTGTTGCTGTTGCAGGTGGTGTTTGTTGGTCCGGATTGTTTTTCTTCGATGGAATGTGGTTGCTGGACGGGATCAAGGGCGAGATCTCATTGCCTATAGGGCAGAAATCGGGTTGATATAGAAACGGTCAAACAAGAGGGGTTATCAGATTCCGTCCTGTTCAAAATATCCCACACTGGTTCCTGAGTATCTGACCCAGAGTGGATGTGAGGGATCTCAGCGGAAAATAAAAAGGACGACTGAAAGTGAAGCAGGAAAGACGACTATCGATCGAGAAACGTGACTTGCAGCCCGTGCCTGGCGGGGGGGAAGAAGGGTCGTCGTTGCCCAGGAAAACAAATCTCCCAATCAGGTTTAGCTCTCATGTCAGGTGACGCCACAGTGGCTGCTTATCTCATCAGCCTCTTCATTTCGTATTAATATTCCACAAAAATAGCATTGTTACTCTGTCTTTAGCATTCTACAGAGTTCACTGTGTCAATTAGATATATGCGTACTCATGCACTACAAAGTATTTCCATCGTCTATCTGCTAGCACTTGGTGGCGGTTTTAGCCTGGCTGAACTCAGATCCGCTCCACTCTCTATTGCCGATTCACGTGCCCAACCCGGTTATTTAGCAGATCGAGCTTAGGCAGGAAAAGAAACAATATAAACACAGACTTGTTTACCGCTGGTGATCACCTGAGCTCCTGGCGATCGAGCTACCGGAGTATTCTGTACGAGTAATCAGTCGTAGGTGGCGCTATTTATCTGCTAAATGTATGCCATACCGCTATAAAACAGCACGTCCACTGCATCTCATACGAACAAACCACCATATAAACAAATACTACACTACACACGGCGTACAAAGCATTCCGGAAACACCCCGGCCTCTTCCATCACGATTAGGGCTGGTTAGATCCCCAGCGGTGGAACCCCACCCGCCAAAAATAGTCCGTCGCTCCGGTTGTGGCATCATCGACCTATGTAACAGGTCTGTCTTTCCTTAACTCCGTACACTTCCAACTATTACTTTCACCATAAAACAAAGCATATTAGACAGAAACAAAGAACAAAATGACCGATACAGAACCCCTCTACCTCTACAAACTCGTCCCATCCTCCACTCCTGTCCGCGAACCGCTCCTCGAAAGACTCGAGGTCAGCGAAATTGACCAGAAATCCGGTTTCATCCATTTATCGACGGCCTTTCAAGTACCGGGTACTCTCAATACCTTCTTCCATGATGAGCCGCTGGTTTATGTTTTGCGAATTCCATATGGGTCTGTAGAGCAGGATGTCCGGTGGGAGTCTCCGGAGGGTAAGGTTGCTCCTCGGCCTGGTGAGGGTATGTTTCCGGTATGTATTACATCGTGCATGAATAGCTTAATCTATTCTGGTGGGAATGCTAATGCAATAACAGCATCTCTATAATGGGCTCAAGCTTGGCAGAGATGAGGTGGAAAGTGTTGCGATTTGGACGAACCAAGGCGGGTGGGAGACAGCGCTTACGCAAGCTAGGCCATGGTTGTTATACTAAAGCATGTTTGAGCATGTTCATTGCTTGACGTCTTGTACATTATGTTACTTCGTGTTTCTACATGACTGACATCATTATAGCTGCATCTAGACACAAGAGATTCATGATTTATTATAAATTATTACAGGTGTTCATTTGATTAATCTCAGCCAAACACTTGTTTTCCATATGCATATAATTATCTGTGGCGCTTCTCTAATCGCCCAATGGGTAACAGTGCAATACTTGTCCGTCTGTAGAAAAACGTTAGCGAGCTACTCCGCCAAAGAAAAAGCAAACTCACAATAAAATGACGAATCTGGACTAGCCAAGAAGACAAAGCTTGTAGCCACTTCACTCGGCTCTCCAGGACGTCCGAGGGAGGCCTTCGAGCCCCATCCACTCATCTGTTCAGAGCTCCGAGTATCGACCTGAATGGGGGTATATATGGCACCGGGGCTATTGAAAGTGTTAGACTGCGCTACTATATGTAGTGGTGACTGTATACTTACGCGACAGCATTCACGCGAATTCCTTTTGGAACCAGCTGGAGCGCAAGTGACCTGGTAAAGCCAACGATGGCGCCTTTAGACGAAGCATAGTCGACCATACTGCTGGACCCTCGGAAGGTCACGACAGAAGTGCAGTTTATAATACTATACCTTGTTAGTAATGAGTCTCTAAGCATCTAAAGGCTGACTTACCTATCGCCCCTGGTCATGTGTGGAAGGGCATATTTAGTTAGAGCAAACATTTGGAAAATGTTGGTATGGAATATGTCTTCGACCTTGTCTAAATCGATGTCGACAAAGTCCTTGCATATATATTGCTTTGAGGCATTGTTGACGAGGACATTAATTCTCCCAAATCTATAGCGAAATTGGTCAACTGAAAATTCCTGCGGCTATCCATGAACTTCGCCTTACTCACTTCTTAACATGCTCCTCAACAGCTTTATAGCACGTTTCGCGCTTGACCAAGTCTCCGCTGAAGAGGAGACAAGACCTTTTCTCCTTTTCCACCATCTGTTTTGTGTTTTCCGCGTCTTGCTGTTCCTGTGGCAGGTGGACGATGGTGATATCGGCACCCTCTCGCGCCATGAGAATGGCAACTGATCGACCGATTCCTGAGCTGGACGTTATCAGCGAATGCACGACATTAGATATTATTCCCTCAGATCATACTCTCCACCAGTGATCAAAACCTTCTTATCTTTCAATTTCCCGGAACCAACATATTCAACCAGTCCCTCGCTAGACTCCAATTTGGTCGATTCGCTGGGCGGTGCCATGTGGCTTTCCAGCCTAAAAGTGACAAAATTTAGCACGCAATCATCCTCATCGCATTCTGTATAACAGGTCCATACCCTGGCTTCGGTTGACTTTGCGCAGCTTGAGGCGCCTTGAAGACTCCACCTTCGCTCATTGGAGATGCCATCTTTAGTCGATGTCTCAAATTATACTTTTGGGGATCTGTTATTCAGATAAAGCACGCTTCTTTCCAAGTCACATACAGTATGGGAAACAGCCTAATATACTCCTGTCCATTGTCACGTTGGCGTCATGGTGTTGTAAAGGCGGATTATGTCATAGCACCGTTTTGATCAACAAGTTGTCGGATTAAGACTCTTGGTTCAATTAAACTAGAGCATGTTATTGGACGAAAAGACTTCCATAATAGACTGGGTTCATGTGAATTCAACCCCAGGTTGTGTTATCGCTAGCGGCTAGCCGGCCAGATCGAGATTTGATTGTCAGAGTGCCATGGTAGGAGTTAGGGCAGAGTACTTTACGAAATATTGTACTTAGTTCTTGGAAGATTGCTGTTCTGTGCCAACGGATAAATATAGCACATGCTCAATATATAGCTGTTGGAGCTAAAGTATTCTGTGCAGGATATATGAATAACGTTCTAATTGCATATACATATATATCTACATTGCACGTTACTACCATGCCTCGTGAAATTGAGTATGGACACATCAACAACCAGCTTAGTACATCGCATACTAGACTGTTCCATCTAGACTCTTCTATACCAGAACGGTAAAGTGTAAAAATTTCTGCACGGCATCCCACGGCGACACCTGAATTATCTAAGCCATGCCACCGAGGACTCACCGCCTTTGTCAAAACTCGTTTATAAGCCAATGGATAACCTCTGAAAATTCTGCCACTCCCACTAACCCCAATTAAGTAAGGCCCCCGCAAGCAACCCGGCGGGTACAAAGATAATTTTTTCGCTGCTCGATTTTTTTCGTCTTTTTCTTCCTTTCCTTTCTTTGGGAAAGGAAGACTTTCTCCATCAGCAGGACGTTTCTATCGCGATCTGTTGATTATCTTTTGATCACTTGTTTTGTCATTCTTTTTCTTATCTACGAGTTACGATCTCTTTATACCATACACAATGACTCTTGGCCAGGGTGACAACCAAGGTCTCGCCATGAAGGCCGAGATCCAGGACTACTCCAAGGCTCTGGATGTCCTGGAGAAGGACTATCCTACTCGGGATGGTCTGGACGTTGACACTTTGCTTGACTCTGACAAGCACGGTGCTTTGACTTACAATGACTTCCTCATCTTGCCCGGCCACGTCGGTACGTTCTGAGCTCAGAAAGATACTCACGCAATTGCTAACTTACGAAAGGCTTCACTGCTTCCGATGTTACCCTTGATACCCCCGTCACCAAGCGTATCACCTTGAAGGCACCCCTGTTGTCTTCTCCTATGGACACTGTGACCGAGCACAACATGGCCATCCACATGGCCCTCCTTGGTGGTCTTGGTGTTATTCACCACAACTGCTCTGCGGAAGACCAGGCAGAGATGGTGAGAAAGGTCAAGAGATACGAGAACGGATTCATCTTGGATCCTGTCGTTCTCTCGCCCAATGCCACTGTTGGTGAGGCCAAGGACCTCAAGGCTAGGTGGGGTTTTGGTGGCTTCCCAGTGACTGGTGAGTTTTATCTTTCCTTCTCTTTCTTTGTTCCAGTTTTATTTTCGAAGATGACTTCAAATCTATCTTTAAATAACTTTCGTTCCACTAAAGCGACGAGAGTTGCAATGGAGAGAACGGATTATATCTGAGAAAAATGACTTTTAAAACTTTTTACTCCGCAATTTCCGAGCAACATGTAGCTAACTCGGTTTGCTATTCAGAAAACGGAACTCTTCGCTCGAAGCTCGTTGGAATGGTCACCTCGCGTGACATCCAATTCCACCCCTCCCTCGATGACCCGGTTACTGCTATCATGGCGACTGACCTCGTCACTGCTCCTGCCGGTACTACCTTGGCCGAGGCCAACGAAGTCCTCCGTTCGTCCAAGAAGGGCAAGCTGCCCATTGTCGACGGCGAGGGCAACCTTGTCTCTCTCCTTTCTCGCAGTGACCTGATGAAGAACCTCCACTACCCCTTGGCCTCCAAGCTTCCTCAGTCCAAGCAGTTGGTCTGTGCTGCCACCATTGGTACTCGTGAAGAGGACAAAACTCGCCTTAAGCTGCTTGTCGAGGCTGGTCTCGACATCGTTATCCTCGACTCCAGCCAGGGTAACTCTATTTTCCAGATCGAAATGATCAAGTACACCAAGCAGAACTTCCCTGAGATCGACGTTATTGGCGGTAACGTTGTCACTCGCGAGCAAGCCGCTTCTTTGATCGCTGCCGGTGTCGATGGCCTGAGAATTGGTATGGGCAGCGGCAGTGCTTGCATTACTCAGGAAGTCATGGCTGTCGGCCGTCCCCAGGCCCTTTCCGTCCGCAGTGTTTCTCACTTCGCTGCTCGCTTCGGTGTTCCTTGCATTGCCGATGGCGGTGTCCAGAACGTCGGCCACATCGTCAAGGGTCTTGCCATGGGTGCCTCCACCGTCATGATGGGTGGTCTCCTTGCCGGTACCACCGAGTCTCCTGGTGAGTACTTCGTCAGCAACGAGGGTCAGCTCGTCAAGGCCTACCGTGGCATGGGATCCATTGCCGCCATGGAGGACAAGAAGGCCGGCGCTGGCTCCAAAGACAGCAAGGCCAGCAACGCTGGTACTGCTCGTTACTTCTCTGAGAAGGACCGTGTTCTTGTTGCTCAGGGTGTCGCTGGTTCGGTTCTTGACCGCGGCTCCGTCACCAAGTTCATTCCTTACCTCGTTACTGGTATCCAGCACTCGCTGCAGGACATTGGTGTCAAGAGTCTCGATGCTCTTCACGACGGTGTCAACGGCGGCACTGTCCGCTTCGAGGTTCGGAGTGCCAGCGCCCAGACCGAGGGTAACGTCCACGGTCTGCACAGCTACGACAAGAAGCTGTACTCGTAGGTGAAATTACAGTACACTTCATGTTGATTTACTTGCCTTCTTGGATCTGTTAATACGCTTTCCTTATCCTTTATTTGCAAACGAAGCTACGCGGTTGATATGAGTTTTCAAAAAAAAAAAACGGGGTATATCGGTTAGGAGTTATGATAGACATGTATCATTCAATGCATTACTTTCTGGGACATTGCAGTTTTTTGTAGCCTTTTAGCAGTAGACGATCATGTGCATAGCCGGCGGGGTCGGCAAAGATAGTTTAGCCTAGGTTCCTCCGCGGGTACCAAAGCATAGCACCACATAGCACCACATATAGGGACCTATACCTAGCTATCCGGGACAAGGCATGATGCCAATGTCTCATTTCCACGTCCCTCGCGGATACACAGTCAATCGCCTACAAGTATTACACAATTCGGGTCCATTGGAGCTTTCACTCCGTGCTTTACCGCGTCGCGTCCCTCAACAGCTCTCCAAAGGATATAAGACGTATTCACAGCTATCGAATATCAAATCGCGACAATCATCAGTGATATACCAAGGACCTCGATCCCGAAAAATGTCAACGCAGAGCAAGCGCGATTCCAGACCAAAGTCGCCCTCGCCGCCTAGGCCTAGTTCAAGGTTAGCATTTATATTCAGAGCATAGTTCTGTCATTCGATCCGATGATACAACTATAACAGACCACATCATCAACGGCTATGCTAATAATGCAGTGTCCTCCTCCTCTCCCCCCAAAACGAAATCCTGCTCCTCCACCGCGTCAAAACATCCACCTCCTTTGCCTCCGCGCACGTCTTCCCCGGCGGAAACCTCTCTTCCCAGGACGGGCCATGTCCGCCCACTGAGGATCTAAAACGGCACGATGATGCACCGTGGTATCGCCGCGCTGCGCTTAGGGAGTTATTTGAAGAGAGCGGGATTCTGCTAGCTAAGGATGAGAGCTCGGGAGAAATGGTTACGCTGTCTGAGGAGGAGAGGGAAAGGGGGAGGAGGGCGATTCATGGGGGAAAAGTTGAGTTTGGGGAGTGGTTGGGTCGGCATGGAGGTGCTGTGCCGGATATAGGTGAGTACTCTACTGGTACTACAGCGGTATATGTAGGTGCTAATGAGCCGGCCGAATAGACAAACTAATCCCCTTCACCCGCTGGATAACACCAACCAACGTCCCCAAACGCTTCACCACGCAGATGTACCTCTACCTCCTTCCGCTCTCCGTCGCACCCGAATCTGAGAAACGACTCTTGGAAGAGCTCCCTGAAGGAGGAAAACCAGAACAAATCTACCTTCCAACCAGCGACGGCGGCATCGAAGTCACCGAGGCGCGCTTCCTCCCGGCCAGTGAATGGCTGCGTCTCGCTAAGGCTGGTGAAATTATGCTTTTTCCTCCTCAATTCCTTCTATTACACCTCGTCTCGGAGATCCTAGATAAACAGCCCCGACCGGTCGATTCGTCGCCTGCCTCGATGGAAGAACTAGAGAAAAGACGCGCAGAATTGGTGAACTTCGTACACTCTGGTACACCACCATGGACAGAAAAGTGCATCTCGCCCAAGATGCTGAAGATGGCTGGCGACGGGAGAGCAATTTTGGGACTTGATCATCCAGGACCGGAATTAGGAGCGTCAGAGAGACGGGGGGAGAGCGAGAGGGTTGTCATTGTTCGGTTTAAAAAGGGTGAGGCGAGAGAGGTAGATGTCGCATCACGGAATAGTGTTAGTAGATTATAGCTGCACCACTGTATAAAGTAGAATACACTCATTCTGAGCAATTCGTTACCCAGGCCCAGACGCATTAAGTCGGGCGGAGTCAAAGTCGGGCGGCGATAGGGCAAGCCACACCGCCTACCGCCTACCGAGCCGCGCCACGGCCAACCAGCCACAGCCCTCGACAAATAGTCACATGACCCACAGAGAAATTGCACCGGGAGCCATAATCAACTATCGCGACGCCGACACCTGCCAACGCTCGACTCACGAAACCGCATCCCCGCCCAGTTCTACACAAAAGTCGTTGTCGACCAAACCGTCAAAATGGAGAACGAAAGAGGAGAGATTGTCGATCTGTAAGCCTCTCTCCCTGTGCCCGGATTGCGCTTTTGCACCCTCGTCTGCATTTTTCAACCTTCTACCCAGGCCTCTGGCCGCCACGCAATCTGAATCCCTGCTAATAAAACTAGCTACGTCCCCCGCAAGTGCTCTGCTACCAACCGCATCATCAAGGCCAACGACCACGGCTCCGTCCAGATCTCCATCGCTAAGGTCGACGAGAACGGTCGCTACACCGGCGAGAACCAGACCTACGCTATGTGCGGCTTTGTGCGTGCGCGCGGCGAGAGCGATGACTCGCTGAACCGTCTGACGCAGCGCGATGGTTACCTGAAGAACGTGTGGTCTGCTAGCCGGTAAACCTTTGACCGGGGGTGAATTGGGAGGGTGTCGGTTGACGTTTGGTTATGTGAGTATTTCTTTTCTGGGGGGAGGGGATATGGTGGTTATAAGGGTGTGTTGCTGATTGTTGTGATATTAGTCCCTATTATAAGGAATTCAGCTGTGGCCGGCATTCAATCGATTGAACGATGATGCGTGGGACGGATAAAAGAGATGATGTGACAAAAATTCCAGTTATTTAAAACGAATGGAATGGGTCGACAATGAACTTTTTTCCACTTTTCTTTACGTTATTTTCACTTTCTACTTTGCCAATTCCCCACGAAACGCAATTAGATACTTTATGCGGACACGGCACATCAAGGCCTCCTCATTCAATACCTGATATCCATTTTGGAGATCGGTACGCCATGAGCGAGGAGGTAGACAAAATCGCCGGATATTAGTAGTATCTGCACTTGAACTTGTACTTGTATGAGTAAATGTGTAGGTAGCCGCCTACTGAAGAGCCACTTTGCAGAGGATATGTACTGGGGCACAGATACGGGTGGGACATTGCCTCGTAGTGTACAAACTAGGATATCAATACTTGGGCAGAAATGAGATAACTTTTTAACTCCTGTCATCTCTCGTGCAAATCATAAGTTACAAACGAAATCTATCATGCAAACGTTTAATCCTTCTCCAACCGAACGGCGGGGTTGCTCTCAATGAAGCCCAGGTCTACCTTGTGGCCGAGAAGTTCTCGGATGTTGCTTACGCCGTACCTATACTCGTTAGTACTTTAAATCATGAAAAGGGGTTTGGGGGGGGGCTCACTTAATCATAGTAGGTCTCTCCAAACTCAACCCCCATCCATAGACCCGCATGTCCTTGGGCAACCCCATCGGCTCCAACATCTCCGGTCTGAACATTCCACTGTTTCCAATCTCAACCCACTTACCGAGACCCTCGTGGTAGCCGAAGATCTCCATACTCGGCTCGGTGTACGGGTTGTACGCAGGCTTGAAGCGCAGCTGGTGGATACCCATCTTCGCGAAGAAGACCTCCATGAATCCAATCAGGCCACCCAGCGTCAGGTCAAAGTCTGCAATGACACCCTCGATCTGGTGGAATTCCGCCAGGTGGGTTGCGTCGACGGCCTCATTGCGGAAGACGCGGTCGATACTGAAGAAGCGCGCGGGGCGCGGGTTCGCGGCCAGCTTGTGCAGCACATAGGTTGAGATGGAGGTGGTGTGGGTGCGGAGGACGAGACGCAGGGATTCGTCGGCGTTCCAGGGGTAGCGGTAGCCAACGGAGCCGTATTTGCCGTTCTGGTGCACTTCGCGCACGTTGTCCCAGTAAGCCTTGAAGTCGAGGGGCTTCTCGTTTTCCTTGTAGGCGCGCGAGACGGGCTGCGCGGACTTGGGCCGGTGCGGGTCATTGAGGGGATCCTCGCGAGGGGGGTCTGCTTGCACGGGGTCGGAGATGTAAAAGGTGTCTTGCAGGTCACGGGCGGGGTGTTGCTGCGGCACGAAGAGGGCGTCGAAGTTCCAGAAGCCCGTCTCGACGTAGCGGTTCGTGGGCATCTCCTCGAAGCCCATTTCAAAGAAGATGCTGCGGAATTCCTGGCGCACCTTGTTGAGTGGGTGGAAGGCTCCCGAGGGTGTTGGGGCACCCTTGGCTTTGAAGTTGTAGGGCTTGAACGAGGCGGTCTTCCACGAGCCATTCACCAGCATCTCGGACGTCAGGTCGGTCTCCTCCTTGACGAATTCGCGAGCGTACTTGGGGCCCTTGGAGATCTTGAAGTTGATAACCTTTTGCAGCGCGACCAGCTTCCGCTTCTTCAATTCCGCCAGCGTCTTCTGGTTGTCCAGCGCCTGCGTCTTTTGCACAGTCAAGAGCAATTCGCGGGTCTCGTCGACAATGGATTCCGTGTTCGTCCGCAGCCTATCCTGGTCCTTCTTGATCCAACCACGCTTGAAGGCATTACCTTGGCCAACTTTGGCGTTATCTTTACCCACAATGCCGGGCAGCTCAGTAATCTTCAATCCGTCCATAGCAGCGGCGACGGCCTCGAAAACCTTGGCTTCGTGACTGCCACCGGCGACAATCTGCTCACCCTCGCCGGTGAGACCAACGACTTCCCTTTCAATGGTGTCATACTCGACCATCTGTCGCGAGGCGAGGCGGTCGAGGGCACTCTTGACGGATAATGAGGGGGTGGAGGGGAAGGCATCGCTGGAGAGGATGGGAGCGTCGGTGCTGGACAGGGCGTCCAGGATGGGGCTTGTCAAGTCGGCCATGGTGGCAGTTATAACAGACCAACTGTTATAAAGAGGAGAACAACAAAAGGGAAGGACGGGGAGGACTGCTGCGACAGCCCACTTTGGAGATGACTCTTTTTCGGGTTTGCATTTGATACGGCGGACGGAGGGACCAGGTGCGCAGTCATGTGACTACCCCGCCGCACATTACTCAACATACAGTGTAAATAAAATGTTACTCCGCACCCCGTAGACAGTGGATAATACTAATTTGATGTCTTTATAGAGGAATATAATCGTGTTCACTACTCGGTAATATATACGGAGTACACTGTGCGCGACAAGGAGAACAGCCTCGCGTGTTTAAACAGGAATAGTGCATGTCCATATGGGGAGATTATTGGCTGTGGATGAGTGGGCCGTGGTGACCGTTAGGTCTGTTTGGTCTGGACACAGGGGTTTACCGTACGGTTATGTTCCTGTTATATTTAAAGAGAGGGAAGCGAAACTGAATAAAGATGTATTGCAGTGTACTATGTGTGTATTCCATTATATAATGTACACAGATGAAGATGTGGATAATTCTCGAATAGAAAAGAGAGATTAGATTTAAGAATACTACGGTTGAGTGTGAGTGGTTAGACCGAGTCGCGGGGTGGTCAACTACGGAGCATTACACCTATACAGAGTACACCATGGAATAGACTATTGTTGAGAGAATGAAGTACTTGTGATAGCGAAGAGGGCAAAGAAGCAAAAATCTGAAAAGACAAAGTACCCCGGACAGGACTTGTATAGCAAACTCCGAACAGGTTCTAATACAAGAATAACCATAATCACTGCCACGATCGCCACTAGGATCGATGAAAAAAAAGCAGGACAAAAGCAAAGATCAGACAGAATCTGGACCGTAACAACAGCATCCAAACCGGGAGGATTCACACAATTAATATTTGTTAACAAAAGAGCGATCGTTCTTCTTTTTCCGCTCCGATTCGAGTCTTGTGTGTGTCTCTCTGTCTGTCTTGCTTTTGGCTCTCGCCCGCCTGCATCCATCGCCTCTTTTTTTCCCTTCGTTTTGATTGTTATTCTTTTCTAAGAATTCCATTATTATTTTCCCCTATCTTGTTCTGCTCTGCTTTTTTTTTTTTTTTTTTCCCTCTCTTCTTCTTCTTCTCTATCTGTTTTCTCGCTCTGATCTGTCGATTTCCATTCTTCTTTTTCTTCTCTCTCCCTCCCATAACCGCCCACAACCTTCCTCTCTTTCTCTTTCTCTTTCTCCTTCTCTCTTCTCTCTCTCTTTTCTCAACCCAAACCCCTCTCCGTCCGTCTCTTCTCCTTCTCCCTCACTGTCCTTTTGTCAATTTCCATCAATTTTCCTCATTTTCCTTGATCGTTAATTCTTCATTTTCCCGTTTGTTTCCATCGAATTTTGTGATCCTCGGGTCGCCGTCTTTCTTCCCTCTCGTTGTCTCCCTCTTCTTTCTTCCCTCTCTCACAATCTCTTCACTGCTATTTCTCTGTTACTGTCTCCAACCCCATGTCGTCCTAGCAAAGATTGACCCGATTACTTCGTGTCAGTAACACGCCTGGTACGTTTTACCCTTTTTATCGACTTTTTTTTTGGTTAAAATTGTCAATTCTATTCTTTTCTATCTTTTCACTTCACTCTCTCCGCCCTCCGCTTCCCCCAATTTGTTCCTTTTTTGTTGAAAAAATTCTGTCTTTATGATTGCATTTTCTTCTCACTCTCCGTTTCAACAACCCCCCCCCCCCCCCTCTGTTTGCTGTCCCGCTTCAACTCGACAATTCAATACCTTTCATTTCTTCTTATTCACCCCTTTCTTCAATATATCGATACTCATGTCCAAGTAACAGGGCACAATGGCTGGCGCGGATGAGACCCTCGCAGCCGCTGCTGCCATCCTCCAAGGCCTGGCCAGAGATCCCCGTACCACTACAACAACCGTTCCTTCCTCTTCTTCCTCTTCCTCCTATTTCTCCTCTGCTGCTACCACAGTATCCTCCGCCTCTTCTAACACTCAACCTTTGTCCTTCGACTTTCGCTCCTCTTCGAACGCTCCTTACTACTGCTCTTCTTCTTCCGCCGCCCCCGCCGTCTCCTCTCATTCTGCCGCCAATGGTGTCGACATAAAACTCCCCAGACTCCCTGGCGAGTCATCTCCCGCAAAAGCTGCTTTCGAAAACGAATTGGGGGCCTTGGTTCGTCGAGTGCGTCTGCTGGAATCCCAAACTGTCAGTCTCCCGAATCTCTTGTCCCCCAACCTTCATCATTCAGCTCATCCTACCGAAAAATACTGGGATTTTCTCGCTTCCATGGGACTCTCTCGCCCTCCGTCTGCTGATGACTCTGGTTCTGACTCGTCTGGTACCTTGCAGCAACAACAACAACAGCAGCAGCAACTCTCAAATAATGCACACAACCCGCATCACCCCCACCGGACACGATCACACCCTGCCGGCTCTGACGGTCGACACGCTCCCAAAGATATCATGGAGGACGATGATGACCACGACGATGACGATGGCGACGAAACATCCGATGAGGATGACGATGAACTCGACTCGGGGACTCGACTCGTGCGCGAAGAAGACATCAGCTATCTCCGGAACCACGTACAGAAACAGGCGGAGGAAATCAGCTTCCAAAAGGATGTCATCGCTCGAATTCGGGACGAGTTACTCCAGCAGGAAGAGCAAACCCGCCGCGCTCTCACCAAGGTCGAAAACGAAGACGTCACCCTCTTGGAACGGGAACTCCGCAAGCATCAGCAGGCCAACGAAGCCTTCCAGAAAGCGTTACGAGAAATTGGCGGCATCATCACCCAGGTCGCCAACGGTGACCTCTCTATGAAGGTGCAGATCCACCCGCTCGAAATGGACCCCGAAATTGCCACGTTCAAACGGACCATCAACACCATGATGGACCAGCTTCAGGTTTTTGGTAGCGAAGTGTCTCGTGTCGCCCGCGAGGTCGGTACCGAGGGTATACTCGGTGGTCAGGCCCAAATCACTGGTGTTCATGGTATTTGGAAAGAACTTACGGAAAACGTCAACATAATGGCCAAGAATTTGACCGATCAAGTACGTGAAATCGCCGCCGTCACTACCGCTGTGGCCCACGGCGATTTGAGCCAAAAGATCGAAAGCCGCGCACAGGGAGAAATTCTGGAATTGCAGCAGACCATCAACACCATGGTGGACCAACTACGCACGTTTGCTACTGAAGTCACACGTGTCGCTCGCGATGTAGGTACGGAAGGTGTCTTGGGCGGGCAGGCCCAAATAGAAGGCGTCCAAGGCATGTGGAACGAACTAACGGTTAATGTGAACGCTATGGCCAATAATCTTACCACCCAAGTCCGGGATATTGCGACCGTGACCAAAGCTGTCGCCAAGGGTGACTTGACCCAGAAGGTGCAGGCCAACTGCAAAGGGGAAATCGCAGAACTCAAAAATATTATCAACTCCATGGTCGACCAACTTCGCCAGTTCGCGCAGGAAGTCACCAAAATCGCCAAGGAAGTCGGGACAGACGGTGTACTCGGTGGGCAAGCTACAGTCAATGATGTAGAAGGCACTTGGAAGGATCTTACAGAAAATGTCAACCGTATGGCCAACAACCTCACCACCCAAGTGCGGGAGATCGCCGACGTGACGACCGCCGTCGCCAAGGGTGATCTCACCAAGAAGGTCACCGCCAACGTCCAGGGTGAGATACTCGATCTCAAGAGCACCATCAACGGAATGGTGGACCGACTCAATACTTTCGCCTTTGAAGTCAGCAAGGTCGCTCGTGAGGTCGGCACAGACGGTACCTTGGGCGGCCAGGCCAAGGTAGATAATGTGGAAGGGAAGTGGAAGGATCTCACCGACAATGTGAATACCATGGCCCAGAATTTGACGTCACAGGTCCGAAGTATATCAGATGTCACGCAGGCCATTGCCAAGGGTGATCTCAGCAAGAAGATCGAGGTTCACGCCCAGGGAGAGATCCTTACCCTCAAGGTCACCATCAACCACATGGTGGACCGCTTGGCGAAATTCGCTACAGAGCTCAAAAAGGTAGCTCGCGACGTCGGTGTCGATGGGAAGATGGGCGGCCAGGCCAACGTGGAAGGAATAGCAGGCACTTGGAAAGAAATCACCGAGGACGTCAATACCATGGCCGAAAATCTGACCTCACAGGTGCGCGCCTTTGGTGAAATTACAGATGCTGCCACCGACGGAGATTTTACCAAGCTCATCACCGTCAACGCGTCGGGTGAAATGGACGAGCTCAAGCGAAAGATCAACAAGATGGTTTCGAACTTGCGTGACAGTATCCAGCGTAACACAGCGGCCAGGGAAGCCGCCGAACTGGCTAACCGCACCAAGTCTGAGTTCCTGGCGAACATGAGTCACGAAATTCGAACACCCATGAACGGTATCATTGGCATGACCCAGTTGACCTTGGACACGGACGATCTCAAGCCGTACACCCGCGAGATGTTGAATGTGGTGCACAACCTGGCCAACAGTCTGCTGACCATCATCGATGACATACTCGATATCTCCAAGATCGAAGCCAACCGGATGGTCATCGAGAGCATCCCCTTCACCGTGCGGGGCACCGTCTTCAACGCTCTCAAGACGCTGGCGGTCAAGGCCAACGAGAAGCTCCTCAGTTTGACATACCAGGTGGACAACACTGTCCCTGACTATGTCACTGGTGATCCATTCCGTCTCCGGCAGATCATCCTGAACCTGGTCGGCAATGCCATCAAGTTCACTGAGCAGGGTGAGGTCAAGCTTACGATCCGCAAGTCCGACCGCGAGCAATGTGCAGCCAACGAGTATGCGTTCGAGTTTTCTGTCTCCGACACGGGTATCGGTATCGAGGAGGACAAGCTGGATCTTATCTTCGACACCTTCCAGCAAGCCGATGGTTCTACCACTCGCCGGTTCGGTGGTACTGGTCTGGGTCTGAGCATCTCCAAGCGCCTGGTGAACCTGATGGGTGGTGATGTTTGGGTTACCTCCGAATACGGCCACGGCAGTACCTTCCATTTCACCTGCGTGGTGAAGCTGGCTGACCAGTCGTTGAGTGTGATCGCCTCGCAGCTCATGCCATACAAGAATCACCGCGTCCTCTTCATCGACAAGGGAGAAAATGGCTTCCAGGCCGATAATGTGTTGCAGATGCTCAAGGCTATCGACCTGGAACCCTTGGTCGTCCGTAACGATGAGCACGTTCCGCCTCCCGAGATTCAAGATCCGTCTGGCAAAGAGTCTGGCCACGCGTACGATGTCATCATCGTGGATTCCGTGGCCACGGCCCGGTTGCTTCGCACGTTCGATGATTTCAAATATGTTCCGATCGTTCTGGTCTGTCCCTTGGTCTGCGTGAGTCTCAAGTCGGCCCTGGATCTGGGTATCAGTTCCTACATGACCACCCCTTGCCAGCCTATCGATCTCGGAAACGGCATGCTACCCGCTCTGGAAGGACGGTCTGCGCCGATCACCACTGACAATACCCGGTCGTTCGACATTCTCCTCGCCGAAGACAACGACGTCAACCAGAAACTGGCCGTCAAGATTTTGGAGAAGCACAAGCACAACGTCTCGGTCGTCAGCAACGGTCTGGAAGCCGTGGAAGCTGTCAAGCAGCGTCGGTACGATGTCATTCTGATGGATGTTCAAATGCCAGTCATGGGAGGCTTCGAAGCCACGGGTAAGATTCGAGAATACGAAAGAGAAAAGGGCATGTATCGGACCCCGATCATTGCCCTGACCGCCCACGCCATGTTGGGAGACCGAGAAAAGTGCATCCAAGCGCAGATGGACGAATATCTGTCGAAACCATTGAAGCAGAATCAAATGATGCAGACCATTCTCAAATGTGCTACGCTGGGTGGGTCTCTACTGGAAAAGAGCAAGGAGTCCCGTATTTCCAGCAGTGGTGAAATGCATCCTGTTCACGGTACGAGCTCCGATGGCAAGCGACCCGCTATAGAAGGGCGATCAATGACAACAACAGGGGCCATCAACCGCCGAGGACGTTCCGGTCTTGATAAGGAAGAAGAATATGCCCTGGAAAGGGCCATGCGGTGACCTTCTTCCTTTTTTGCCTATTTCTTCTTGCGAAGGGTGAAGGATGTTGATTCCCTTTTTGATGATGCCTCTAATGACGTTGCAGGTCCTGCACATTCTCCAGGAACTTCGTTTCATTTTCTCATTTTATTTTGCCTGTCATCTCGCTATAACGGTCTCCTTTGATTTCTCTTTTTCTGTTTGATTTCGAGTGGCTTCGATGCAAACTTATACCCTTTTTTTTTTTTTTCTTTTCTCTATTTGCGCGCCTGTAAGAAAATGTTCCTTCAACATGGTGACGTTTGCCGGTCCCATTGTTGTCTTTTTCTTTTCATCTTTTATCTCAGCTTACCTTACCATCTCCAAGGTTATGCCCTACTCGTGTTTTTCCTCCTCTCATGCACGCCGCTTCATGCTTTGCATATATTACTTTTGCCGGTATCATGCCTGCAGTCTCAGACTATCACTACGGTCTACTATTCTTCTTCACGTTTCTTTCTGCTTCACTGCGTTAAATACTCTTTGGATTTTCGGTTATTACTTTGCTATGCCAGTGATTGTTCTTCTGGTGTATGGTGTTTGGCGCACGGAGACATCTGGCGGGGTCTTTCCGCATAAACACTGCGGCTTGGGACGAAAGACAAATACACTACTACTACTTACTACACATACATTCATCATATACGGGCGAGTTGAAAGGCGAACCGAACATTTGACAAAGGGGCCAGTCTCCTTTTTAGACTCCTGTGGCGAGTTTCCATTCATGCATTTGACATTGACTTTCTTCGGGTTGACTCTTCATTTGCTTTTTCTTTTTCCTTTTCCTTTCTTCTCGTTACTCTGTTTCCCTTGCCCTCTTTCATTCCTATTTGTATTGTATTTAATTCTTTATTTCATTGCACGGACGAAGGGGTCTGGGTGCTCCGAATCGGTCTTGTTTTTTTCTTTTCTCTTTCTTGTTTTGGCGTGTACGAATCGTTGTCACTCAGCGAACGGATTACTGAAAATGCAAGATTACGTTCAGTCAGTCTTGAATATGGAAATGTAGTTAACGTTGTATTAAGACTAGATATATGATATGGAAGAGGGGCTGGCAATCTATTTAGCAAGCAATGCATACTTAAGCAAACCGTCCGTATTTGTATTAAGAACTAGTATTATCCATAGTCCTAGCCATCCAACGATCAATATACGCATTATTACCAATTACTTTTAACCTCCGTCTACCAATTCAAACATCCGTCATTCATTCATCCATCTTGAATCACTCTAGTTTATCCCATACAGATGCCAATCACGCCCCAACAGCATCAGCAAGAATCCTCTTCACCATTCCCATCCGCCCATGCTTCTCCCGCGATTCCACCATCCTCCGCACAGCACCCGCAGGAGACGGAGATGGAGATGGAGATGGAGACGGAGAAGGCGTCACAGGGGTAGTTCCAGCACCACCAGCTGGCGGGGGCGCGGCGGGTGTCGTTCCAGCTGGAGAGGCTGCGGGCGTTGTAGCTGTTCCTGCTCCTGCGCCGCCTCCGGCTCCTCCGGCGGGTGAAGTTGGTGAGGTGACGGGGGTTGTTCCAGTTCCTACGCCTGCTCCACCGCCAGCTGCTGGGCTAGTTCCGGCGGGGGTCACGGGGACGGTGGCTGTCGATGTTACTCCTACGCCCGGGGCTCCTGGCGAACCTGGCGCGCCTGGTGCTCCTGGGGTACCAGTTCCTCCGGCTCCTCCGGCGCCGCCAGCACCGCCAGCACCACCAGTCGGGACGGAGACGGGGGTTGTACCAGTACCTGCTGCGCCAGGTCTACCAGTGGCTCCTGCGCCTGCGCCAGCTCCGGGACTTCCAGTGGCACCTGCTCCTCCTGCGCCAGGGCTACCAGTGGCTCCAGCTCCAGCTCCAGGAGAATGCGCTGTACTAGCACCAGCGCCGGCACCGGGAGAGTGCGTCGTACTAGCACCAACACCAGCACCACCTCCTGGAATACCAGTGGGACTACTAGTGATGTTCGATGGTCTGTGTGTCGTAGTCACGTTTCCAATGCCTGCTCCGGGGGTCGTTCCCGCTGTTAGGGGATGAGTCGTTGATGCGGCTCCAGCTCCAGCGCCAGGGCTTGTTCCTGCTCCAACGCCTGCTCCGGCTCCGGGGGTCGTTCCAGCGGCTCCTGGGTGGGTTGTTGATGGACTAGCGCCTGGGCCTGTGCCTGGGGCGGTTCCCGCTCCAGCTCCGGCTCCGGGTCCGGGTCCAGCGCCAGGGGCAGTTGTTGGGGCTGTGCCAGCGCCAGGGGCGGTTCCGGCTCCTGCTCCTGCTCCTGCTCCTGCGCCTGGTGTACCCGCTCCAGCACCAGCTTCAGGTGCTGTTTGAGCTGGGGCAGCAGGAGTAGTCTCTGCACCTGCACCAGCGCCGGGTTGAGTTGCAGGAGCAGCACCACCAGCTCCACCAGCAGGGGGACATTCAGAGACAGTCACAGTCACAGTCGAGGTAACAGTAGCACATTCCGTAGCGGCACCACCTCCAGGAATAGTTTGTCCGCCGCCAGCTCCACCACCGGGTTGACCTGGTTGTCCTCCGCCGGGTGCGCTTTCGCCAGGTCCACTAGGGCCAGTTGGGCTTGCTCCAGCACCGCCAGTGGGGTGCTCTGCACCGCCTGCTCCGGGACCGCCCTCGCCAGGACTAGTTGGAGAGGCTCCAGGTGCACCGCCTCCAGCACCGCCAGTGGGGTGTTCTGCTCCGCCTGGGCCAGGTGGACTCGCTCCTGGTCCGCCAGGGCCGGTTGGGGATGCTCCAGCTCCGGGGCCTTCAGGACCGCTTGGGCCTGCGCTGGCTCCTCCGCCAGGGTGAGTGGGAGAAGCACCAGGGCCACCGGCTCCGCCGCCGGGGTGGGTGGGAGATGCTCCAGGGCCGCCGGCTCCACCGCCAGGGTGAGTGGGAGAAGCACCAGGTCCGCCAGGTGCCTCTCCTCCAGGGCCGCCAGCTCCACCACCAGGGTGAGTGGGAGATGCTCCAGGGCCGCCAGTTGTTTCTCCTCCAGGGCCGCCGGCTCCACCACCAGGGTGAGTGGGAGATGCTCCAGGGCCACCAGTTGTTTCTCCTCCAGGGCCGCCGGCTCCACCACCAGGGTGAGTGGGAGATGCTCCAGGGCCGCCAGTTGTTTCTCCTCCAGGGCCACCAGCTCCACCACCAGGGTGAGTGGGGGATGCTCCAGGGCCGCCGGCTCCACCGCCAGGGTGGGTTGGGGAGGTACCAGGGACGCCACCAGTACCAGTTGGACTCGCTCCAGGTCCGCTAGGTGTTTCTCCTCCTGGACCACCGGCTCCGCCGCCGGGGTGAGTTGGGGATGCTCCCGGGCCGCTGGGAGTGCCTCCGCCAGGACCGCCTGGGCTGATCGGACTACCGGTTGGTCCGATTCCAGGAACGCTGGGAGTGCCTCCACCAGGTCCACCTCCAGGTCCACCTGTTTCTCCGGGACCACTAGGACCAGTACCACCACCACCACCACCAGGGCTAGTGCCAGGACTTTCGCCGGCACCACCGGGATGCGTCGGGCTCGGGACAGCCCCGTGAGTTGCTGTCGGGATGGATTCGAGCATGGTCGACAGATCGGATTGGAAGGCGGGGAAATCGCCCGTGCCGGTTGGTACGTGGACACCGGATCTTGTAAGGATGCTGACTAGGTTTGGTGGAAGAGTTCCTCCTCCTCCCGGCATGGGAACGGCGGCGACGAGGGCCCAAGGGGTGATGGCCAACGCCAGGCCATTCTTGACAGGGCGCATTCTTGTCGAAGAAGCTGATGCAGTTTGAGAGGGTTCGTCTTCGGACTGCACGGTATTTGGTTCAGTTCGGTTAAGAAAGGAAGGTGAGATGCGAAAGGGATCGAGATCGGAGGCGATGGTGTTTTATGTATCAGGGCAACGAATTCGGCTAGATGATGGCTTCTCTATGTCATCAGGAAACCCAATGCTGTCTAGACCGGTGACAATACACGCGTAGCATGACTTATTCTGACATCCATAACCAAGGGCCGCAATGGCCTGACGGTGGCGGCCTAGCCTTCCACCAAGCATCAAAGAAAGTAGGGAACATGGATTCGGCAACAAGCGTCAATTCATTGCTGTCCGGTAACCCCGGCTTCACAGCTTCGCGGGAAGAGATCAATTGACCTATGAGAACAGCCAGCGTGACGCATTCGTGATATGTTTGTTTCCTTGTACCTGCGTCATGTTCTTCGTTCCGGTGGACGAGCCTTTTTCACCGTGGTAGCGGCCCAGGAACAACGGATACACGGGCCGAAAATGCGATAGAGTCTTCGCAAGAGTGATTGAAGTGAACAGGAGAACAAAGGGGTGGTTAAATGGTTGTATATGTGGTGTATATGTCCAATGCGTCTATTTCTCTCGTCATTTGTCCTTTTCTGCAAATATTATCGACTAGCATTATCGTCTGATTTTCTAATCTATTAGGTAGTCTTTGTCGTTCACCGTAAATCGTAAGGGTGCGCTTGCTTCATTTTGAAATCATTCGAACTTTTGGTTGACAGAGGGTTGGCTTACGCGTCGGTGTCCAAGGTATTCATTCGAAACTCAATTCAGTAAATGACCCATGGTCGACGCCATCCAACATGGATCAATTTCGCAGCAGTGACACACGCAAGACCTGCAGCGTAGCAGCATGTCGTAAATGCAATGAGACCCCAGTACTGTCCGTCACAACGCGCGAGGATCTCTCCAGCAATCGGAATACCAGTCAGAGTTCTATTCTCGGCAATTAGTTCCAATTCCTTTTACCAACAGAAAAGAAGCTTAGACTTACCCAAAGCTTACGATTGTGTATGAAGTTGCGTAGTATCTGCCGTAGTGCTCTGTTTTGCAGAGCTGTCCGATGCACACCGGGGTGAGACTGATGTTGCTACCACTTGCAAAGCCAAAAATGGCGCTGTACACGATCATAAGTGGAAGGCTGTCGCCAGCAGGAAGCCACAGGCATGCACAGCAGATAAGGCATAGGGCGACTGTGACTATGAGAGTATTAAAGCGTCCAAAGTAGTCGGCAAAGAATCCCGGGATCCCTCTTCCAAAAAACGAGCCAGCGTTGAGAATGGCAAGCATCTGATACGACAATTCGGTTGAAACACCATGAGATAATGCATAAGAAGAGATATAACTAATCGGGATGAAAAGGCCCCACTCAACGAAGAATACACCGGCCGTTGTGAGGGCAAACTTGGGGTCCCTGAAAATGCGAAAGTCGGGTAAAACATTCTCTTTGGATGCTGGCTTCTTAGGCAGTCGAGACTTAATTAACAGGCAAGCCACAATCAGCGAGATCAAGCAAATCAATGCTACCACGCGGGTTGCCCACCCGAATCCAATTTTAGGAAACAAATCTTGCAAGACCAGAGGAAAGATGACACCCCCAACGGAGCCCCCAGTCGCTGCAAGGCCTGTCGCAATTCCTCGCTTTTCGTTGAAAAAATGGCCCACGGCTGATATAGCAGGCGTGAAAATCAGGGAAGATCCAATGCCACCTGCGAGGCCGACAGAGAGCATAAAATGCCAGTATTGAGTACAGAACCCAATAGAGATCATCATCGCTATAATCAGGATCGAGCCTGCAAGAACTAAAAAGCGCGGGCCCTTGGCGTCAAAGACCGGACCTATCTGGACGCCACAGAAGAAGCACAAAAAGGCGAACATGCTAAAAATCCACCCATTGGTGCCAGAGCTGTATTCTTTGAGTTGATGGTCATCGATATAAGCTTGGAAAGTACCGATGGAGTTGACGAGGCCAAGAGAACCAAAAAGGCCCATGAAACACCCAAAAACTACCAGCCATGCGTCCAGCCCTCCCTCGGGGTAACTGTTGCCATCCGCATCCGTTGTCATTCGACTCAATGCGTTGCTACGAGCTGAATGGCATGATGGGAACTCTTCAGATGACCTGTGGAGACCATCCTCGAGTGCCTGTGCTTCATGTGCGGGTGGTTGGTCATGGTGAGATTGAATTGTCGGTTCGACTCTTTTCTCCGCATCAGTTACCATTCTTCCACTCGAATCAGTATTATCATGGGCTACACCGGTCGATGGCTTTTCAAACCATGAATCTGGAGTCGCGGTTGTAAAAGCGGATATCTCTGATTGCTGCTCGGGCAATCCGGCGTTCCTTTGCATAGTAAGGCCAGGGATATTAACCAATAGTCAATAATCCTGCCCAAATATCTGGAATCGTGGGGGAATCGATTCGCACGAGGTTCTCGTCAAACGTAAAAATAGAGAAATCAGTGGCGGCGGTCTGGCCGACTTTTAAGCGGAGATCTCTAGACCCGCAGAAAATCTTGTCGGAGCGGAGAGAAGGTCCTCATCGGCTAATCCGCTCCTTCTCTCGGCAATAGCACTAGACAGAGAAGGTCGATTGTAAGATGGGTGTCGCTATCTGGAAATTAAGTCACGGTGTTGTTGCCATAAGCCAGGGAAGAATGGTGATTTCTCTGGTCACATGATTCAGCCCATCAGTTAGCAAAAATGAGTAAATGAGCAGGCATCAAACAAGATAGTACGAAGTACATCAGCCTAGCAAAGATCCGATACAACATGTTCGCTGACACTATCCCTGTCAACCGCTTAGAAAAGACGGCAACGAGCAGAGATGCTCTGTACTGATGCCAGAGGACATGACATGCGCTGTGACAGACTGAAAATGATTCTGTTAGCGACCATGCCTCCATATCTGTCATGGGTAGAGACGATAAATTTCAAACATGAAGACTATCAAATATGTATGGGAATGGTCCCACTCGTTTCTTATGATAGATAGTCCCATTTGGAGCAAGTGATGTAGCGTTTGGGTGTCTACGGAAAATGAAGTCGTTGGGCTCGAGATATTCAAGGGATGGCGGTTGATCACAGGCTATGCATGAATGAATTACTCGTAAAGAATATTATGCAAGATAGTAACCCACTTTTACATCAAGTGGGCTTGTGGTTTAGTGGTATAATACCCCCTTAGCATGGGGGTGGTCCGGGGTTCGATTCCCCGCGAGTCCATTTTTTTGTTTTTTTATTTTTCTTACCTTCTATTCCTATGGTTTTTCCTTCCTCCTTTCCCTTTTCTATTTCTTTATTGCTTCCTTTCTCAATTAATAGCGTCCTCTGGACTAAGTACGTACGATCAACTTATATCCCAGAGCACAACTCTGATGCAATTGTACAACTGTTTGTCTGCTGAGTTGCTACCAGATATATAAGCGGGAAACGGGATACCATCAATCCCTGAGAACATGCTTTTTGCACCTGCGCAGTTCCAATCTTGTTTGAAATTAAAAAGCCGGAAAACTCCAAATCCAAGATGAGTATCCTGCAATGGAACAAGCAACACCACACTCTCGACACGATAGATATGTCACGGAAAACCGTCGGGAAACAAGGAATCCCATACTTACACTAACCACCTTATACGAAGCTAACATACAGTACAGTAAGAACTATAATACCAAGATGCCTAGTAAATGGCCCGCAGTATCAATATCAAGGTTCCATATAGGCAGATACACTGCCCATAGCGCCGGGTACCTTTACTGTATGCAGAGAAAAGATCCCCAACAATGCATACACGGAACTGTCAGCCCCCAGGCCGGTTCCCGGAAACATCCTTGGTGGAACGAGAATGACCATTTGATATATGAGCAGCGCTTACCTCGGAAATGACATCAATGGAAACCTGGTGAACCAATCCCTGCAAACGGAATCCTCCAGCGAGCGGGATGGAAGGGTATTGCTCTCATTGATCAGGACAAGGGAATATGTGTGATGACATGGATTGTATACATTTACCGGAAAAAGCAAAGACTGTCGATAACAGTAGGCAAGATGATTGCCATAGCAGCGATGATCCTGGTCCGAGGACGTCGAGGGAAAATAACCCAGGGATGGCTCGTCACGGTCTCGCAGGACGATCGACCAATGCCTGCCTGTGTCAACACTGGTCGGTCATTTCAATTGTATACTATATCAAGTACTTCTGGCATCGACGCAGTTTTCATACGCTATATCTTATCAGCGCCCTAGGTATATGTCAACAGGATCATATTACCTATTCAGGAAAATTAAAGCATCGATGCTTGGAAAAAAGTCAAAGATTGAACTCAACACAAATGCAGATGCCCCTAAAATTTTCGAAATGCGAGATACCAGGAATGGAAATCATGAAGCTTAGTAAATAGGGCTTAAGAGCGACAGGGATATGGATGATGCATATAGTTCGGCGCTAGGATGCTGCCCTGAGCTGATAAGCATAATCTGACTGTATCTGATATGCTACATAACAGCTACTCTGTATTACACTGCAAGCGATATTAGCGGCAGAAGCAAGGAATCAGAGTTCTTGTGTATAGTGTATGTGATTGGACACCGTACCTGCTAAATGAGCGTGCATACACAGTGATTCGTGCTGTGTACATAAATTCATTTATGTACAGAATCCGGGCATTATGCGTTAGAATACAACACGAATATGCGTACGGAGTACCCCGTAAAGAGACTAAATGATCAAAAGTATATCCCGTGCGAAGCCACAATCGCTTCCTCACTTTCTTTATGTTCCTCCCCCGCATTCTGGTCTTGACAGCCACGTGCCGCAACACACCAATAATTTAGGAGCAGTACACTCGATGAAGAATGAACACTCGATCAGTCAGCATAAGCATAACATTCATTCATGCAAATGCAACTAAAGTATCCCTGGTAGTATTCCTGAGATCTCGATCTGAATGATGTACAGTACGGTAATGGTAAGTTACAAAACCACATGACAGTTAGAAAAAATCTCCGACCCACCGATTGGCTACCCGAGCATGAGACCCACATAAGCGGATGCGGAAACAGCGGGGCGATAATCATACACTCTTATAGTTAGATCGGTATTTCACCGTATCTGGTAGTAGTCTTACGTTTTGGTTCTGATTATCACGGGTTGGTCGTCTATCTACACCTGATTCGATTATTTGCCATACGGGTATTAATTAGTAGTGACATGTAGCGTTGTCAGGTGACTGATACTACGGCAGAGATATGACAGAACCCGGCCAACTAGGGCCTTCATGGACTGGTATGGCCGAAGAACTAACGGCTCTTGAAGATGAACATGAAAACGAACTTTCCACTCACGGATTGAGAGAGCATGGCTTGAAGAGAAAGGCCCAGATCTCGCGGAGATGTCTAGACTGTCGGTGCTACGTACCTCCAGAGTAACCACCCAGCCCTAACCTCCTGTGCTATTCTAGGATTAGACCTTTTCACCACAGGAGTCTGTTAACAACACAATAATGGCGCTAGTGCTCGATTTTGAATCAGCTATACGAACCTATATATTCTTAGAGGCGGTTATATGAAATGTCGGTGTCATGTTAAGCTCCTCGTATTGTTTCTCCGACTTTTAACCAGTGTATATTACCCGTAGATCTGGGATTCCCTTGCTTTATATCGATTTGGTGAAAAAAGCATGGACATTGTGTTGACATGGCAGACACGTTGTGTCTGCATAATCGTTCTCCTTGCATGATCTATATCTGGAAAATTTGCAAGATCTGGCGGACATTAGACGATATTACCGAAAAACAGGAACCAGAGGCAAGAGTGTCTTGAAATGAAAGGCCCCGGATTTTAAGAGGAGTGCTAGAAGCAACCTAACACCGAGCATAGGTTTCTCCAGCTGTCCTACATCATGGCTGCAGAAGAATTCATCATTATTTACGGCGAGGTGCAACACGTGAGCCAAGACTGACGGACTCTTGATCTCAAAAATGATGGCAATTTTAAACTGAACCGAAGAAAGGAAATAGCAAAAAGTAAATACCCCATCACATCATCGTACATGATAGCTGACATGGTTATATCCCAGAGTAGCATTGATAGAAACTGTGGAAGAGTCCAACTTGAACCGGACAACATAAAGCACGCCATGCCAAGATGGCTAGTGACGTTTCCGGCCTAGCTTTGCTGAATTAGCAGTATGCGGGGTTCGCCCACCACCCCTCTTGATTCGGCAGGCCTCTCCCTCCGGGTCCACCGCCTTCCCGAGTGGGCGGAGATTAAACGCGGCGCTCAGGCCAAGCAGTCGGCGGATTTCTCCTCGGCCAATCAGGGCCTGTGAGGGCTTGGACTCGTAATAACCTTTTCTTTTTCTCTAATTTCTGAATGGATCGGAGGTGTCTGTGTGTATGTTTATTTGCGCTATGATATCAGCCTAACAGTAACCGGATGAGAGTCATTATTTGTTCGAATTCGGTGATGCCTGAGTCCATGGGTGAAGTCTACGTACGGAAATCTATTACCATAATACCTGCTCCGTAATTTACATCCGACTGCGGCTAGTCCGAATAAGGCCAAGGCTAGTTTCCCACGGAGTACTCCGTCTGCGCTTTTATTGGCGGATACCGTGTATTACGGCGTATTGATACAGCTATCTATGAGCCGCCTGACACTAATCCCAAATGGGAAAAGAAAAAAGCAGCGGGAGTAGGAGTGAATCTTAAGAGAATACTACTATTACTGCTGCTTTCTTATATACGCTCTCTTTCCTCTCTTTTTCTTTTGCCTTTTCCATCTCTTCTCCTTCGTCATCAACTCTTCCTTTTCCCTCCCTCTTCCGATCCAGATTGACGACGGTGTGAAGCTGCTTGAGCTCTTCTCACGGTTCTCTTTCTACTTTCGTCCTCGCCTCTTATTTGGTCGAGATTCGTCCCCTGGCCAGACATCGTCCTTTCCAATCCGACAACATTATTTTGATTCATCACTGAGCCTGTTCTCGGTGTCTTTTCTGTCCTCGATACATATTTTTCTCTCTTATTTCATTTGATTCAACAGGAAACCTCTCCGTCACTTCTTCAACCGTACGACAAGTAGCAGCATCGCTAGCGACAGCAGTATCACCAGAAGCAACGGTTTCCTCGATCACCAGCCCGAATCCCCGTGCGCCATTATCGATTCTAGACCCTGCATCCGAGTGTCAACCCTGTGCGACAATCGAACCGTTTGCCCGGTATTCAAGATCGAGTCCCGTCGCGCAAGTCCAACGGTTTTGCAGCAAGCCCCGATTTCAACAGCTATTGCATCTGCCAATTGGCCCTTTGCAACAATCGTCGAAGTCTGTCCGTTCTCACGATCTAGGGTTTTTGCATTTGTCCCGATTGCGCCAATCACGAAAGCCGATTTCTAGTAGAAATTAGCCCATACGCAAAGCCTACAATTGACCTACTCAGATTCACGGACTGATATTTCGAAGTAATAACGTCAGTGCATTTTGTCCGGTTTCCCAATCGCGTCTTCCCGATCAGCTCTCGTTTCTCCATCATTCTTCCCTAGCGACAATTCCAGCCCACCATCAAGATGCCGTTGATCCTCAATCCCTTCAAGCGACAGGAAAATTCGAATTTTCCCGGAGTTGTGGTGCCTCTCGCCCCGTCTTCGCCTGAGCGCTCGCCCTCTCCCCCGCCACCGTTTTCGGCAGACCCAGAGAAGAAGCCCAACCCGGATGAGAAATCGGATGGCAGAAGCCTGGATAGATCAGAAAATGGTGTTGGTCCTGTGTCCGTGGGCGGTCTCTTGACTATTGATGCTCTCAGAGCGGAGGTCGAGTCGGATATTTCTACCTCGGGCCATGACTCTACCTATGACCGTATGTTGTGTTTGGAGAGGAGACAATTTGTTCGGTTAAGCGGGCAGTGTTATTAACACTGATACAGGAAAAGCAAAAGTAATCAACAGGGCGATTTCGGACATTGGAATGGGCCGTTATCAATGGGAGCTATTTGCGCTGTGTGGATGCGGTTGGTTAGCAGACAAGTGAGTACCTTTACCCCTCAGAAGCGATAGGTCGAAGCTAACTTCTTCCAGCCTATGGCTACAGGTATGCAGTACTCTTAAGATACATGAGTTGAGAGACTAATCACGTATAGGGAATTGCCCTAACATTAACCCAACTCTCTGCGGAGTTTGGCGTCTCAGACAATCGAGTTCGTTTCTCGACTTGTGCCCTGTTCTTGGGTCTCTGTATCGGTGCCTCATTTTGGGGTATTGCGTCTGATGTGATCGGACGGCGGCCGGCCTTTAACTTGACTCTTCTTATCAGTGGAGCGTTTGGCTTGGCTGCCGGAGGTGGGCCTAATTGGGTTGGGTATGTTTACTCAACAATAATAACTCTCCTTTGGCTTGCATGAGACTAATGTGAACAGAACATCTGCCCTATACGCCTGCCTTGGTCTCGGTGTTGGTGGTAACCTGCCTGTGGATGGAGCGCTCTTCTTGGAATTCCTCCCGTTTGCTTCTGGAAATCTCCTGACCATGCTGAGTGTGTGGTGGCCGATTGGTAACCTGATTGCAAGGTACGTTCAAAATTCACAGGGAAACAAAAGGAAATATGCTAATGATAATAGTGTTGTGGCATGGGGCTTAGTCCCAAACTACTCCTGTGCACCAGAAGATAGCTGCGCCCTAGTGGCTCCCGGCGAAGCCTGCTGCAAAAAGGAAGACAACATGGGCTGGCGATACCTTGTTCTCACTCTAGGCGCAATTACCTTTGTCATGTTTCTCGGCCGTTTCTTCCTTTTTCATCTGTACGAGTCGCCCAAGTTTTTGCTTTCACGCGGTCGTCAGGATGAAGCCGTGGCTGCGGTGCAGGGTATTGCGTACAGGAATAAGAAGACTACATGGCTTACGGTGGATGTTCTTAACGAGATTGGTGGTCGTCAAGAGGAGGTTGAAAGTCCGAAACTGAGTTATATGGAGATTATCAAGCGGACAATTTCCAAGTTCTCGTTTCAGCGGATTGCGCCTCTTTTCGCTACGAAGAGGCTTGGTCTTTGCAGTAAGCCCTTTCCCCTTCCACTAGCTCAAGATGAATGCTAACAAAACAGCCGTCCTAATCTGGTTCTGCTGGGTAACAATCGGCATGGCCTATCCCCTCTTCAACGCCTTCCTCCCCCAATACTTCTCCGCCTCCAGCTCCACCTACATAACCTACCGCAACTATGCCATAACCTCCATAGTCGGCGTCCCCGGCTCTATCCTCGCCTGTTACACCGTCGAAATCAAATACATTGGCCGCAAAGGCACAATGGCCATCTCCACCATGCTCACCGGCGTAATCCTCTTCTGCTTCACCGCCGCCCCGGACTCAAACACCCAACTCGTCTGTTCCTGTCTTGAGGCGTTTTTCCAGAATATCTCGTACGGGGTGTTGTATGCGTATACACCGGAAGTATTTCCGGCGCCGGTTCGGGGTACAGGGAATGGGATTGCGAGCTGTTTGAATCGGATTGCGGGACTTTGTGCGCCGATTGTGGCGATTTATGCGAGTGGTGCGGATCCGAAGGTGCCAATTTATGTCTCTGGGGCGTTGATGTTGGCTGCATTTGTGGCAATGTGCTTTTTTCCGATTGAGACGAGGGGGAAGCAGACTCTGTGACCTTCTTTGTTCGTCTTTTGGAAAATGTACTCCACTCAAAGAGGGAAAAGAAAAAGAGGAGGATTGTTGTTGCTTTTCGCTGTTTTTATTGAAGGCATGAAGCATACGAATATCCCAGAAATGTGGCATGGCGTGTTGTGTTTGCTTTTCTTTTCCACTCTTGACTTGCTTGTTTTCTATGACGAATCGATGATTGTATGTACATGTTTAGTAAATACATGCTCGCTCTACTTCACTGTTATTACATACTAGCCCTAGCAAATGGAAGGTTGATATACTTAGGCGGTGATGGCATGCGCCCAAAAGTATTACCATTGGGAAGTGACTTACGAACAAGAGACAGTAGAACATCCATTTACGTACTTGTACAAGCAAAGCAATCTAAGCCCACGAATGCAAGCAAACAAGCAAGAAATGCAACCTGAAATTGCCCATATGTATACCAAATCAGATAACTCTTTAAGAGTAGAACAGAACAGAACAAATAGGACAATCGTGTATAAACCTAGTATAGCAAAGAAATGAACCCAGCATAAATTAAAAGAAAGAAAAAAAAAAAAGAGAAATCCCATAACTAATGCTTAAACCAAACCAAACCAGACCCCAACGAAAAGAAAAAAAAAAAAAAAAAGCTAATGCAAACCAGAGACAAGACCCGATCCCAGATTGAAACCGAACGTGAAAGGAACGCGGAAAAGAAAAGAAATTCGTGTACTTTCTTTTATCTCATCAAACTCGTCAATGGAGGCAAAAGAAGGGTAACAGGCGGTAGATGGGACGAGGGGGGAATAGAGCGGATAGAAGAAACAGATTAAGCAGCTTGTTGGCGCTGACCTCTCTTCTCTAATAATGTAGCCTTGTTGAGACTGAGTTCGAATGGCTCCCGAGGACCCCGAGCAATGGGCTTCTTCTCGATATCGGCCTTGTTGCGGGGGTACTTTTGTGCCACTGGTGGGTTGGCGTGGGCGTCTAGGTTTGTCGATCGTAACTTGACTTCCATGGAGGCCATGTCCTTTGCCAGCTGAGAGGATTTGTGGACCTTCGGTGGCGGGTTTTCCAAAGGTTGATATGTGATTCGTTCCTCTTCCTCGTCATCGGAGGCTTCGTTGAGCGGATTCAGAGCAGATTGGAAGCGAGCAGTAGGGTCTTTGTATGCCTGCTTGGAATTCCTGCGACGTTTCTTCTCTTCCTCTTCCCGACGTACGGCGTACCCGACATCAAACACCTCACGCAGGTTAATGGCACCAGGCGAGCGGAAGTCCAATGGACGGTCGACAATAGAAGGTGTTTCTGCTGCCATAGGATCCGTGGACGTTTGCTGTGGTCTGGGAGTTGCAAGGGGCGGAGCATCTGCGGCTGCCTGTGTCTCCTCGTTCGACTCGCGAATCCAAGGGTGGTCCAGGAATTCTCTGATAGTGTAGCGCTTTTCCGGGTCGACAGTTAGGAGGTGAGAAATGAGGTCCTGAGCTGACTTGGAAATCTCGTCCCACCAGGGAGACAGGAATGTGTACTGCCCGCGGGCCACCTTTTCAGTGAGAACCTGAATGCTCTCGTCGTAGAAAGGAGGGAAACCACAGAGAAGAGTGTATAGAACACAGCCCAGGGCCCACATGTCAACACTCTTGGAATACCGTTCATCCTTGACGATTTCTGGAGCAGTATACCCAACAGTACCACATGGTGTCATGGTCTGGTTGTCCCAGATCACCTTGGAGAGACCAAAGTCGGCAATCTTGATTGTTCCAATACCACCTGATCCAACTCCCTGAATGAATTCACCCTCATCCACCTTGTCTTCGTCTCCTGGCTGGACAGGCTTAGGGTGCTTGCTAGGGGTAAAGGGTATGGGGTAGAAGAGGAGGTTTTCTGGTTTAATATCACTGCGCAGATTAGTATGCGATCAATATCCGACTACAGAGGGAGCAACGTACCGATGAACAACACCCGAGGTCTCGTGCAGATACTCAATAGCCTTTGCGACTTGGAGGATCACGTGGCGACTAAGTTCCTCGCTAAAGTATGTTAGGCGGACGATCTGGTGGAATAGCTCGCCCCCAGGGCATAACTCGAGGACGATATAGTAATATTGACGAGCCTCGGAGAAATCAATGAGTTTGACAACATTCGGATGGTCGATTTGGCGCATGATCTGGACTTCTTTGAGAATATTTGCGCGCTGTCCAACAAACAAGTTAGCGAGCCATGGCAAGACCGAGCGACGAAGGGAAAAAGAACTTACCTGAGTGCTGTTCATTTCGTATTTCCGAACGACCTTGATGGCCACCTGATCATGAGAACCAGTCGCATCCTTGGCGCGATAGACATTGCTAAACGCGCCATCACCCATCTTCTCCAGCAGAACCCAGCGCTCTAGCCCCGGGTACTTGGGCATCTGCGAACTGATGTGTCTTTCCTCAGCGACAATCTTCTCGATCTCGGCCTCCCGTGCGCGCTTGTGCTGCGACTGCCCGTCGGGAGATTTCTGGTGACCAGCATCTTGTTTATTGCTAAGTTTGCTGTCGATAGCGTCGAGGTTGCCGGCGGCGGAGGCGCCCTGGGGCTGGCGCTGATGTTGGGCGTGGATGGGCGAGACATTGGTGGTGGGTTCGGCATGCGGCGTCACTAGACGGGCCTGCTTGCCATGACGTATGAAGTTTTTGAGACTTTGTATAGTGCTCATAGTGTCTTTTCTTTTTTTGTGTTAGACTCAGGGGCGGATGTTTTTTTATTTGACGGCGGAATACGAGAAAACCCGCAGATTCTTCTGTGGGGGAAAAAGAGAGAGAAAGAGGGAGAAGAGAGAGGGCTAGGGAATTTGCCACACGAGAATGCAGCGACAGAACAGAAGGGAATAAGAGAACACAGTCAGTGCGAATAGAGGATATCAAGATAAAAGAGATAACACAACGGTAGAAAAGACACTCAAGGAAGAAGAGATTGAAGGATGTTGGCGGGGATGTCAGAGGATTACTTCAGCAGCAGCAGCGTAGCAGCAGTACGTAGTTTAACAGCAGTAGGAAATACTTTGATACCTGCAGTGACAAAAGATCCAAAGATAAAAGATAAAAGATAAAAGAAAAAGTAAAAAAGGAAGAAAGACCGAAAAAATAAACCAAAAAGAAAAAGAGGAGAAAATGAAGTCACCGCACCAAATTCCTTAAATAGCGAGCCAACGCCTATGACGCAGAGATCTGCATTACTGTACGGCGTACATGCCCTCTACTACAGAGCATTGGTCTTCTAGCATTGTTCTACATAGTACGATACTACTACTACTGCTGAGAGAACACAAAAGAAACCGGTTCCTTCTTCGCTATTCCCCAGTTGAACCACCGGGTTTATTGTCTGGTCAGCCCAATTGTACTCTGCCAATGATGCCGGATGATGATGCTACTGTCGTCACTCGCCACTATGGCAACTGACTATGAAACCGGACAGCCTCTTAAGAGACATCTGGATTCTTCGCCCCTGTCTTTTTTTCTTTTTTGAACATTTCCCCAGACTACCAACAGCCCGGCTAGTCTCTCGGAGCTCTCCGTCATATCACCCGCCACAGGCTTGGCTGGTGTAGTTGCCCGTGCAGAGTATGGATGCATTAATCCGCGGCGAAATTGAACTTGACTAGGACTATAACCGACCGGTTTCATGTCGGGTGTCTAACCTGTCAATGGCCGCATATCCTGGGCATGACCGGGAAACCACGCACGCGTGTGTTACTCTCCTGTAGACAGGATAGCCATCCCCCAGCCAGGATGAGAATGCAAGTTCCTTGTTCCATGCAGCGATGAACCTGCGTGTCCTTGTTTATCTTTCATCTTCTACAGTGCTCTAGGATACATCAGCCACAGCCACCTCACTTCCCCCCTATCCTATTCCCCCCGGGATCCATGGTTGCTCGCTCATCGGTTGTTGACGATCCGCTATGGCTATGACGCCATTCCGAGCATTGGCTGTGCTAGATCGCAGTGTTGCCCCTATGTCTTTTACGAAGGATCAGAGTCAATTCGAACTCGCAGCCAATCCCAACCTTCACAGCAGATTCCTTCGCAGTGGCTCAGGTATCCGCTGTGTGCCTTACCGTGTGGAATTGACATGAAACTCATATCGGCTGGATGTGACTAGGGAAATTGCCCTGATGTCAGACTGGCTCAAACAACGCTTTGGTTGGAATGACCCACTAACGGCAGGAATGTTTCTCATTCGTAATGGGTTCTCCAATTTTGCACAAGAATAGGGGCTGTAGACGAGCTGTGGGTTGGGGTGTCGCTAATACCATGTGCTTTGTCAGATGCTGTCAATGCGAGGAGCAACTGTTTCTGGAGAGGAAACAGCATCCACTATTACTATCATGGGGTAGATTGGACTACTAGAGGATTAAAAGAACGGAGTCAATCTGTAAAAGTGTAGATCTGGGATAGCACTGCCCACAGTGTGTATTCCAAGTATCCATCTGTCTCACCGTCGCAAAGCAGGAGTAAACGGTACGAATCTCCAACCGCGGTCAATCGTGTCCAGCTATGCATCGCATGCATCGCCTGATCGCGGTGTTCCCGACAGAAAGATTCTATTATTCCGCACATGGTTCCTGTGAGACTGTCTAGTAGTCCTAGTGAGATCGACGCCTTTCTCTTGAAGCACGATTCCTCCCTATACAGAAAGAAACCGACCAGCCCACCCACGCAGTGTCCTCTCAACAAGCATCCCGACGCCGAGCCTCCAAGCAAACAATCCAGTGGAGGAAACGCATATTGGGTCGTGACGGTGGAGTAAATAACACAAGTAGGCCCCATGTGATTATGGCGTTTTGGATGGCAGCTTTACCCGTATAAACACGTACCAGATTCTCGATTCGATGGTGTCTATCTACGAGATACCCGTTGTCAATTACTACTGGGAATCAGGCGTTCATTCTCCAGTTTTTCCTCCACAGGCCCAATGTATCTCTGTGCTTGTGTGAATCTTCATAAATGTATTGGCAGCACAGACAGACCAGGCCGCTTGACATCTTGTCGAGCGTGCACCGAGTATTCACATGAACCTTATCAACAGGAAACGCTTGAGCCAGAAAACGCCCAAACATCTGTCCGGTGCAGATGCCGTTCTAACGTAAGTCAGTCACATCGAATCCAAGGAACTTACGGTTTGCAGCAGCTACCTCTGAACATCCCTGTTATTCACCTGGTGAATGAATGAGCCCGACCTCGATGATGATTCTGCTTGGTAGATAGTCCATTGCCATAAAGTTGACAACACTGTGGAGATAATACGCGAAGCCAAATAAGACTGGAGAGCTTGTTCATAGCGATACCCACCGGGTACCTGTCTCAGGTAAATGGTCTCATTGTAAGTTGCAATGCCATATTCAGGATACATATGCTGCAGATCCAGGGCACAAGCCCGAGAGCAGACAACGGCTTTATCAGGACACACTGGGTTTGCTTGAGCTTGTGAGACTCCACTGGCCGGCGAGTCGCTGGCTTCAGAAAGCCGATGGTCTCTAGAAATGCGAGATTATGATATTTTGTTCGACAAGAAAGCATATACCTCATTGAGCGAGTGATATGCTTCGTGGGGCTAGATGAGTTGTTTGGCAGAAGAAGAAAAAAAAAAAGTCACGCTTTTGTCCCCGCTCTCCAACTTCAAGTTTTCTCCTCTTCATCCTTCTCATTACTACCTTTTTTCTTTCATCACTTCCTCCTTTACCTTGTTTTATTTTTACGACTCGACTATTTAATGACCTGATGATGTTACGATTCATGTTTTGACGCCGACGTTTCTTCCCTTTCATTTCCCCGACTCGCATCTCCACCGCGCCTCATTCTGACTTCGAACACGTCGCTACTCAAAGCTCTTTCGATTGAATATTTCAGAATCCGTCCATATTTGACATCGCCCCCGGACAAACACTTGTTTGTACGGGTACGTGTACTTGTACTGCGCTGCCCGACGGGCCGATCTGTTGCAGATTCCACCCGCATATTCCACAACAGCCCTTGCCGTTGCATGTCGGACTCCCTTGCTTGAGACCTGGTTTCGCCTTAAATATCGGTTATCCGTGCAGGAAACGGGCTGGTCCCTTTCTGCGCGTGGGTCGGAATTTACGTTCTGCACGTGGACCTGTACTGCATTGACTGCCCCAGTTACGGATTGTCTCGTCTCGCTATGCGATCTCTCCGTTCTTAATACTTTTCCCTATAACTCCTGAATCTGCTCTGCAGTGCCATGCTATTATTGTATTCAACCAATTTGTCAGGATATTCTTGTTATTGCTATTTGGATTCTGATATCGATATGCCCGGCATGCGCGATTCCGATTCTTCCCTTGTCGCATCGGGCATAAAACAATCTCGTTCCAAGTCCCATAAAGCCCCTCGCAGGAGAGAAATTGTCATACAGATATTTGCCCCGGATGCACGAAACAGCTTCTCAGACCTTCATGACCATGAAAAAGCCCCGTCTCTTGCTTTGACCCGTCGCGAACCTACTGAAGACGACCTCTCTAGCGACGACGGCGAGAGGCACGATGAGAAACTGTCTCGGGACTACCGCATTCCTGAAATCAGAGTATCGACGGCCGAGGAGACTCCGGTTCGAGTGTCTCGAAGTACCAGCCGTTCAAGACAAACAACACCCTCAGTTCGCACGGAGACGACTCGTGGAACTGTGTATTCCGACGGTGATTCAGATACAACTTGTCGCTCGTCTACGCCAAGGCGACAGGAAAGGAGGAAAGCGGATTCACAGAAGCCGCTGGAAAGGGGCGAACATCCTTTGAGGACGGAGGTCAAATACGATTCAGATCGACCCAAAAGATCAGGAAACTCTCCGCAACCCAGCTCTTGCGAATTGACAATCAACATATCCAAACGACAGCGTTCAAGAAAGTATGATCGCCATGAAAGCAAGGATACAGAGCCGTGGGGACCACCTGCGATTGATACGGAAGCGCGCGATTTGGGAACCCCTTTGGGACACGAGAGCAACGTGCGCGACCAAGTTGATTATGTTCACGGTCCTGCACATAGTCTATCCCTTGAGCAATTCCGTGAAGAGATTGGTTGGCCAGTTGATTATCCTAAAGACCCGGATCGTCAAAGATCCTCGGGGGTGTCCGCAACATCGACGGTGGAAGCCGTGGTTGTTGATCCTGTGCGATCGACGAAACCGATCTTGCGACATACGGAGAAGCGACCTTCGTTGCGCTCGGCCAGTTCGCCTGTCACAAAGTTAGAGCATGCATCGACGACTTCCGGGCCCGACACGCAACATCGATTAGTGCACAAAGCAGCCCGTATAACGGATGAAGACCGCAGAATCATTGCGCCCGAGATGTCCGTACCCGCGGCCCCAACTTCCGAGGCACCGCACCAGAACGTTGATGTAGTCCCTGTGGTTGTCATCCCAGAGCGGCGTTCCTCTCTGAAGACTTCACCATCAACGTCCACTAGCCGTAACCCATCCAAAGCTTCTTCTCAGCGATCGCGTCGGCGTGCAGCCACAGCACCAGGGAGCAGAGCTAGCTCTTTGGGCCCTCCGCGAAGAGCAGACTCGGTCGCTGGAAGTCGTCGGCCTATTGTGCCTCCGCGCAGGTCCTCATTGTCAGCACCCACGAGTGCAAACAACTCGCGGGCTACATCTCTCACATCCGATAGTCTTCGCAGCCATACACTGGCCATAGAGGACGTCGAGAGGCGGAAACTTCAAGCAGAGCAACCGCTACTTGAACCTCCGCGCCAAACTTCACGCCCCGATTCCCACATGTCTGACAATAAAACGCAGTCGATTTTGATCGGAATCGAGGATATGTCTGATCTTCTTAGTCCTTCGATGCCTTTGAGCCTAGGCTCCATGCCTTCATCCCCAGGGTGGGAACTTAGTGAAGCCAAGGCTGTGAGCCTCTACCCGCATAACAACGAATCGCTTCTGGTTATCGACCAACAAAAGCGCAGGGAGAGGAAGGCTTCTGAGGCTCAGCGCCGGCAGTCAACAGCCATGTCTCAGGCTAAGCCTAAACAGCTTATTAGCCCACCCATTCAAGCCAGCCCGCTGACTCCACCTAAGGTATTCGAACGGGATTCGAATTCCAACGATCGAGAGCCAGTCTTTCGCAGATTTGGATCTCTGCGACGTGCTTGGACAGTTCGTTCTCGTCCAGGAGCCACTGATGCTCTCAAACGGTCCTTCTCAACGTCGGCGGCGAACCGCAAGACTGGAAAAGAACCCAATAGCCGATTCTGGCGCCTCCACAACTCCACTAATTCCAACACAAAGCCGCCCTCATCCTCCCAAACCGGCAACCAAAATGAGCATATCATCAAGAACTCTCTAGGCATGCCTCAACCCCGCGTGGTCATCAACGGCCCCGACGTCCACCCATGCCACCAAACCCGTGCATCAAGGTCAGAAACGCGAAAACGAACTCGCCTCTACGACCCATCTCTCAATCGCAGCACCCTTGCACTCGGAAGCACCCTCAACAGCCCCGGATTCATCAACCGCACCACCCGCACCTCGCCCCTACGCCGGCGTAGCTTCCATTTAGTTTCCATGATGGGATACCGAGTTCGACTCGCGACGATGCAGAAACGGTTGCGGCGGAGGAAGCAGCTGCGCGAGGAGCGGAAGCATGAAGCCAGACGGGAGAAGTTGAAGCAGAGTATTGGGAATGTGGTGCAGGTGCAGTCCAGTGCTGGGAATGCCGTGTTGACTCGGGGGTTGTGATTTCTTTGGAAGTAAACATTTGTCAATGTTTTGGTTGAACCTTGGAGATTGCATTATATTGCGTTTGATTGGACCGGATTTTACTACATTTTGATGATATGATGATATATGTTATGACTTATGATGATTTGCTTTTTCATGTTTTTGGTTTTTTTATTTTTTGTCCTTGATATCTCCAGATGAACACGATATGGCATATTTTCTTGACCTAGTTAATCAGCCTAGATTGCATTGCATTTGAATTGCATTCCTCCTGACCACAATCACTCTATCGTTAAGTAAACATTCAATGCTAAGTGTCGCTCTGATATGCTCGGCAAGAGCATAAAGCCGACGTCTATACAACGAAAGAAAAGAATGTATAAACATACCTCCATCTCCATATCATCACATAACCAGCTCCCGAACCCACAACCCAGGCCCAAGATTATCAGCAATAAACTCCTGCCCGATACTTGCTTTCTCACAAACCTCCTTCAGCAGATCCCTCATAAGCCACCAGTCATCCGGCTCATTACACCAATACCAAAACCAAACCCGGCCACACACATGTTGAAGCAGAGGCGTCGATGCCTTCCAGTCCCCCTTGAGATGGACACGCACAGCATCCGTTATCCACCCAACCCAGTACTCATGCTCCTCGACACTCGCCAAGTCACTTCTCAAGACCAGTCGATGCAGAGTTTGGGTAAGAGGTCTCTCATTCCACCAGGGCCGCCGAAATCTGAATTTGGGCCGAGAAGGACAAGCATCGGTATCTCGGCTGTTTGGAGGCGTGGAAATTTTCTGAGAATGCCATGAAATAGCATTAGTAGGTGTGCTTTGCTCTCGTCTTTATGGAGATTGCTATTGAGGCCTGGGTGGTATTCTACGCCCATGAAGAGATTCTCGATGGTCTTGCTGATGGATTATAGGGCTTGTGCAATAACCCCGCTGCTCTCAAGGATTGTTGTGTGTGCCAGTCATATGCTATTCCCAGATGGAGCTTTTCAGAGATTGGGTCTGGGTGAACAGAGAGGTGATGGCTTGTGCTGAGGCCATTGAGCGAGCTAAGATGAGTATTTGCAGTTGGGGGAAGTTTGGGTTTGTTTCCGAGAATCTCGAGGCTTGCATTGTCCCGCAGCTAGATCGATATATGACGAACGGAAGGTAGACAAAACTAAAAGACAAATTGACCCAAGCAATAACTACCTTGGATGCCATCGACCCCTGGTTCATCCGTAGGCAAAACTTGTCCTTCTGGCTCATTCATAGGCCAGTCTTCTTCTTGTTCATCCATAGGCGAATATTATTCCTCTGTCTCCGATATAGCTGCATATAGATCTTCTTCCTCTTGCTCAGCCGGAGTGACTCAAGTTTCGACGGTATACTGGCGGAATCAGGTTCCCTTGAAAAAAGCGAATACATCACCGTCCTCCCAGGATACCCACCAAGCCAGACAAAAGAGTGAACCATGCGAAGGGCCTTCAAATGGCGCAGCCTGGAGATAAAAATCGCTACAAGGACGTGGAACATCTCTCTTTCGAGAAACCCCACTCACTCAGGCTCTTCCTCCGGGGTAAACCACGTAAGGTAAATGGTGCGGCATGCAGCCGAAACCACATCTGCGAAACGCGACACCTCTCGGTTGCAGTCCATGACCTTCTGGCTGAGAACCCAGTGATCTACTGTTGGGGGATTAGAGGAGAGTATACTGATGTGTTGTACCGAGGATGCTACATCTGGTCTTTGTAGTGGAATGGTTCAGATAAAGTTGCAGTATTCGTTGCAGTGGGGTCATATGTGCAAGCCAGCTTAGGTTGATATCTTGGTAGAGAAAGGGCTCAGTGGATGCGTGTAGGCCTTTGCATGTTCGCAACAATGATGATTTATCAAAGGCTGAACAATGTTGCATCACGGAGAGTAGGCTCAATTGGCTATTTTCAGCCTACCAGAGGGGTCAATCTCTTGAGAATTTGATAGTTGAGAGATATACTAAATGGCGTGCTTCCAGGGTGATTGTCATCTCAGGACTATTGGCATTGATTATTAGGCGCGATAACAAAGGCAGAAAACTGTGGAGGCGGGGCAATGTTCATGCATAAACAATTCAAGTCGACTTCCTCACCAAAACAATATTTTGACCAAGAAAAACAAAAAATGGATGGATATGTAGCTCGAGGCTACCAGCTGGAAATGCTGGACCAGAGCCTGAAAGAGAATATTATCCTGGTGGTCTGTCGCATTCATAACTAGCTATACTACTTGTATACAGATTCACCCCGCTAACCAAACAAGCAGATGGACACTGGGAGCGGAAAAACACACGTGTAAGTCGGAATCTGACACTATATCTCTAGAAAGAAAATCTAAAAATTGTCCATATAAAATAGGGCAAGCATGCGAATAACAGCCGAGTTAGCGCGGTGCAGTTCGGAAAAAATAGTCTGGTTCCTGACGCCCACCGTAGCGCTCGCCGCTCAGCAGAAAGAAGCTATCGCTTTACATATCCCAGCTATAAATATCAGACTGTTGATCGGGGATGATGGCGTGGATCGCTGGAGTGAACAGAGGATCTGGGATGCTGCACTTTGTGATATGAGTGTCGTTGTTTCGACGCACGCCGTTTTGGCGGATGCGTTGGCCCATGGATTTGTTAGGATGGAGAAATTGGCACTTATTGTTTTTGATGAGGGTAAGATTTTTTTTTTACGAGTATACTGTGTGTTATACTGATGCTTGATGTCTAGCTCATCACTGTGTCAAGAACCATCCGGGTAACAGAATCATGAGAGATTTCTATCATCCCACGAAGAAGAGCAGAGGCCTGCAGGCCGTGCCTCACATTCTGGGACTGACAGCGAGCCCCATTATGAAATCCAAAGTCGCTGATATCCGGTGCGTCTTGGTCTTTACTTCTTCTTCTTCTTTTTTTTTTTTTTTTTTTTTTTTTTGCAAAAGCTCATGTATTAGAAAAATCGAGGAAAACCTCGACGCAGTGAGCCGGACTCCGCAACTACAACGACAAGAGCTCATGAAATATGTCCACCGGCCAAACCTATCTCAACTAGCATATCCTGCCATATTTGCTGATGCAATCCATCCTGAAGATGTTGCTTCTCTTCAAGTCTTATTTCAACTCCTTCCTGATCGAAACGAAGGTCCTTGCTCAGATTTCACTGGTGCCTTGATTAGCTTGATAGGCGCAAAAGCGCAAGACCAGATGACCAGGTTCTTCATTAGAGCCATGAAAATCTATTACACACTGGGTGCCTGGGCTGCAGACTTTTTCATCATAGAGACGACGCGCAGGATCGTGGGTCAGGTAAAGTCTAATGTCAACAGTTTATGGGTGGACCAAGTGAAGGTAGGCCTAGCTGAGAGGCTAGAGGCCCTTTTGCATACTAGTCGAATTCCGCTTTCTGCTCCTGGTGCTGTCTCTGGGAAAGTCGAGCGTCTTTTATCATTTTTGCAAAATGAGGATCATGGTAACTTTTTTGGGATTGTCTTTGTCAAAGAACGAGCTGCTTCATATGTACTGGCAGAGCTTGTTGCACAGCATCCAGCGACTCGAGATGTATTTCGCTGCGCATCGTGCATGAGTTCTACGAACAGAAGCAAGAAACATGATATTTTCAATGTGCTGGATCCGGACACAGTGGACGAGACGCTATTGCAATTTCGAGAGGGCGGGAAGAATCTGATTGTGGCCACGGACGTTCTCGAGGAAGGCATTGACTTAACGGCTTGTCATTTGGTTGTGTGCTTTGACCACCCAAGTAACCTCAAATCGTTTATTCAACGGCGAGGTCGTGCTCGACAGCAACAATCCACGTTTGCGATTATGATTGCAGATGATGATATGTCAGATGCGGTTACGCGGTGGCAGGAACTCGAGGAAGAAATGATTCGGTTGTATCAAGATGACAAGCGAACGCTTCAACAGCTCGAACAGCTGGAGAATTTACCAGAGGATGTCGCATTTCAATTGAGGTTAAGGACGGGGTGTGTATTGTAGCTCTCAACATGCAGCTTGGGTCAGTTAGCTAACATCATTTTCAGGGCATTGCTGACAGCAAATACTGCGGTCTCACATCTCTATCATTTTTGCACAACACTACAGTCCAAGGAGCTTGTCGACTTACGCCCCCGGTTCAAAGTCGAGAAAGAGCCCAAAACCGGCCGGTTCAGAGCTACAGTTATCCTCCCAAGTAGTCTTGATCCAACACTCCGTGTTGCGCAAGGCCTTCTGTGGTGGCTCACGGAGCGCGCAGCCAAGAAGGACGCAGCCTTCCAAGCATACACCGCAATGCATCGAGCGAAATTAGTAAACGATAACTTCCTCCCATTGACTCGGAATCAAATCCTGGCACAAGCCGCCGAGGGTCATGAGGAGATACTCGATAGGCCAAAGCTTGCTAATTTTGACTCTTACGACCCCTGGAAAGAAATGTCCGGAACACATTTGGGCACGGACGTACATAGGAGTCGCATTTTCATCAAACATAATGGGATACCTCGTCCTGATCTTGGAGTAGCCATGATAACACCGGTTAAGATACCCGAGGTGGAACCATTGACGCTATACTGGGACAGCCAGACTACTTTCGAGATCTCCTTGGAGAAATCAGAGGTCGTCAGTGTATCGCCATTGGACCTGAAGCTCATGCGAGAGACTACGCATACTTTACTAAACTCTGCGCGGACAAAACGACCGGAGGAGGATGACAAAAAATGCTATGCTGTTCTGATAACTCCAGACGTTCCAGCTGAAACTGCTAGTCTCGAGAAATGGTTGGGTACTAACAGAGGGACCCATAACTGTCTAACATGGTATAACGAAAAGTCCTCTGCCGCTCCGCCTGGAATAATCAGAAGCCATGTGGTATACAACAGACCGCATCAGTTTGTCCGCTGGATACTCCCCGAGAATGGCTCGGAACTACTGGCGCAAGTGCGACCTTTCAAGAGGAACTGGGACGTGCTACACCAAAACTCATCATTATCAGCAGTACCGAATTCCAATGACAAGGAATCAGAAGCCAAGGACACGCAGATCCAAGCTCGGGCTTGCACCTCTGATCGTTTACCCTGGGAAATGGGCCGGGTCAGCATCCTTCTGCCTCAGCTGATGCACGGGCTGCAGCGGAATCTGGTAGCAGCGCGTCTCCGCGAGACATTACTTCGGGATATTCCCGGCATGACTATCCGAACTGTTGCAGAGGCCATCACGTGTCCTTCAGTGCAGTGGACGAATAACTACCAGCGACTTGAATTTCTCGGCGACGCCGTTCTCAAATACGCCGTATGCATCCAGCTCTTTCACGACAACCCGCTTTGGCCCGAGGGATATCTAACCCAGCGGAAGAGTCATGTTGTCTCCAACGCATCACTTACAGACGCAGCTATGCGCGCAGGCCTAGAGAAATACCTCTTCGCCAAAGCCCTCATAGCCCGCAAATGGACAGTCCCAACCCTAACAACAGCAGAATCCCTCCCCGCACCCCCCGAAAAAGAACTCTCCAGCAAAATGGCCGCAGATGCCTTGGAAGCTCTCATCGGCGCGGCCTATGTCGACGGCGGCATGGCCCTCGCCTGGTCAATGATCCACCTATTCCTCCCCAACGTTGTCCGAAACACACCACCGTCTATCGGCTCCTCACCAGACCACAATCTTAGTCCTATCCCCATCGCACCACCACACCTCGATGATAACATCGACCAACTAGTCGGGTACCACTTCACAGACCGTTCCTTGATCTGGGAAGCCCTCACGCACCCCTCGTGGCAACGAGACCTGTCCACGGCATCCTACCAACGTCTTGAGTTTCTGGGTGACGCACTCCTCGACCTCATCATAAACCGCCGCATCTTCGCACACACCCCCGCCATGTCAGAGAGTACAATGACACACGTCAAAGCCGCGCTCGTGAACGCGCACTTTCTCGCCTTTCTTTGCATGGAACATAACCTCGAAACAGGCGTCCGTTCAATCCAGCAGTCCCCGCAAACTGGGACCTTCGATACAACAATCACAAAGAATACGCTCGAGTTGTGGAAATTCATGCGCTTTGATAACCCCGATTTTCTAACCACCCAGCGCGCATTCCTCCAGCGCCATGCGAACCTCCGCGACACAATCAAGCATCAGTTAGAATGCGGTGATGAATTTCCCTGGGGACTGCTTACCAAACTGCGTGCCGAAAAATGTTACTCAGATATCATTGAAAGTATCATCGGCGCGATATTTATCGACACACACGGGGACATCGACGAATGCGAGAAATTCCTACACCATATCGGGATGATGAAGCATCTCGGCCGCGTGCTTGTGGATAATGTCATCGTTGAACACCCGCGCACGAGACTCTATACCATGGTTGGATCGAGGAAGGTTGAGTATAACGATGTGCCGGGGAAGGGGAATGTTAAGGATGTTGGGTTTGGGGTTCGTGTTACGCTAGATGGAGAGGAGTTGGCGACTGTGCTGGGGTGTTTTTCGAAGGATGAGGCTGTTGCTAGCGGGGCTGAGATGGCGGTTGAGAGATTGCGCGAGATTCTTTCTACATTGAACGAGGGATAGATTATACCGATAGTCTGTTTGACCTAGGGATATTAGGTTAGAGAAGATGGCTTCGTTCTGTGCAGGATGGATGTTTATACACGTCAGGCAAATACTCGCATTATGTACTATGTAATGTAAATAGCTAGCTAGGAAACGCATTGCACATGGTATTCGCTGAATGATCAAAACACGCAAAGCAAACAAAACACCAAGGACTCCTTTTGCCCTCGTCAACGTAAACTGAAACCCTGTATGGTATAGTACATCACAGAATGAAAAGAGCATGAAATGAGATCATAGAAAATTTTCCGCAAAAATAAGAGGAAGGAAAAGCTTAGGCAATGCCCTGAGCCTCCATTCCTGAAACCGTTGAGTACGGATACGGTAAATCAACCAAGCCATCGAGTAGCCAGTTTAGTGGGTCGAACACCTCATAATTCGGTTCCATGAACCCGCTCGGTAGGCTATGTGTTTCTCCCACCCCGAGGTTTGCTTGAGCGAGTATAGGCGCGGGTGCTAAGCTGGGGTCCCCACCGCTGACCACTGGTGTTGAGGATGCGGGACGGCCTGCGGCAGCGGAGGAGTTTGCTGAGGAGTCTGCGTTGGAGTCAGGGTTTGTGGGGTTTTTGAGGTATGCTGTAGAGCGTTAACTATCTGCTTCATCTTTTACTTGTAGGGTAGATATAAGCATACCTTCGATATTCCGACCCTTGGTCCTTGCATCCTCTCGCCATCTCCACACAGAGTCGTAGAGCAAGGACATACTCATGCGACACCGAACCTTCAGCGTCAAAGTGTCGTCGACCTCCGTATTATTAGGAGCTGGAGCACCTCCCAATCTCCACATCTGCGCCAGAACCTCTGCCAGCCGTTCTGGGAGGTCGTTGCTAGACACAGACACACCGCGGATGGCCCAAATGGTTCGGTTGAAAAGGTTCTTGGTGTAATCCATATCGATGTGAGTGGAAAAGAAGCTCTTCCCCAGCTTCTGCAACGTGCATCCTCCTGCCACCATCATTTGGTATATATAGTAAGGTGTGTAAGATAGAACTGGTCCGACTTCTGTTTCGAGGTTCATGGCGGCCTCGAGGAACGATGTTGTTGCAGCGTAAAGAGTCAAGAGACGCTCACGGTAATCCTTCGTTGTCGTCGGATCGTCGAAGAAAGCTGATAAGTGAAGGTGGAGGTTCGCGGCGCGGAGATAAAGGTCGGTGACACCTTCAAGATTAGCATAGCTCTTTGCCGAGAAACAAGGTAACGTACAGTCATTTTGTACTTTGTGCTTCTGCTCAAGCTCATCAAAATCTCGCGCGAGGAACGATATCAAGGTTGACCGCTCCTGATCACTGCACAGTCCAACCGGGTCTCGCTGGTTGGTGTAAAGGGATTTGGTGACCTTGTTACAGAATCGCTCAATCTCGAGTCTGGGTTTTATGCCCTCAGGAAGCTTGAAGTTCGGGTCTGTCAACTCGCTCCACGACAGTGTCCAGTCGTAGAGAGTAGACGGTGGTTGTCCATAACCAGTTGCAACCCTAGACTAGTCAGCGATTGTCGGAAGGAAGAAAGAGAAGAACATACCGCTGAGCCACAATATTGCAGATCGCCCATGTTCTCACTTTATCCCTGAGCTCCTCCTCAATCAGCTCCACTGTGAACTTGCTAAAGTCCTGAGTGTGCGAAGGCCGGTGAAGACCAAGTTGCATGGCGACTTGCATCATCATACCACACAGCATGAACGTCGGGTCTGTTGAGGTACTGCTGGTTGGAAAAGGCCATGTGCAAAGCAGACAAAGAGCCTTGACGACATGGTAGCTCTGTGGGATGTCTGCTAATGTGCTCCATACGAGTCGCGACACCGGACCGGCCAGAGAATTAAGGAGATGAGAGTCCCCTTGGTACCGTCGTGCACCAACGCTAATTATAGTCCAGAAAAGAAGTGGCGAGGTGTGATAGTAGTCTTCAGGCGATCGCTCTCGGTCGAGGAACGGGAGGAATGGATGGTAGAATAGGAAAAACCTAGCAGCATTAGCATCGCTCGTGCGCAGAATGAAGGATATATTCTTACAAGTTGAATAACTCTGTCATCGTCTCTGGTATGATAATGACATCTTCAAGTCGCTTGAGTTGATGATTGCCATTCCGCATGTAGTTGGAACCATCAAAGCCCGAACGCAAGTCTAACAAGGACGCCACGGCCTCTTGAGAGCCCATGTACTGGTCAGACGATATGGCAGAAGGTGTCTGGTAAGCCCCAGCCGGACTGACATGGCTTGATTCTTGCTTTGGTGTAGGATGCGCCGATTGAAGAGGTTGCTGCTGGTGCTGGGCGAGATTATTCGCTTGCGAATTCGCAACCTTCTTCCTCAATTCAATGATCTCGCGTTCCATCTCTGCATTTCGGCTTCGCTTTCCAACGCGCTTGAAGTTTGATTCGATTTTACAATCGAGTTTTAGACGTCGACATCGCGAACAGTCGCTCCATGGGTCTTGAGACACATCGCATCGAAGCTGCAACAACAAAAAATTTAGCGCCTAATCATTGCAGCAAGAAAGCCAAGCCAAGCAAAGCGCATAGAGCGGGGGTGTACCTTTTGCTGGCGACATTCGTTGCACGCGCGTTTCACAGGCTGTCTCTTCTTCTCGTCACGGAGCTCACTGTCCTCGATATCATCCACATCTACACTCCCCGGAGAGCTGTCTAGCCCCGCCATGGTGACATTACGCTTTCTAGCTTGCCCCAGGCCGTCGGGGCCGACAGCAGCAGAATGACCGACACCTCCCATTATGGGGCTGGGCGCAGCATTATTGGGATTCTCTGCCCTTGGTCCGAGTATTGCCCCTGCTCCTGGCAATCCCCCGCCTCCGATTCCGCTTGACGATCCTCCGATAAACGCCAGACTGGGTTGCGTTGGTGTGTTTTGGCGATGCAGGGTGATAATCGATAAAGCTCGGTTGGAGTCAGAAGGAAAAAAAAAAAGGCCGAAGGCGGAGACCTCGACCTGGGTCACAGGATAGGGTAAGTGACTATTGATTTAATGAGGAATAGCTAATCAGAGTAGCTGCCAATAAAACCTTGCAGGAGACGGATTTTGATACGCGACAGAAGCGCTTTTCGTGAAGCTTTTCTCCAAAGGCCCCTCGAGAACGGCCGCAGATTCGATGAGGGGAAGTCCGATCTCGCTGTCACGTGAATTTATTACACGTGATTCGAATCAGGTGACTTCTGTATCTATTGATGAAAGTCGAGGTAGGTTAATAGTTGGTCCGATTACCGAGGCCGACAGATCCCTCATATACGGACACACACTCGTTTAGATAGCTAAGCACTCATTCTACCATCTACGGTGTCTATAGATATCATTGTCACCCTCCGTGTAATCTAAATTTCTTCTTCATATATAGCCTCGTGCAGTCCGGATAATCGACTCCCCGACTTCCCCGACTCGGAGTTAACCGCCTTATTGGTTTATCCGTTTCATCTATCAACAACCATGTATATCGGACCAACTACTATTACTACTCTGCAGATCAGGCACAAGTACATGCATGAATATCCCATTTCGCATATTATTTGATGCTTGGAAGCAATATATTACACCATTCTAATCCGCAACGTAGGCTGTGTTGTTGCCCGACTCTACCATGCATCGCCCCGTGAGCTCGTATACGATAAAATCTGCGTTAACGAAGCTTGTTGGTTCTTACCCGTCTGTCTGTCAGCCAATAAACCACTATTTCACTTGCCATAATCATATTGTTTCTGCCTAAATAGTGTATGATGCCATGAGAGGTCATCCCCAGACGCCTTGTCGATCAGACCCTTCATTATAAAAGCAGCCGCCCCGGTTTTGTTGAGCATATTGCTTCGTTCCCACAACATAGTAGCATATACATGAACTGAAGCGATACTGACATTATGAGCCCACCCGCTCTAGATACAGAAAATGGCGAGGGCCATGCCTCAGCTGACCCACCCCCGGCCTACGACGAAATATCAATCCCAGAACATGTGACGATACCCTTGTTGGATCTGAACAAAGACGCCGGATCACCTCGCAGCTCCACGGTCACGCCTGATCAGTGTGTCGCCCATCTAAAGCTATTAGCAGCCTTCGCAGATCTGCGCGAGAGCATTTCCACAGAAGATGGTCTCTTCGGCCTACATGACGCTCAGGCAGATGAATACTGGGACAAACGCAATCATATGCTTGCTAAAATACGAGAAAAGCGATGGGCTGTGTATGTCAGCCGAGCGGCTGAGAGATATTTGATTTGGTGGATGGAGTGCATTTCAAGTTCTGAGGGGCGGCCGACGCTCAAGACGCTGCAGAACATTCACTATGGGAGCGTTACAGGAGGTTTGTCGAGGATTTCTTGGAGCCATCAATATATGCCGCCTCTCGACGTCTTGATGGTATGGCATGCCCACATGCTTAATCCACGATCCTTTCTCGAAGACTGCATTCGTTACGGGAAAATGAACTTCTGGTCAACTGGCTTCCCCTGGGCTGTTATCAACAGATGCTTGAACGATAAGACCTTGGAATACAATGCAGGGGAAACCGCAAAAAGCAGATTCGAACAGGCAACCAAACTATCCTGGGATAACCTCCAAGACCCGCTTCGAAAATACATGGAATGCCTCAATTGTGGAGCCCTAGTGCACGTCCGATGGACAGCAGGACACATACCCTACCAATCCGCCATCCCATTCGAACAGTTCCACGGCTTCGCAGATAGGAGTTTTAAAGCGACCTGCTCTAAGTGCCGTTACGTTATCACACATGATAAAATCAAGGTCGCCAGATTCCGACGCGACGTCCATAAACTGCTAGACCGAGACTCGCCAATGCCAGGAACCCTCTACAATCTGAACGGCATCCCAGAAGCAGCAGGAACCACTCGAGTTGGCCTAGGGTCATTTTTCCCCAATTGGCTCCTACGGGTCGTGGGAAAAGACATACTCATGGTCACGCACCCGCTAATCAACCGCTGCGAGAACATGGCCGACGTACGCGATGAACTAGAATCCAAGCTCAAAGATATAGAAAGCCTCTTCAAAAAGGATGGCAGGCCTCCTCGACGCCGCATCGATCTAGAAGAAAAAGTTGCTTTCCGCCGAATGATGTCCAACTACTGGGAAAACACCTCCGCCTTCTCCCTAGACCTCGTCGGCGCCGTTATCCGCCAAGGAACCTTCGTCCAGAAAATGGACAACATCGACTGGCTACATTCCCCCACTGCCATGGGAACAATGACCCGCCTAATCAACAAATACAGAGTCTTCTTCCACATCATGGTCTCGAACCCGAAGCGTATGGCTGTGCCCACCCTCGATGTCGACCTAGCCTGGCACACGCACCAACTCTCCCCCTCTCGCTACTTTCAATACTCTGTCACGAACTCGAACCTTTTCTCAGTAACACAAGAACACGTATTTATCGACCATGACGACAAAGTTGGTGAAGACAAACTCTCCGACGGCTTCGAATGGACAAGCAAAATGTACAAAAAGTTCACAAACGGGGAACTCTACAGCGAATGCACATGCTGGTACTGCGAGGCCATCAGAGCCCCAGACCTCCGCAGCGGAATCTTCGTTTCCTCCGCTACAGCGCGAGCCCGCGAGACAGTCGCAGCCCTACACGATCGAGAGGATATCTCCTCAGACCCAGAGAAAAACCCACATATCTCCGCACACAACGCCGTAAAACCAACGACACTAACCAGTCACTACTCCATTAAAAGAACTCTGAAAGCAATGCAACTCCAAACCAACTACGAGCGAGCCCGTCGCCGCGCCGAGAAGCGCGAGCGCAGAAACTCTAAGGATGTCAAGAATAAAACTGCCAAAGACAGTAAGGACAAGGGCAAGGAAAGGAAAAATTCCGACGATGGTGGTCCTGCGACTACTGCGTTTCCGATTGTTTGGGGTGTGCCGGTCTACATGCCGTATTATGCGCCGTATATGTGTGATCCCGGTGTTAATTCTGATGCGTATGTGGGGAATCCGGCTTGTATGAACTTGGCACCTGGGGGATATGGGAATTGTGCAGCGGGGACGTGTGGTGGTGGTGTTGCTGCTGGGAGCTGTGGAGGTTCTGGAGGGTGTGCAGGTGGTGATGTTGGAGGTAGCTGTGGCGGCGGTGGTGGATGCGGAGGCGGAGGGTGCGGAGGGGGCGGCGGAGGAGGGTGTGGAGGAGGGTGTGGAGGAGGGGGAGGAGGAGGATGTGGTGGTGGTGGTGGAGGAGGGGGCTGTTGAGTTAAGCTTCATAACTACCTCGTTTCATGCACTAGATCATGATAGATCTGTTAATTGAGCAAGTGAATTTGCTTTTTGAAAGCGAGATCTTAACATGAATCGAATGAAGCTCGAATGCGCACTGGGTATTCAAATCTGATAAGCATGCAACCTAAACAATGGATCAAAAATAAATCAATAAATGCAGAGGTCCAAATGCCAACAAATCCAAGAATATCAACACATCCACTAGACTGTACAAACTGGCCCAATCCAGTCCTTTGTACACAGTTACATAACCACACACTTCCGATTCTTCTTATTCGTCTCATGGATCGTCCTCTCATTCCACTCTTCAATCCTCCTCCGCCAACTCTCATTGACCGCAGCCGTCGAAGGCGACCGATTAGAAAGCGTAGGATCAGTTGACGCCCTCCGATTCATAGCAGGCGTTGGTCGAGGCGGTAACACTTCCCGAAGGTCTTGAGACTGGGAACGACCATTTGGTGGGACCCTCTGGTACCAGGTTCGTCGTGCTGTAGGTGATGCTGGGCTATCCTCTGCTGCGCCGGGGAATCTTCGTCCTGGGCCGCCGAGGTTTGGTGATGAAAAGGAGAATGGATATTGATTTTGGTTTTGGTTTATTGTTGTTGGGGATTCTTCTTCTTGGATGTATGGGATTGGTTCCATTAGGTTGCTGGCCACGGCTTGGCTGACCACGTGCTCCGTTTGGTTGCTGCGGGTTGATTGTCGGCGGGATCGACTTGATGCTAGGGTTTCTGACGGTGTTGGAGAGACCAAAGGAGTTGAAGGAGCCTGAGGAGCTTGAGGAGCTGCAGGGGCCGAATTAATATATTGGGGAGACTGAACTATGGTGAACTCTTCTGTGGCAGGGGGTTGGTGCAATTCTGGAATCGGTGGCACTGGAGGCACTGGCTCATCACGACCCTGGTTGAATTGCCCCAATGCACCCTCTCGTATTCTCTGGAGCACCCGTCTTTGTCCATTGTCATCTTCGTCTGCTTGCGGATCCCTAGCACCAATTCTCATCATCCGAGCAGTGATGGTGTTCAATCTGTGAAGGGCAGGCCGGTTTCGCGAAGCATTGTCCTGTGACGTACTCTGAGCCCTACGAAGCTCAGGCGGTACCGGGAGAAGGGTCCTGCGCAGGTTTTCGGGCAACGGTGCAGCAGGTTCACGAGTATAAGGAGGCGGTGGTGGGACCCAATTATCCGCATCACTTTCATGTGGAACTTGAGGGATGTATCGCTGAGTCTGAGGTTGTCGTGGGTTACTGTATCGTCGCGGATTGACCGCGGCCGCGGTAACCGCACGTTGCAAAGTGTCACCGGTTCGTGGCTGGGCGTCTCCAAACAAAGTAGCATTGAGCCTCGGAGTATTCGAATCGGACTGATACGAACTGTTCCTGCGGTGACAGTATGACACCTTTTGACTGGCACTCGAAGTCGAGGGTGGATGAGTTTCTCGAGCAGGGTTCCGTAACCGTCGTGGTGCAGCCGTATTATTGCGGCGTAGTTGCGTTCTCCGTCTCTCAAGTTCGACCTCGGTGTCCATGCTTGAATTCGGCTCAGTGAGCATCTTAGGTTCCGCCTCGCCAAGTTCGATGCTAACTTCAATTGCCTCCCCATTTCTCGGAGACCTGTCGAAATCCAAGAGAAGCACTCTGCCCCCGTCAACTGGGACGTCTTCTTCACCAATTGATGGAGGACTCACACCCCCAGGAGCCACAGTGACCAACCTAAGACCTTTGGACGCCGGATGAGCGGAAGAGTGCGAATAGCCAACCCAGCAAGAAGCTGTGATTCCAGGGATATCACTCAATTTATGGCCACTGATCGCACCACTTTGTTGCAGAAAACCTGGCGATGAACGAGCTGACGAGGCAACATCAAGACGGTTAGGTATCCCATGAACCCAAAGGCCACTGTCTTCATATCCCAATGCAACCAGCTCGCCTTTGCCGTCAACCGCAGGGGACATTACGGGAGACGCTTTCTGGTAAATGTTTGGTGAGAAGGGACTCGGGAAATATACGGTTCCTGCATTGGCATTGCTAATTCTGACAACCCTGAAGGCCCCTCTCTGTTCGTCGTAGCCTAAAACCCAATCGTCTTCTCCCTCCTCGTGGAACGGAAGCGAGCAAGCTCTCGTGTAACCTTGCAGGCTGGCGGGAAAGAGGACTTGTGTGGTCCACATTCGGACTTGCGCATCACCGGGAGATATGTCATCTTCTGTTCCTGTATAGAACGGAACGGTGACGCTAACTATGGAGCTAGTTCGACCCCGAGCAGAAGATCCAAGTAGCATGAAACCGTCTGGGGAGAATGAAATCGAATCAACGCTATTGCAGCGAACGGCCCGTCGATCGGCTGCGATTACACCTTCACCAACAGCTTGCATTTCAATCTTATCATCATAGGCGATGGCAAGAACACCGCCAGTCGGGGAGAGCGCCAAAGCTCTCGGTGTATCGTTCAACACGAGACATTGTATGAGTTTACTGTCGTCATCCGAAAGGGAATAAATGTTGATCTGATGCCTCGAGGATACGACAGCGAGAAGCAACCCATCATCCAGAATGGTAGCATCCAAAGGGCGTCTTGAAGTTTTAAGCTCATGTTTGACGACGGGTAATTTTGCCGTTATATCGAGAACGACAATCCTTGAAGAGCTGAGGCAAAGGATCATATGTCCGCTGGCAGAGAAACTGAAACGAAAAGCCTCCCCTTTCGGAAACGCTGTAGAAGAGCTCATAGATGTAGATATAAGTTTGACCAGTGTCTGACGAGGCCTCAAAAATACGTCGAATGCATTGCGCCTAATCTCTGCAAAGAAGCTGCGCTTGAGCGAATCCAGACTTTCCGAATACGGCATACTATCCCGTGTCGCAGAAAATGATGGGCAATGCGACAAGTGGTGGATATATAATGGAGCTGCATCGGAAATACGCCTCCATTTTCGGTTTAACAAGGCCAGAGACGCAAATGCGCTTGGATCAACCGTATAGAGAATGCTGCGGAGTATGTTAAACTCGATCCATCCTGAAGCAACCACGATGAACAATGTTATGACGTTATGAATTGAATGGGCAAGAAGATGGTGATATGACACTTTTGCAGCACAGGAAATATAAATAGAAAATGGTACATACCGTTCGATGACATTGCGGGGTAGACGACTGAACGGCGATGAGCTCTGCTTGGTGCTCCTCAAGCTAAGCGAGTCCGTATTTGCTGCGACGCCTTCCATCTGCTGCTGCTGCTGCTGCTGCTGTGCGTTGCCATTCTGGAAATCCTCAGCCCCAGACCGCTCAATGACAGGTGACTGGGCATTGTGCTCCATGGTTCACCTGGCGAGTCGGCCTACATTTGTAGGAACAAGCGCGTATTCCGTGTTTAATTGCAGCCTCTCGACATTTTCCAGCGAGTCACCGCAGAGAATTGCACAGATCAAGACAGATTCAAAGTACAGAAAATGAAAATAAATTGAGAAACTGAAAAAAGATAAAGCGCTGACAGGAAAAGGTGTAGGAGGCGGGTTCTTCAGCGCTGGTGGCTGTGTCTGTCCTTTTTGCGCTGGTTCCGAATGCAACGACGATCCGCCGCAGCGCGCAGTAGTCGAAATAGCGAGTAAGACAGAGTCAGCGACTTATTAGTAGGGCGCGATGCGACATTCTACTCTTATAGACTAGTATGAACTATTCAAGAGAGCAAATTACACAGTACATAGAAATGCAGATATACGATGCTTCGGTGGCCGATGCCGCGCTGACTCAGCCCGTGGTCTTTCCCCCACACTTTTCCCGAAGCAGCAGAAACGACGATAAAAATCTAAAGGAATTGACAAGGGAAAAAAAGGGGACCTTGCTTATTGCTTTAATTTCACAAGCACAAAAGAAAAGAGACAAACTATGGCGAGCACAGTGTGACGGCTCTCCCCGATGTATGCCTCGCGGTCCGCCTTGTCTTGACAGCGCCTGCATCTCGTCCACTAATTCATTACCCTCGGCTGTTTCAGAGATCGGCCACAGCCATTGTACCAGCGGTGATTGGTCTAAGGAATGCATCTTGCAGTTGATTGACTGGGACTGATTATTCGCCTTATCGGCATTTTGCGACAAAGATATACATCTCTTGCTTTTGCTTTACGTCGTGGCGCGACATGATGCCGCCCTCGACCTCGACCACGCTTTCGACCAACTCGGCCCCCAAACTCCCTTCCCCGGGTTTTAACAATGCCGGTGCGCGTCCGTACAGGTCGCATAAAGTCAGAGCCTGCGATTTATGTCGCAAGCGCAAGTCCCGATGCACGGTCGACATTCCAGGACAATCCTGTCTCTTGTGCAGGGTCCAAGGAGCGGACTGTCACTATCAAGAAGAGCCTGGCAGTGAGACTCCGATGCCCACTGCTACAGATCCCATCGCTACTAGAGAATGGCCCTCAGACCAGGGTCTAGACGGCATGCCGCCGCCCCCAAAGCGCAAGCGCGCATCGGATGACATCTCTCTTCCTAATCCGGATCGGCCAAGGGAAGATACATCCAGTCATTTCCGTCGCGCTACGTCGGTTGGGGATGGAGGGAGTCAATTCCGGCGCTTAGGGGTGGATGATCCTCAGAATGAGTCGGTTTTCATTGTTGGACCGGTTGTCGCAGATGATGCGCAGGTCATTGAGAAACATATGCCCCCGGAACGCACCAGCAAGTCCGTGGAACCAAAAAGCCATCCGTACAACGTTTATTCAAGTGATCCGAGAAAACCTATTCTTTATACGACTGTTTCAAGGAGAAGACAGGGAATGCGAGTTGGCATTCCCCCGGGGGAGAACCAGAAAGAGATCCTTGAACAAATTCTCGGACCGTTCAAGGATGACCTGGTCAGACTGTAAGTCTTTGTTTTCGATTTGCTTGACTACTCCAACTAATGTTTCATCCAGATTCCTAGATAGGTTTAATGTGGCCTTTCCTATATTCGATGGAGAAAGCTTCTGGGCAGCATACACGTCAGATTGCCCGGGCGAACCGCCAGCATCTCTATTATGCCAGGTCTACTCGATGTCATTGGTCTACTGGAAGCACACACAAAAACTTTCGTCTCATCCTAAACCAGACGTTCGATACGCCGTTAACATGACAGTGGCTGCTCTCCATGAGGAATTCTCTGCTCCTGGCCTGTCCACCATCAGCGCTGCTCTTGTTGACCTCACCGGACGGCCAATTTTCTCAATGACAGGAAATGCCATCAGTTGCGGCCGCACTGTCTCTCTAGCTCATTGTCTGGGCCTGAACCGTGATCCTACAAACTGGCGACTGTCTCAGACCGAAAAGAACAACCGTATCCGTCTATGGTGGGGTGTTGTAATACACGATCGCTGGTAAGTGTCAAGAAACCGTGCTTTACCATACCTGTGCATTGACCATCATGTAGGGGAAGCTTTGGCCACGGGGTTCCCCCGCAAATTGCAAAGAACCAATACGACGTTCCACTTCCTACCATCGATGTCCTTCTCCCACAAGGTTCACACACCACAGAACGCTTGCGAGCAGCACACTGTCACATTGGACTGTGTCGATTGACGGAGATCCTGGGCGAATTGCTACCCCTCGTTTATGGTCTACAACATAGGCAACCACGGGAAACGTCAAAGAAAGTCAGGCAAATCAGAACTGATCTGGATGGATGGGAAGATTCCCTTCCTGACTTGCTAAAATCATCTACGAGTACTGGCGAGGAACGGATAGCGGGAACGAGCAGTTTGCAGCTAGCTTTCCTTTCCGTCAAAATGCTCGTCAGTCGAGTGGAGTTGAATGTATGTTCAAGGGTCCCCTAAGAGCGGTATATACTTACGACAGACGGTGCAGGAGGTCAACAACACCGACGCGGATAACCCCGAGGCGCGGCGGTATTTCCAGACAGAATGCCGGAAATCAGCTGAAGATATTGTAAGATTCATTTCTTCGTTGCAAAGAGAGAGCTTTAAAGAATTCTGGCTACCCTGTAAGTCACTTTCTTCCCTCCCTAGAGAAATTCTTAGTCTGACTCCCTATAGACAGCGCATTCCACCTAACCTCAACAGCAACCCTCCTCGTCCGCTGCGCTCTCGAAACAACTGACGCAGAAGTTGCCCGGTCCTGCCTCTCCAACGTCGAAACCTTCCGCACAATACTCCGCCGCGTCCGCGAAGAAGAAGACTGGGACGTAGCCGACATGTGCCTCGACCACTGCGAGCGTATCCTAAACCGGCTTCCTGAGGCCTGGAGCAAGCCAGAAGCCTGGACCAACCTTGATCCAACGGCCAACGGCAGTGGACCCAATGATACCAGGCTTGTGAATCCAGCTGCGATTTCGCTCCCAGAGACGCAGACGAATAATGATATTGTGGATGATATGATGTCGATTTCGGGGACGTTTGGGACGATGGACGGGTTTCCGTTTGATATGACAGGGATCTGGGATGTCTCTGTTTTTCAAGATGTTAATTTGCCATAGCCTTTGACTGGTTTGGGCAAGGTTTACGATGGACATATTTCAACAAACATATACCCGGGTTGTTTCCAGTCTATAGATTAAAACTCAACAGTAAAAAGAGAAAACAAGTAAGCTGTCTACCGAACCCCATCCTACAATTAAAAATTAAGTATATCCCCCACTAACCGCATAATCCTCCAGCATCTTCCCTGCCTTCTTATCCGTATACAACTCCCTCAGCGCCTCAACAGCCCTACCCGCCGCATCCTCCGAGATTTGATGATGGAACACCAACCGCGCACTAGGAAAGAATATTAAGCCGTGCTTCTTCCCGTAGTTCACAAATGCGGCAGCTGGAATGTTATCGACTTCCAGATCCAGCACAACCATGTTCGTTTGCACGGGGAGACTGATTGTGTAGCCGATTTCGCGAAGGGAGTCTGCTGTTTTCTTGGTCAGGGCGTGGACGCGCGGGAGAAGGGGGAGGGTATATTCCATGGCTGCCTTGGCAGCAGCAGCCATCATGCCAGGCTGTTACATATCAATCTTTGCTCTCGCTAGGAATGGGTATTGAAGGTAAGTGCTTACCTGCCTCGTCCCACCACCAAACATTTTCCTCAAAAACTTCGCTCGCTCAATAAACGCCTTACTCCCCACGATCACACTTCCCATCGGCGCACCAAGGCCCTTCGACATACAAATGCTCACGGTATCGAAATGTGAGCAGTATTCTTTGATGTCAACGCCTTCGGCCGTTACGCCGTCGAGCAGGCGTGCGCCGTCGAGATGCATGGCGATGGGCTTGACGCCTTCGGAGACGGGGAAGTTGCGAACGAACTGGGAGATTTGCTTTGCGTGTTCGAGGGGGAGGATTGTCCCGCTGAGGGTGTTTTCGAGGGAGACGACGCGGGTTGGTGGGAAGTGGACTGCTCATGTTAACCATCCATCTCCCAATACCAAATTGCAAGAGGAAACTTACTGTTCCCATCCGCAATAATATTCCTCCTCACATCATCCACGGTCAAATGCACCCCATTCTTCGGAACCACCTGCGTAGACGTCGCCTGCGATAAAACTGGCAACGCGCCCGACTCCCAATTATGCACATGCGCTCTGGAATCCAACAGCACAGAATGCGGCGGCTGGGTCAAATGCGTGCGCAGACAGATCTGGTTGCCCATTGTACCGGAGAGGACCCAGAGGCCAGCTTCTTTGCCAGTGAGGGCCGCGATGTGGTCTTGGAGAGCGTTAACGGAGGGGTCGCCGGCTTCATTGTACATATCGTCTTGGAAGGTTGCATCTATGATTGCCTTTGTTTTAGGCGGTTAGTATTGGGTGTGTTGTAGGGTTGGTGAGATGGTAGGTACCTGCATGACTTCCTCTGTTGGGACGGTTACTACGTCGGATCGGAAGTCATTTGCGACTTGTCGGTGCGCTTCTTGTAGTTTCTTGGTTGGTGTGTATTTGCATGATGGGCCGTTTTCCTGGCACAGAGATGCCTTGGTGATGTTGGGGTTGGCGTTCGCATTGCTGACACTGTCTTCGAAAATGGGCGCCATGGTGATAGCAATATGGATAAATCTTTGATGATGATTTTACAGAAGATTGAACGAGCAACTCACCCTCCTTATAATCTTTATTCCGACCATCATATGCACGACAAGAGCCCCTTGAATTTGTCCAAGAATATCTGAACGCAAGATCAATTGCGGTCAGAAGGACAACTGTGAAACATCGATCTCGAAATAAAAAGAACCGGCATACAAGTACATACACATAAGAATGCCTCTGTCCCTTGTAACTTGCATGGGCGTACGTACTCTTAAAGATGCATTGCTGCTAAGCGATGTAAGTTGTGAGATCGCCGATGCAAGCCGTGACGCCGTACATATTGCTTGATGCTCACCGAATGAGTAGTAACATATCCTCCGTGGCGAAATTTAAGCCCTGTGGATTGTGCTGCAGATTATTGCCAAGGATGATATGCGATATGTGTGTTTGTGGTAGTTCATGAGATCTGGAATTCGGGGCCAGGGCGAGAGAACAGGGTTGATTGCAGATATCATATGCAGAACACTTCCTAAAAGAATTCTCCAAGTAAGGCAGTAGAGCGGTGACATCACAGATTAATATTGCCCAATTTATACATGCAAAAAAAAAAAAAAAAAAAAAAAAAAAAAAAGACAATCCCAGTACTTTTGACGCGCAGAGCCATGAAACCCCCTAACAGGAAACCCACAGAACAACAATCCCTCAGGTACAAGTACATGAACGAATAGAAATAGAATAAAAAAGAGGTTCAGCTCTGATGCGCCATACCCTTCCATATCTTCGTAATGCCATCAACCATCAACACCAATGCCATTACTGCTTCTTCTCCTCCTCACCGCCACCAGCACCGAACATGCTGGTGAATGACCCCTTCATACTCTTCATTTGCTCCTCTCGGAACTTTTCTTCCTCTGCTGCCATCTCAGCCAGCCACTTCTCACCGTTCTCACGAATCTCCCGGTCGATCATCTCGTAGTTCTTCTGGCCCCGCTCACGAATCTGGTCCCAGAGCATCTTACCCTGCGCCAGTCCCTCGGATGGGGTCTGCTCGCCATCCAAAGTGCGGTTGGACTTAAGTCCCAGTGCGGTGGCCAAGCTACCCACGCTCACACGAGGCTTATTCTTCTGCTCCTCAGCCACTTCCTTCTGGAAGCGTTCGCGCATAGCCCTTTCACGCTTGGCAAACTCGATGGGAATGTCGGTGCCCTCGAACGACTTCAGGACTTGGCGCACATCGTCGATTCCCATACCAGCGATGTACTCGAGGAAGGGAATCAAGGCAACAAGCTTCTTGTCCTTAGAGTCACCCTGCCATTTGTTGAGGATAATGGCGTTTTCGGGCTGCAAACGGGCATGTTCTTCCTTGGTGTCGATCATGATCACCTTAGACAAATCACGGTTTAGATACGAAAGGTCCTGATAGGGTTGTTAGCATTGAGTTTTATCTACGGCATGCATTTAACCTTACCTTGATGTACTCTCCATCCTTGTACCGGGTGGCCTCCCGGAACAAGGGCCAGCGAATGATACGGTAAGGATCCAGTTTCCGGAGCACCTGATCTGCCATCATGCTGGGCACGCTGGTGAAAAGCACAAGCTCGTAGTACTGGTTCAGGTAACGGAGGAAGTAGTCAATTCCTGGCCGCTTGGCAACCCGCCATCCATGCTCCCGACTCCACTCACTGTGCACCATCAGGTCTTCCAAACTGATTACCAGGGTGTACGGCTGACGCATGTTGGGGTCCTCATCCGGCAACAGCTTAGGGAACGGAGGATCCTTGTAGTAGCTGGTGATGTCGTTCATACGAGCCTTGATGCGGTTGTACAAAAGGCCCACGCCCCAGCCAGACGGTTGCTCCGGGTGAGCCCTCTCCTCCTCCTCGGTCTCCCAATTGCGTCCCAAGTATGCAGTGCCACCAATGGCTCCAAGTGCGAAAAGAGCCCACATCAGGCTCGCCATGCGGGCCCTGCGGCGGTCCGTGGACGAGACGTAGCCGTCCTTGGGGATATCGCCTCGGCCACCATCGTCGTACTCATCCTCTGCATGGGTGGGATCTTCGGTCAGGTTCAATGGTGTCTTTCCTTTATTGCGTCCTTCCAGCTCTGCCGCCAAGGTCGAGGGGATACCCTGTGTGAGGTCGGGAAGCGGCTTTCGAGGTGCGCTCTTCTCGGTAGTAGTGGGGTCGGGTTCGGGCTGCATAAGACCAATCCAATTAGACTCAGTTCGTCACTCTCAGCAGCGGCTGAACATTCTTTACTTACAGCTGACGACGTGCTGTTAGCAGTGTTCTGCTGCGGGTCGGCCTTGGTGTCGAATTCCGCTTGTTCCGTCGAGAACTGTTCCTGCGATGCATTTCCTGACTGCTCCGGCTTGGGGGGCTTAACCGAATCCGGGACCTTGTATGGTGTCTTCGGCTTATTGTTCTTTGCATACCATCGCGAGCGAGGACCCGACAGGGCTGAAACACGGGTGGTAGAAGCAAGGATGTTGGGCCTCGTCAGAGGCAGCATAGCACGGCTAAGCATGATGACGGAAGGGGATAAGTAAAGGCGTTCAAGTACTCATATCTTGCACTCAATAAAGAAGGCACAGATAGAAAATTGTCCAAAAAATCGTAGACAATTGACAGCGTTGAATTGCGAGTGCCTCTGATCCTCTTGCCTATGCGGTTCACACTCCGAAGAAAGTTCGCTTCGGGACAGATGCTGTCACGGGAGTCAAAATACACCCACTGCGCAACTTGTCCCGCCACCGCCTATAAATTTGAGAACCTCCGAACCAAATTCCTTTTCCTTTTCTTCTTTTTTTCTCCAATTTGAAAGTTGAAACCCAGATGTTAATTTGACCCTTCAAGCCTTCGCTTCCGTGCATGCCGGGTTGTATTAGCTGGGGAGACGAATATTCCCACTCCCAAGAGCGCAGCTAAGATCTTCCATGCAGCTGCAGCCCCGTTCGTGGGATACAATTCCCTTTTCTATTGCTCTTTTTGATTCTTTTTCTCAGAGGTGATGTCCTCTGCTTGGAAGGAGGGGAGTGTTTTATGGTTAATGCAAAATTTCAGTTAATGCAATAATGGGAAGACTCGTAACTTTTTTTTCAAGCACTTCCAGCGATCGATATAGACCTTAGACCTTCACACACCCACATTTGAGTATTTGTTTTATTTTTATAGGCTTCTCCTACAGCCCTTTTTTCGCCATGCTCTCCATCACAAAGACCTTGGAGGACCTAACCCTCCAGGATCTGTACCCGGACTTCGACTCGAAGGGTGTCGACGGTGAACGAGAAGAAGAAATTGAGTCCAGAGAACTAAGACAGCCCTTTCGCTTCCTTGACCTCCCGTCTGAACTTCGCCTGCGTATCTACTCTTTCGTCCTGTTCGCCACCACTCGTCGTCGCTGGTTGCAGCAAACCCGAACAACCGGCAGCGTGGGTGCCTCGTCGAAAAACCCCCCTTCTGCGCCGCTGCCAGAGCGTCTTTCGCTCTTTCTAGTATCGAAGCAAGTCCACCTGGAGGCCAGCGATTATTACTACTCCACTCAGACCTTCCGCGTATTCCCAATTCAGGATTACTCCAAAATGCCCACCATCAGGTCCTTGCCACCGCTCTACCGGCCGTCAATTTCGAACATCGAATTGATCCTAGGCTCGAGTTGGACTAAACCCCCGAAATCTTGGACCGTCGACAATTCGCTTGGCCTGGAAGATATGCATCGGGTTCGTACTTTGAAGGTGTTTATAGAGTGTGACCCGTCGCATCCGGTATTCGAAGGTTTTCGCGTTTCCAAGGGCTTCTACACGAATTTCGCTGGTGATCTTCTGCGCAAGATCCTGGAGAGATTACCGGATTTGAAACACGTTGAGTTCGACGGCTATCCCTCTGTCCGTAGACATGGAGCCCTCATGATGCGGCTATTGCAGGAGACCAAAGTGACAAAGAAGCAGATCGTCTGGGGGCCGGAAAGGCAGTGGAGGCATGACGTGGAGTCGGAGAGCGAAGGGGAGGAAGAGCAGGTTTTAGAGGTATCTTGAGGAGTGCCACTGTTTATCGTGCCAACATTGTTTGTCGTACTGTCGCGCGGGTTTACCGGAAGAGCACTACGAAGTCGACATTCAGTCTCCAGGACTGTCATGAGTTACACGGGTCTGCCTGCGCGTCGCTGGATATGCGAATTCGACGGATACGGTTTTTCAACGATCATTATGAGACATACGTTGTCAGGATGATTCGAGTATATCATTACTACCATTGGGCTGTTGCCCTTTTATAGTTGTACATGATGCATGAAATATGAATAGCATTATTACCGGAAGGATACAAATTCACTATTGTTGTTTTGATAGACTGGAATTCGTCTGTACCGTTTATTATATCCAGTGGATGTAGAACGTGAAAAATAGTTTTATGGCATGCATCGTATACCCGCAAAGATAGAACTCGTAGGCTTATGTTTGAATTCCTAGCCGTGATTAACATACTCCATCTATAGCTCGTCATCCACCTCCATGGCAGCGCCATTCTGAGCTCCCTTGGCTTCCGATGGCCGTGCCACGGAAGCTTCCTTGTCAATCATCTGCCTCGAGACCGCAACGATGTTATCTTCGATCAGTTGCTGGCTGACATCCTCAATATCTGTAGTGCATTGTTAATATCAATCAACGCAGTGGTAAAGAGAGGAACAACGTACGCTTCTTAGGATCAACCTTTCCGACATATCGCGTCTTGAGTTGGTCCTTGCTCAACTCTGTTTCCTCCTTGACCCGCTTCTCATAACCCTCAGCAAGGCCAACCAATTGTTTCATACGGTCGACATTGTGCTGGCATTCATCGTGGAAGTCGTTCATCTGCAATGCCTCGGTCCATACTTGCTTGTGCAAATTCATCAACATGTTCTCCTCGAGCCCCGTCTTGCGATAGTTAATGCCAATGCTGTAGTAGTGTCGGTTCAGGCCGTGAATGAGGGCCTGGATCGATGGTTTATTCAAATGACCCAAGTTGGATGTTGTTTGCCGGGGTTCCTGGCCCATGACAACGGTCTGGGGTTGAATGAGACGGAAGGCATCGATAACGACCTTGCCCTTAACGGACTGGATGGGGTCAACAACAACAGCAACGGCACGAGGTGTGAGCTGTTCGAACGATTGCTGAGTGTTAACATCGACGGAGGAGAGCCAGCATCCGAAACCAGGGTGAGAGTGATACCAGCCGACGACGCTTTCCGGTCTATAAAAGAAAACTATCAGCATCCCACTGAAGGAAGAAGCTAGGGGGGGTAGCTATTCAAAACATACCTTCCAGTTTGTCGCAGCATTTCCATCATCTTGGTCTGGAAGACAGGATCCACGGCTTCGACACTGACACCAGTACCACTTTGAGGCATAGCAAAAACATCCACCACCTGAACAGTGTATTCATCCACGAATTCACCCAACATCAGGCCCATAACTTCCATAGGTACACCTGCCCGACCATGTCTTAACATCTTCAACAGCGCTAGGGACGAGATGTGGACAGTTTCGGCGTTATCGATCAGGTTGGGCGTGTCCTATAATAGTTCTAGTCAGCTATATTTCCTCCAGCTTTCAATTTCCTCGCAATGTAATGAATCTATCTTGCTTCTGAACTACCTATTCATAAGCCCCAAGCAGAGGAAGGGATCCTGAATAAGATGCAACAGAGTGACGCAACGAGAGCACTTACACCACCAGGAGCACCTCCCATACCCATGCCCATACCCTGAGCGGCATGAAGCATCCGATTTAGGCGATCCATAACGAATGAATAGATTCGGTGTAAGAAGAATGAACTGGAAGATAGCAGGAGGGAAGCTTCCAGTGCGGAAGCGTCAACGTCGGAGTTCGTTGGGTGGCACGAAGAGACGGACTCGTGAGCGTGCTCGAAGCAGACAGCAACGGCAGTCAAATAATGTCGAGAGAATGGCAAAAGCAACAAAAGACAAGAGTAATAAATTGACAGTTGATGGGATGGCAGAAGGAGTTGAGCTCACAGAGGATGTACCAACAAAGACAAGATGAGGCGCATCACATAACCAAAGGCGGTGAGCCAATATAAGCTCCCTCTTGCGCGCCGGCGGTCTTTGCTCGGCCGTCCCCTTCCACCAATTCCTCTTTCTTCTTCTTTCTTGTTCTCTTCCTCTTTTCCTTTTTTTACTCTTCCTACTTCGAAGGGCGATGGGACTATCTTATTCCATTGCGCTTTTACTTTCGTAATATCAACTTCCACTTGCCACCGCCCATTCGCCTAGTTCGTCTCGGACTATCGTCTCTCTACTCCGTCGACGGCGTCTACATTGATTAACCCTTCGACTGGCGCTACACACCTATATATCGCATAATCCAACTGAGTGAGCATCCTCCGTGCTTCTTCGCACGAATTGTCTCTCAGGATGTCGAACTTAGCACCACCGCTGGATCCCATTATCAACGGGCTTGGGGACCGCAACCGCAAGGTCGCCTACTTCTACGATTCCGACGTGGGAAATTATGCCTATGTGTCGGGACATCCCATGAAGCCTCACCGTATAAGGATGGCCCATAGCTTGGTCATGAACTATGGCCTCTACAAGAAAATGGAAATCTACGTGAGTGGTTCTGGTTTGATTTGGGCCCCTTTTGGACATTGCAGCTGATAGGCAAACATCACAGCGTGCGAAACCCGCCTCCAAATTTGAGATGACGCAGTTCCACACCGACGAGTACATCGACTTCCTTTCGAAGGTTACACCGGATAACATGGATTCTTTCGCGAAGGAACAGAGCAAGTACAATGTTGGTGACGATTGTCCTGTGTTCGATGGTCTCTTTGAGTTCTGCGGTATTAGTGCTGGAGGCAGTATGGAAGGTGCAGCTCGGCTAAATCGCAACAAATGTGACGTCGCTGTGAACTGGGCTGGTGGTCTTCACCACGCAAAGAAGAGCGAAGCAAGTGGTTTCTGTTATGTGAATGGTATGACTCAAGTGTGCTCTTAGCAGAGGTCGTATTGGGCTCGACTAACCGCATCTTGCTCAGACATCGTCCTTGGTATTCTCGAACTTTTACGGTTCAAACAGCGCGTTCTTTACGTCGATATAGATGTACACCACGGCGATGGTGTTGAGGAAGCCTTCTACACCACAGATCGTGTCATGACGGTTTCGTTCCACAAGTATGGAGAGTATTTCCCCGGAACCGGCGAACTTCGCGATATTGGTGTGGGCCAGGGCAAGAACTATGCCGTCAATTTCCCGCTTCGCGATGGTATCGATGATATCTCGTACAAGAGCATATTTGAGCCTGTTATCAAGAGTGTTATGGAATGGTACCGGCCTGAAGCTGTGGTCCTTCAATGCGGCGGTGACAGTCTCTCTGGTGACCGCCTGGGATGCTTCAACCTGAGCATGAGAGGTCACGCAAATTGCGTCAACTTCGTCAAGAGCTTCAATTTGCCGACGTTGGTCGTCGGTGGCGGCGGGTATACTATGCGCAATGTCGCGCGGACGTGGGCATTCGAAACAGGTATTCTCTTGGGTGAAAACCTAGAACATCAGCTCCCTTATAATGATTATTATGAGGTAAGAACTTCTCGCCCTGTTGTTGAGTAAAGCATTAACAAATCATAGTATTTCGGTCCGGATTACGAACTAGACGTACGGCCATCGAATATGGATAATGCCAATACGAAGGAGTACCTAGAGAAAATTCGTGCTCAGGTGGTTGAAAATCTTAAGCGCACAGCTTTTGCGCCATCGGTCCAAATGACCGATGTGCCTCGCGACCCTCTTGTGGGGGGTATGGACGATGAGGCGGATGCGATTCTTGACGACGAAGACGAAGATGAGAACAAAGACGTACGTGCCACCAGGCGCCGCTTCGATCAGTACGTGGAGAAGCCCGGCGAGCTTAGCGACAGCGAGGATGAGGAAGAAAATGCTGCCAATGGCATCCGCCGTCAACCCAACAGTCTCAAGTCCAAAAACCACTTTAGCTACAAACACCTCGACGCTGGCGACTCTGGGCTCGACAGTGGGCTTGCAACTCCTCGGGACGAATCTTCGATTGCTGATGAAGAGGCTGATCTCATGGGCGATGCTAAGATGACGGAAGCACCTGAAGTGGAGACAGAGGGTCCCCGTTCACCGTCTGCAGAACCTCCATCAAGAGCCGAAGAGGCTTCTGCATATGAGCAAAGTGAAATGGCTATTGACAAGCAAGAAGAGGAATCTGCTGCACCTGCTGCTGTACCTACTTCTGTGCCAGTTTCTCGCCAGCCGTCGCCCAAGGTCCAGGACGAGGACACGACAATGGAAGACGCACGACCGCCCGCACCTGAACCAGAACAGCCTGTGAGCACCGTTCCAAGTGAGAAACAAGGAGAAGAAACGAAGCCAGCCGAGGAAGCAGTACCTAGTACCGATAATCCAGCAACCGAGACGTCGAGTCCACCAAAACCCCAATCGCCCGCCAAGGAAGTATTCGAACCAGAAGGAGAGAAAGCAGAACAACCAAAGGGAGCAGAGACAGCAGAGAAGACGGAGACAGCGATGCCAACTGAATCGATGGAGACTACCACTGCTCCTGCTGCTACTGAGGCAGCAGAGCCAGAGAAAGTACCTGAAGCTCCCAAAGACAAGCTGACTTCTGAAAAAACTGGAGTGGAAGATCCCAAGGCAACGGAAGAGAGCAAGGATGCAAACAATACGGAAGAGTCGGAAGAGGCCTCCTCGGAACTGAAGCCTGAGGAGCCTGCAAAGAACGAAGAGTAAAACTCCAGCAACACCGACTGCGGCGAAGGCGCAATCTTCTTATCGGTTCCTGGCGCAATTAGGGGACATATGGCAATTACGGTGTTTGGGTGAAAGAATTGCATTGAGTTATGCTATAGGGTTCAATTTGCTATGCTATAATCGCGAGAGGCCTTTTTTCTTATTTAGCCATTCTTATCTCATTTCTGGTTCTTTTTGGAACATCTTTTGGCTTGTTTTTGCTGCGTCGTCGTCGTCGTCGTCGTTATTGTTTTTTTTTTTTTTTTTTAAGATTCATTTGACGCTTGATGCCGCTACATGTATTAGACTAGTCCGTACATATGAGTTATACAATCGAATTTCTCTACAGCATGCCAGTAGCAAAATCTCTACTTATGTCGCCGTTCGTTGTAGTTAGATAGGGCTCATTAACTGACGTCATATCAGTAGCCGAGACCAGAACTTCCCAATTATGTTTTTCATTACATAAGACACTCCATCCTAATGTAGTAAGGTCCTAGGGCAAATCCTATAGCCCAAGCGGGACTCCACCCAACCAATAGACGGTGGGTGCCAAGATTTTGCCCACGACGCACACTAAGCGAGAGAGCAATTCGAAACCAGCCGCTGTGCCAAATCTCGACGTCCCCCGACACCTTTGTCCCTTTTCCCAGTTAGTCGACACCGTTTAACTAACAAACAGCCAAAATGTCTAAGAGAGGGTGAGTGCTGTCTGTTCGGTTTAATTTTTGTTAGCAGATGTTATGCCCGCGAGTGTTGCCGTCAGTTGTCGTTTGTTGTCGCCGTCCAGGGAAGCGAAGAAAATTCGAAAAGAGAAAGTTATAGGGCGAATTATTGGGAAGTTATACGAAAAAATTCGAAGCAGTTTGCGGCTTTGGACGGACAACAGCAAAAACGGAAGGCAGCGCTCAAAGGCGACATGTTGGACAAAAGAAGTACATGCTTCGGATGAAGAAGGGAACGCTGATTTGCTTTCGATTATAGTCGTGGTGGTGCCGCCGGCAACAAGCTGAAGATGTCGCTCGGTCTTCCTGTGTACGTTTGGATGAATCCTAAAACCCCAGCACGATTTTTCGATCCGATCAGAATCTACTATGTCGAACATCGTCTACCCTTTCAAGATCACTCGCCCTTCAGCACCGTCGTCACAAACACATGAATCGCAATGCACGAACTGGAAAAACTGGAGGGAACAAACTCGCTAACGACATGCGTATTATAGTGGAGCCGTCCTCAACTGCTGCGACAACTCCGGTGCTCGTAACCTCTACATCATCTCGGTTAAGGGCATTGGTGCGCGTCTGAACCGTCTCCCCGCCGCGGGTGTTGGTGACATGGTCATGGCTACCGTCAAGAAGGGAAAGCCTGAGCTCCGTAAGAAGGTCATGCCTGCTGTTGTCGTCCGTCAGAGCAAGCCCTGGAGACGGCCGGACGGTATCTACCTCTACTTCGAGGACAACGCTGGTGTTGTGAGTAATGCCCTGGAGTCATTGGATAAGGATGTTGGGAAATGGGAGGTTACGGTTCTGCTCGTTCGGTTGAATTGAAGCATCAACACCCTTGAACCAACATTCTATCCATTGGCCTAAGTTCGGTTGAAGAGGAACGCTTTTGCTAATCATGAACAGATCGTCAACGCTAAGGGTGAGATGAAGGGATCTGCCATCACCGGTCCCGTCGGTAAGGAGGCTGCTGAGCTCTGGCCCGTAAGACAACCCCATTCTCCCTCCAGACAAAAGGACAACATCCAATTAACAAACTCTAGCGTATCGCTTCCAACTCCGGTGTCGTCATGTAAAAAGGGAATCCGAAAATTGATATGGATGGAACGATACCAGCTGGGCTTATGGGTTGCATATGAATTTAAAGCAATTAAAAAAATGGAAAAAGGCGCTTTGAATTTATCCCTTTTTAAGCAGCCATTTCATGTTTTCCTTTTTTTTTACTCGCCCCGGAACTCGATAACTTCTTTTTTACCTTATTCCTCTTTTCTTATAATGGCGACTCGGAGAATCCAAAAAAATCTTTCAAAATTCTTATCCAACTTCTTGTGGTTTGTAGTAATAATAGTTTTTATCCATGTATGAATAACAATTCGTGACAACCGTATCCAAGTACACCATAAGTGCCAAGCTTGTGTATATAATATCCAAAAAAAGAAAGCCAAAACCCTACAACTACGGTGTTAACTCCGTCTGCTGTGGCCCCTTGGTCCCAGTCAACTGCGGGTCACCGTTCTTTCCCTTATGCGAATCCTTTCTCTCCTTCTGATCCTTTTCCAACTGAGGAGATCCTGATTTCGAGGATCCAAAAGCCAAAGCAAGAATGTATACCAAAAACACAATAACCGTCACAAGGTCAGTCACATGAACCGCCCACCAAATATGCTGCACTCCAGCGGCGCACATGGTGATCTCGTATCTCCATTCGTTGACAGCTGGGTCGGCGTCGAACCAGAGAGAGAGTAGACCGGCGTTCCCGCCATACTCGCCCATCATGGAGCGGAGGGTGACCTCACGAATGGACGGTGTGTCTTGCGGAGTATCGTGGTGGTCGACGTACCGTTTTGCTTTCCACTTCCAGGCCTGTTGTTCGAGTTCGGATTCGGATTCAGATGCATCGTCGTGTTGCTCAGTCACATCCTCGTTTGTCCGATTAATGAAATGGACCACGTCGCATCCGGTGTGGTCGTGACCAGTAAGAATCAGTCCGCTACGACCGAATCCGCCAACGGGGGCTTCCTCACTCCCGCTCATGCCAAAAATGCCCTGCAGAATGCCGTTGGTGCTGAGATGTTCACTAAGGTGGTTCTGCTCTCGCAGGCCTCCTTCCAGGAAGCGGGGTGTGTCACCCTCATCGTCGTTTTCATAATACGTAAAGTAAGGCCCATCCGTGCAAATTCCGTCCTCCTTGTGCATGGGGAGATGCGTGAGAAGTAACGTAAAGGTCGTGCGATCCTCAACCGGCCAAGTGCGGTGGGAGATCACGTCGTTGATGTAGTCGTAGCTGTCCGCTTGGATCTTCGCTGAAAGAGCCGGGGAATCCAAGGTCAAGGTATTTAGGTTAATCACATGCAGTGTTGGGATGACGATCGAATTATCATGGTTGGAAAGGGGATGCTGGAAACGAATATCCCAGTTCGCGCGTCCAAATACGCGCTCGAAACGCTCCAACCGAGAGTCACTAGCATCCCCCGAGTATCCAATATCGTGGTTCCCTGCGATGTTGATGATCCTATGTTCCCAAGCAGGATTGGCTCCTAGTTGCTCCAACCTAGATGTATCGTATACTTCATTATTTTCGTGTCCCTTTTGCCCTGTCACAGTAATCTCATCGCTAACCCGTTCACCACCCTTGAATACCCGATCCCAATATCTGTCCCCGCGCCGGTCGAATTCCTCATCCGTCACCCACTGGCTACCAACCAAGTCCCCTAACACTGTGACATGCGACGGACGGGTCCACCAATGCAGCGTACGGTATATATGTGCCAAATAGTAGTCATTTCCCAGCAAATCAAGCCGTTTCTGAGCAGCGCGCAGGCTGCGTGGGACGTCCTTGGTTATGAGAGTGCGCCAAACTGTCGAAATCGTAGAGTACACATTTCGTAAATAGTGTTCAAGGCCACTGATATCGTCGTCGTCGCCGTCATCACCATCGTCGGTTTCGTTCTCTGCATCATTTTCGTTGGCATCATTGTCATCGTCGGGACGGTATTGCAAAGCTAATTTAACCGCAAGCCAATGTTTCTGGATCCGCACCGAGAGCGCATTATCAGGACTCGGGAGCGAACTGTCCCCTTCCAGCTGGGGATCTGCTAGGACTAGCAATCGAAAGATGGCCGGTTCGTCTGCGGAGGCGGTGCCGACATGCTGTCGGAAGGTAGCGAGGAGCGGATTTGTGTCCTGTTTTCCAACGCCTTCTTCTGTTTTTCGAGGCAGCGGAAACGCGCAGCCGTGGAAAACCGGGTAAAGATAGAGGTAGGCCGTGGCCGCTACCGCCAATGGAAGGAGGACGAAGAGAAGACGGCGAGTGAGGAAAAGGAGGGACATCGAGGAGACCCGAATAATAGACCTAGCATTTGCGGGTTTGGAGAAATCGGGAGCCTTTTGTTAAGTTATACCACACTAGAGATACTTGCCAGGTAGGGATATACACTGGCTATAGCCTCGAATCGAGTGTTGATTCAGTGGTGATGCACGGTGCAAAGGGGGAAAAATAGAAAACGAGATGACGATCATCGTCAATCAGAAACATTCGAGGACCGTGGAATAATCGATACTAAACCCAATAACACAGCTGCTTGAAGAAACATGATTTGGTGGGTTTCATCGCTTTGATGGATTCACATTGTATATAGCAGTGGTTTTGTTCTTCAATCAGCTACTAGCTTTGGAGATGGTGTGGTTGGTGGTTTCCCAATACAGAAACTTTCACGTGATTCTGTTTACCTTCTACATTGTATTTCCCCCACCTTTCTTCTCCAAACTCTTACCCATTGAACTGGCTCTGTCTCGCTTGATATAGCTGGATCATGATATGGGTCACTCACTAGAAGAGATGAGAGAACACATTCGCACCTAGCAGAAGCAACTTCGTCGCGTTCTCAAGATAATCCGACTGGAGATTGACAGTTTGAGTAGCTCTATCGGTGCCACCGCATTGCTAGATCTTTGTATTAAGCGCAGCGCTATGTCCGTTGAAGATAAGATTTCCATTCTCAATACTTTGGACCTTACCAGGCTGAAATCAAGATGCCCGGAGCGGAGTATGAAGAGACAGGAATACATTCGAGAAAGCTTCCTGACTCTCGAACATGAAGTGTGTGAGTAGGAATTATAAATCCACTATGAGACTGTGTATCACTTACAATCCCATACATTCAATCTCATTTTTCTTGCCATACTCCCGCAGGGGAATGAATACCTCCCGGGGTCTATGACAGAATGAGCGCCTATGCACATATCTTGACGCCCTGGTAAGCTAAGGAAACATTTGACCCCCTCTCATATTCACCTTATATTCAACAGGGGTAGGGGCTGAAGAGCTCTTCCTTTGCTAGGTCTTTATTTTTCCTTCCAGGGACTCAATGGTCCGCGCAATAGAAGCTAATCTGGAAGGAGGCCAATTTATATTGCGTGTTACAAAATGGTATGACTTCAAACAAGAGGCTAAGGGCTTTAGCCTCTCTTTCTTCTTTGCGCAATGGTGACCAGATAATGCGTTGGTTGAATCTACTGCCGTTGATGGTACGACAGGGCACTGGGAATTGTATGTTTTGGGGAAGGCGTCAATAGGTTTATGGTAGGATATCAGGCGTATGACGTGCTTCCTTTGTGCGATTCTATCTTATGATGCGCCCTTCATGATGGGTAGGGCCAGGTTCCTACTGGCAAATATACAACGTAGGGCAGCGATTAACAGTAAATTCAGCAGCACAAGATAACTACCTATGTATCAACACCCAATTAAAATAGAATAAAATAAATGAAAATAACAGGCATAATATATTTTACCAACCCTCATGCTATATCCATTCCATAACCTATGATACCCTTTTCCACAATATCTAACAACAAAAACGAAAATAGCTAACTAAATAGGAACCCCATATCAGGCATAAAACGAGACGTACAAGTCAAAGAAAAAGCATGAGAACGAAGCAAAAAACCGGAACAAGGGGTATATCACATAAACGCCAAACAAGATATTAGCAACTGCCAGAAAAATGGCGTCGCATTATGAGGTAAGTATATTTGAAAATCGATAATCAAATATTAATGATTATCCCGTCAATCCATCGAGAAGGGAAATATTAAGGAGAGAAAGAAAGATGAGACAAAAAAAAAAGAATTAGCTCGACTTTTCAGTCGTTTCTGAAATCAAATTCGAGGAGCCGTTGTCAAAAGGGTTACTAGCAAGCGGGCTCGATGGAATCTGGCCACCATCATCACCCCTAGTGGGAGTCTCAAGACCAAGACCCAGACCGGTACCGTCGTTCATGGTCGGTGGCTCTTTGCCCGCCTCTTGCGCCCGTTCTTCGGCCTTGTCCTCGTCTTCCTCTTGAGGCGTTGGAGTGGCGAGAAGCGCATGCGGTCGCTGGTTCATCAGTCGAGCTTGCTTCAAACTAACGGTCTTTTTATCAATGTTGTAGGTGGTCTCGACTGGAATTTCCATGTCACGTTCGATAGTCGCTTTCATGAGAGCAGCCATCCACAAGCGGCCTTCTTTGACAGTATCCACTTGGAAATAATGGACGGCAGGCTTGGTGAATTGGACACTGCGAGCCACGCCGGCTTTCGGGGGCACCAACTTGAAAAAGAACGGCCCGCTGCTTTCGGACTTGGACAACTTTTCCGTAGGTAATTGGGCAGCACCGGCGGGCGACGTTGGCGATGCAGTAGCACCAGTGAGGGTGGCATGTAGCGTGATAATTGGGTCGTTGTCTGCTCGAAGAACACGATGCCCAGTAATGTCAATCAGACCTCGTTCCTCTTTGTCCTTATCCGAATAGTAATACGACAAGCGACGACCCCGCAAGACAAAGAGGCGAGGCTTCCACGTTGTCATCAGGTTCGAAGATCGCTTCTTCATCCAACCCGAATAATCACATTGTGTCATTTGCTCATTTGGAGACTTCTTCTCTAATCCTTGGATGTACGCACTTGTGTCCTTCTTGGTCTTGACGGAGGTCTTGACAGAGGGCTTGGGGCGTGGTAAAGGGAAACCACCGGCGCCATCTATCGCTTTCCCAGATCCATCAGTGCTCTGGCGTTCAGTGCTAATGCGTTCCGAACTCTTGGATGTGGCAGATGGCGTGGTTGATCCAGTTCGGATAGATGACGGATCCGAGTCCTTTATCGGTGATGAAGGGACTCCCGACATGTCGACTTTTCCGACAATGTCTGTCGTCGTCCGAAGGCCGACAGCACGTCGAATTTTAGGACCAGCATTTTTGATATGTTGCTGGAACGGCGATGAGGAAGAACGCGCAGATGATTCTGCACCGGTTTTACCACTTCCACTGCTGCCAACCAAAGACGAAAAGAACCCGGTTCCAGAAGCTGTCTTATCCTCTAATGAGGCCGCATTGGATGATTGCGAGCTGTGACCGGACCGGTCGACAATGCGCGTGCTAAGACTCCGGATACGCCCCTTGGGGGGTGGAACGGGTGGACCCGAAGAAGACAGCTTCGACGAGGCGAAGGCATGGTTAGCGGCATCGCGAATCGAGTCGATGCTTCCAATACGAGAGTGCCGTTTGCCCACCCTAAAAGGTTCGTCGTTGTAGCTTGACTTCCTGGAATGGCTGATACTCCCACTAGCCGCGGAACCCCGTTTGACCAGCACCCGCTTGCTTTTCTTGGTGTCACCCTCGGGCCCTGAGAAGTATCCACGGTCCAGGTCATCGTACCGGTCCGTCACCGAAATGGCTGAATCACACTCATTAGGGTCTGCGCCGCGTGCTCCTTGCTGGGAATACGTGCTCTCTGATGTGGTCGTCCCCAGAGACGTACCTGGACGAGGGGAAATTCGTTGGTTTCCACCAGCCATGGACCAAGCTCGGTCAAATGAGGACTTGGGCTGATGCGACGCACGAGGGGGCGAGTCAGCCAACTCGAAAGAGCGGTTGGTCGTGTCAATCGACGAATGACGGCGAGAATGGTTAAAGTTTCGAACGGATGCAGCCGAGGGCCTTTTTTCAACACCGATGCTATAGGTCGGAGCGGGCGAGGTATTGCTCTGCATATTTCCACTGAACCGGGGATGTTGATACGACGAAATGCTTGAACCTCGTGACTGATGGTAACTGCCAGTCTTTTCGGAAAAGGTTGGGATGCGTGGGAGGAAGGTACCCGTATGTTCGGGACGCTCTTCTGACGTCCGAGGATAGGAGGCGGATTGCCCCTTGATCTCTTCCTGAAAAGCTTTCACTTTGTGCCAGGTCTTCAAACGGCGGCCCATGACACCGAAATCAAACTCTTTCATCATAACGAAATCCTGAGACATATCAAGGAGGACGTCACCGGTAATTTCTTGCTCTTCAAAGATGTCACAGTGTTTGTCATCGACGTCAAGCTCTCGGAGGCGCTTTGCGGTTTCATGCTGATCCCAGGCGCGCACCTGTTCCTCGGTAGGTTGACTTTCTTCCTCTTCGTCCGTCTCATGGCCATTGATGTAGGACATACGGTGCCCGAGATGGCTGCTATACTCGCTCTCGGAATCGTTTCGCACTCTGGGTTCCGGAGGCGCCAAGCTATGTCGTGGGGTACTCAAGTCGGTGATATGCTCATCGATAACGCTCAAGGTCTCGTTCATGACCGGACTGTCCTGACCACTCATCTGATGCGCAAGGGAATGTTTGAACGACTGCTGAACATCAAGAGTCATGTTTCGAGTTGGCAGTGGAGACGAGCTCGATCTTTGTTGCGGCTGCAGTTGTTGCTTGGGCGAAGGGGGTGTTGAAGGATCGATATCCGGCACCTGCATACCGGAGGCGCTAGCATGGCGCGAAGCTTGCGGGGTGGACTGGCCACTTTTCAATGCAACCGGCGCACCTAGGATTACATCGGGCTCTTCATTTTGCGAACCGGAGTCGCGGTGCTGTGACGTATCCGTTTGCGGTCGAGTGTTAATTCGCGGGCTGAAGGTAGTATAGACTGTGTAGTATTAAATGTCAGCGATCGCAAAAACATACGCTATATTTTTTTGAGTCGTAGCGAACCTCCAGGAAAAAGACCGGTCATTCCTGTTTTTGAATGCTTTCCGAGAAACCATCCGTCGCCAAAACCATCGTCTAGTTCAATTAACTCGAGCCTGTCTCCTCGGCGTAAAGTAAGTTCGTCGTTACCGCGCGCATCGAAGTCATCTATGAAGTAATCACAATTAGCTTTGAGGGGACAGGAAAAGGAAGGGGGAGACTTCTCGCAGAAGCGATACTAGCATGCGACCACAGCGGACGAGTTGACTTACGGACAACAACCAGGAGATCGCCGGGCTGGACACCTCGGGGAGGACTTGACAAAGCCATTGTAAATCAAATATCCCACCGAAGTCAAGCAAAAAAAGAAGTAGATCACAGCGAAGAGTGGTCGTGGCAATCGATAGCAGCGGACGGATTGCGCAGGAAGGACATGGGGTTCCCGGCCGCTCTCACGGGTAATTAAAGGATAATAAAGGCTGGAAAATCGCCCACACAAGGGACAGGAAATTATTTCCTTTGCTCCCCCGCAAACGGTCACCAGTGGCAGGACACAAAATAGTCTAGTTGATTGCCAGTATGGAAGATAAATCCGAGAGGTGGCAGGAAAGAGGGATAGAGTAAGAAATGGACTGGAATGAAGATAATGGATGGCGGGGCCGCGCAACGTAATATCGAGAGGTCCTTAGACTTAATAGGAACAAAGTCACGAGTCGCGGGATACTTTGATTGTTTTCATGTGGAATTAGAAGAAAACAAAGGAGAGAGTGGATATAAATGAAAAGGTGAATACGAGAGAGAGAGAAAAAAATCTTAAAGGGAGGTTTTATGAAGGGATGAAGCAGCGACGTCGCTCGGTTTGACGAAACAGGGCTGCCAGACACGGCGGCAAGGCGGCGCCAAACAGCGCTTGGTGCAGTTAATGATATGGGAATGATCAAGAGAAGGAGAATAAGAGACGAGAAGAATGAATAAATGAATGAATGACAAAATTGAGAAATGAATGCGTGGCGCTCAGCAGAAGGCGTTCCCTGGTTCAGGTTCGCCGGCGAGTCTGCCCGAAAATTTATGATAATAGTGAAGATGAAGAGAAATGAGAGTAAGAGAGAAAACAGGTAATAAATAGGCGTTCGAGAGGAAAGAAAGAAACAATGAGCGTGTGACAAGTTCGATGTTTGACAGCAACGGGAAAGAATGTGTGTTGGCTTGACAAATATATACGATTGCTACTCCGTACAATCCATCTCTTATACAGAGTACAGGGCACGATAAGGAATAATTCTTCAGTGAGGCAATCTTTCAGGCGACACAGAGTTTGGACTGATGTCGGTGCTCGTTTCAGCGCTGGTGATACATCAGATGGAAGACTCAGGGTCAGTTCTACTTGTACGGAACACTCTCTACTAATTTTAAGACTGTCAATAGAGACACTATTGCCCTGCTATGAGCCCAATTGTTTGTTCTTCTCTGCAAAGTATGCTGACGAGTTATCTCACTCTATACTTCTCAGACGGCCCAATGGCGGCCACACCAATAGCGCCCAAGACTGAGAATCACATTGGATACTTGAGACTAAAACTAGACTATTGGTGACAGTACTTTTGTGGCGCATGTCAGAATATGTATCATCCCATTTTTTTGGGTCAATTGTGAATAGTTCGGGAATAGACTAAAAAATCCTACAGAGTACTCTTTATGTGTCCAATTGACTTATAAAGTAAGAGATCAGCAGAAGATCTCGATTCAAAAAGTGTATATTTTTATTTGTTTTCATGACTTATTAATATTATTATCATTGTAGATCTCATTACGGGTCGGTAGCTCAGTGGTAGAGCATCAGATTGCAATGTGCCAATAAGTAGCCAATTATCTGGTGGTCGCGAGTTCGATCCTCGCCCGGCCCTTTTTTTTTGCCCCCTCCTTCCCTTTTTTTCTCTATTCTTTTTCTTCTGCCTTTCTCTTTTTACTCCTCCAACCTCTATTCCGTAGAGATTGTTTGCTCTCTCTCTCCTTCCTTGTATATACATGCACATATTATTCTGTCAAGATCCATCTAGACTCCCCATGTTTGCTATTGTCTGCCAATTGGTAACCAAATCGGATCTCATTCCCATCTCCGCACCTGCAGCTTTCATCGAGACGGCTTATGCCAATCTTCATGCTGGAGGGAATTAGATGAGATGATAATCTGCTCTCTCTCTTTCTGGCTTCCGCAATGTTCCTTCTGCTTCCAGTCACTATACAAGTACAACAGTGCATGTAGGCTTTTTTGTTTTTTCATTTTATTTTTGCACCGTTTGATTTTGAACAAAGAACGCAAACAAACCTCGACAATTGAATCAATTTAATAAACATCTCCATCTCTACTTCAACACCATTTCTTCTTAACACTTTCTTCTTAATACCCTCAACTATACACTCTTATCATCCTTCTACTATCAACTACATAAAATGGCAAAATGCCGCCCAAAGTCCGTCCCCACTTATCTAATCCGCGTGCCGATCATGATGAAGTCGAGTCTTGCAATTCCACCGCTAGCCTTTTTCTAGGCGGCCGGCGCAAATCTTGGATGTTGGATTCCAATACCTTCGATCTTACTCCCACTCACTCTCGCTCGAATTCGACTACTTCACTGTCTGCTTCCACCTCCCAGCCTCACCCTACTCCTCCTGCCCCTCCTCCACCTCCGCCACCTTCGCGTCCTCATCGTCCTTCGAGCGATAACAACGCCACCACCCCATCCTCGTCCTCTTCCGAGCACGCGTCTAGTGCTCCGCAAGGCATACGAAATCTGTCCTCGCATTTGCCGTCTTCTCCTTCTCGCACTCCGTCGACCTCGACTCCGGCTTCTGCTGCGTCGTCTCCCCCTGACAACCAACTGCCTGCTCCCGTTGGTCCTACGCGGCCCTCCGCTTTTGCTCCGGATAAGAATGGTCGATTGGATTCGCAGGTGACTGTTACCACTGTACTCGCGCCGGATTCAAGTTTAATGTCTCCAGTCACCCCGGGAGAGTCGCTCCACCAGCAACAACTACAATTCCTACAATTACAACAGCAGGCGCAAACGCAGCACATAGTTTCGTCTTTTTCTCCGGGCAATCCGAGCTTATCCACGGCGTCAACTGCAACCCCTGCGACGACTGCCACGTCCGGCGGGGGTCAGACCAGCGCGTCTAGTACCAGTCAGGCCTCCTCCCTCCCCTCGCCCGATCCGAGCGATCCCTCCTATCCAAGTCCCTCGAGTGCGGTGGATAAGAATAACAGAGATCAGTCATGTCCTGTTTTCCCATCTCCAGCTACCAGGCCGGCACAGATACAAACTCCGCAGTCGCTGAATTCTCCTCAGGTCAGGGACGCGGGGCTACCTGCCGTGGGACTGCCTGTAGCGGGTACTTCGACTGCTCTGAACACCGTTGCGGTGTCCCCACAGCATGATCGAGCATACTCATTTCCCATGACTCTTACTACTCCAGCACCCCAGCAGATAGCTGGACCCAACTCGACCGATGTACAAAGTGACAATGCTTTCTGGGCACAATCACATCAGTCTCTGGACATGTTTATCAACGATTATTCCAAGACGGTTGGCTTGTCAGACTCCGTGGAGCTTCCTCGCGTGCGTCTTCTCCGCGATGCTTGCAATTCCCGAGACTTGTTATATTTGGCATTGCATCAAGCGTATTGTCTCTCAACATGGGCTCCATCCCAGTTATCATCGCTTCCGGAATATTCTGGGTCTGCGATTCTCGGTCTTAAGGTGGTTGAGCAGCTTCTGGTGGAAAATCAGCGACTGTCCTCCGGTTTTTTGGAATGGTGTAGTCTGTTCCCTCGTGATCCCGAGCTCATGACGACGAGCCCCCAGTACAGAGCGGCCTCGCAGCAGGTCGCACGATGCTTAGTCTCTCTTCATGAGAACTGGCAGACATATGATACACAAGTGAGGGCACGTGCCTATCCTCCGTTGATCGATGAGTTGGTGGTGCGGTTTGGAGTAACATCCTCGGTGATGTTATCAATTGTATTTTTGGCTATGTGCCGGCGGGTGTACGGAGGTAGACACGAAGCACAATTGAAAGATTTGTGGCTCCGTAACAAGCAAAATTACAACCATCGCTTCCAAACCGCACAACAAATAACCCCCGAGCAGATGCGGCTTGAAAATGAACAATTGATCAAGGCTTACTTGGCATTGCACACGGCGCATGTCAACTCACCCTTAGTCGTCACTCCAGCAGTTGGTTCGCCACAGGTCAACTCGCCACAGCTTGTGACCGCTCCTCACTCATTTAGCTCTCATGCGAGGAGACAAAGCATGCCGTCACAACCACCGACACCATCACTACCAGCAGCTTCTCAAAAACATTCTCAACCCGCATCTCCTGCAACGATATCGTTGTCTGAAAGTAGAGGCTCAGTGGCAAGGCCGGTCACTGTTCAAACTGGGCCTAAGCATCACGTCAATCAAAACTCCCATATTCCCACAACTGTTTCCAATTTACCCACTCAATTCACCACTAATGCACATGCCCGCGTCCCTAGCACTGGTGCGAACAAGCCTTCATCCCGTGGCGTGGCCACTGTCCCGTACAGTCCATCAGCACCCACGGTTGAAAGTGCTCCGCCTGGTGTGTACTACAATCCGCAATGGATGATCGCACAACAAATTTTCGAGCAACCTTCCTTACCGCCAATTCATGAAACGGCACCTCCAACCAATACCAATCCGGCATTACCGGAGCCAGGACTACCAGCCCAGCAAGCTTCAGCATTGCGTGCTCCTCAGGTTCGAACAAACGCTATTACAGCGAATACACCAAATCTTACTCGGGCGAGAGCCGAAAATGGGTCGAATAGGCAACCCCGGCAATTGGGTCCGACCACGCCCGCCTTTCGCGGCTCTGTTGCGGCCCGGCCACAGCAGACCCGGACACCTGTCGCTCAGACCACGCTTCTTCCACAGCCTGGATGGATTCCTGTCAACACTGTCCGGCCAAATTCTCTTCGGGTTGGCCTTCACCAGGCTCATCTTCGAGATCCCATGCTGAAAATGATACACCAGACCCCAACTGGCGAAAAAGAGACCGAACTGTTTCAGTATCTACGGGCGTTCATGGTGCCTCCCACGCCTTTGGGATTGGTCGAATGTGGATTCCATTGGAATTTCGTTCTAGGCCCTGCCCACTGCCAAAAGATGGCTCGTTCTATCTTTTGTGGGACTGGAGAACGCTCGCTACGTGTCCTCGTCGAGGGTTGTCAAACCTACCGCCTCCGGTGCATTAAGGTACCGCCATCAGCCTTGAAACTTACTGGACATGATTGGAGTATCGCAGAGACGGTCTGGCCAAGTGTGTTCTATATCTTCGTGAATGACGTGGAGCTCTACGTGCGTCGAAAGGTGCACAACGGAAAAGATATGCCATTAGACATAACGGATTATCTGCGTGAAGGCATCAACAGGGTTTCTATTCACTTGATTCGCAGCCCAGCTGAGGCCAAGGATGTGTATTACGTGGCCGGGGTCGAGGTTCTTGATATCGCGGAATATGCTACGGTTAAGAGTAGTGCACGTGAGCTGCCAGCGTCTGAATCTCGAGCTCGAATTCAACAGCGCTTGTCAGCTCTTGCGGCAGATGACGAGCTGAGCATTGTCAATGATGACCTTACTGTGAATCTGGTCGACCCCTTTATGGCTCGCATCTTCAACACCCCTGTCCGTGGTAGCACCTGTGCGCACCAGGAATGCTTCGATCTCGACACATTCCTCATGACGAGAGCTTCCAAGTCCGGTAAGGGACCCATGAAAGAGAACTGGAAATGCCCGATCTGTGGTGAAGACGCTCGTCCGACAAGCCTTATAATCGACGGTTTCCTGGCCGAAGTGCTCGCCGAGCTCAAACGCACCAACCGTGTGGACGATGCCCGAGCGATTCATATTAAAGCGGACGGCTCCTGGGAGTTGAAGACCGATCGGGAATCTCAAGCTGCTGAAGATCGGATCGGGAGCAGGGCTGATAGTGCTAATGAAGTTTCTGCAAAACGAAAGCATGATAATGTCACGAGTGCGGCTCCGTTTCCGCAGAGGCTTAAGACCGAAGTATCGTCCGCTCCTAGCACGGGTGCTGCACGCAGTCCTCAGTCTGCTCCTCAGGTTATTGAGTTGGATTAGGCTGTTCTTGTTTACCTGTGCTGCTATACACGTGTGGCATGGATGATGATTCTACTTTTATCTTTTTTCTTCTATTTTTCATCTTTTTGGATGCGTTGTTTTATGTATATGATACCCGAGTTCATTTTTTTCATCAGGTAGGTAAAATGTTTATTCTTCGTGGACATGGCAAGGCGTTGTTAGTTGTTTTCTCTTTTCCTTAGTCTGTATGCTGGATTTTGTCTATCTTTGTTCAAGTCTGTGCTTATTATGCATACAGGATTGATCTGTTTGAGCTTGACCTTTTTTTTGCGTTTCCCTCTTCTTCTCTATGGCTATATACATCCTTACCTGGCATTGTTTTCTTACTTTCTATGCACATGATGGACGACTGCATTGCGTACATTTATATAGAAAGGTTCTTCTAATCGCTCAAAACCTTTAATCTATATCTTGGATATTTTAAGTTTGTAAATTAGACTATATATAACAAGAAATGCTCTTTAATAGATGCCATTCTCGACCTCTTATCATTACATTAAAACAAACAAACAAGCCCATCCCAGATACAGATACATTATCATCCCAACCAATACATCCTAACGTGACTATTTCCTAACCCTCCTAGCATGACTAACCAAATTCTCAATAACACCCTCAAACGCCTCCTTCTCCTTCACCAGCTCATCATACCGTTTCAGCCAGTACTCCAGCACCGCGTTCGCCGTCTGCGTGACGCCGTGTAACTCGTCGACGTGCGATTGTAGTTCCGGGTCTGTGAGGCCTGAGAGCGCAGCGTCAGTTGTCGAGCAAAGGCGGCCGACGGAGGAGAGGTCGAGGTCTGGTGGGGGTTGTGGTTGGCGGCTGCGGGAGTAGGATGTTGTGGATTTTGTTTGTTGTTGTTGGGCTGTACTTGTTGTGGTCGAGGATTGAGTGGTTGATGCGGCTGTTGCTGATGTGACTGTGGAGGTAGTTGTATCGCCTGGGAGGACGAGTTTCTTTTGTTTCGAGGCGGGCAGGATCTCGTCTAGATCGACGGGGACGCCTAAGGAGACGAGGAAGAGGCGACGGATTCGCGATTTGACCCAGTTTTGGGGCTGGAGAGGGGGTGGCGCGACGAGTTGGGACCAGAGGGAGAGAGAGCGGTCTGTATGGAAGATGGCGGAGGCGTTTTCGATGGGCTGGACTGGGGGGAGGGAAGTAGTGTTCTTGGACGTGGGGAAGAGACGGTTGAGGGGGTCTTCGAGGGCGGCGTGGAGGTCGGGAAGGGATTGGATGGTGTCGAAGTCTATGAGTGGTGGCTGTTGTCGTGGATTAATATTGGGATGGGCGATATCATTGTATAGGCGGTACTTACGACTGAAAGTGTTGGCGGTTGAGGTGCTGGAGTTGATGCGCCTTCATACATGGCCTCGGCTTCAACAACCTCCTCGGGCTCTTGGAAGCCACCGTCAAAGTCTCCAAAATCATCATCTCCCATCTCTTCTTGTTCTTCTGCAAAGTCGTCGAAGTCGTCCACGGCATCATCTTCGTCCTCTGGCAGAGCCCCCGGCATAGCTGTGCCATTATCGTCAATGTTGTTCTCGCCATCCATCTTTTGCTGGTCATATCCAATTATAGCTGATGATTCCTGCTCGACACTAGTCGCGGGCGACGATTGCAGATCTGAATTGGTCAATCGTTCCTTAACATCCTGCGTGAAGCTGGAGGGGAATATAGAAGCTTACCTGGAGCATCTGGCACAGTTTCTACTGAATCCGGTAAAGCATCACTGGGCCTGCGACGATGTGCGCGTGGCCTTGACTCGGACTCCTCTTCAGTCGGAGTCTCTACTTGTGAAACCACTGTCTCTGGCACAGCCGTACTATCAACAGCATCATTGGGCTCGGGCTCGGGGTTGAGTTCCGGTGTGCCACCTGACTCCGGGGCCGTCGTTACAACATCAGGAACCGCATCTGCTCTGCGCTTATCGTACGCATCTGTGCCGGGAACATCGCCATGGCTTGGATGTTCTGGGTCGACCCTTTCGACAACCGTCCGGGGAACTGGAAGGTTCTCGGACGGGGATTGCGCTGTCGATTGACTTCTGCTGCGTGAACCCTCAGGGATCACCTCGACCTCATCTGGAACCGAGTCATTCCCTCTCTTCCCGTAGGCGGCTGTTCCAGGGACTTCTCCATGGGAGGGGTTATCGTCCACTTTCTCGACTCGAGTCCGGGGAATAGGAGAAGCGTGACCGGAGGCTGTTCGAGAGTGTGAGCCTGGATTGCCCTCACTGGCGTCTGAGAAGTGATCCTCATCGTCACTGTTGGGTGCTATAATACAATTAATTCACTGTTTTGCTCAAGCCATTTATAAACTAAATCGTACCAGATTCCTGGGCCCCGGGGTCTTCTAACTCCACGCTCTTTTGAGGGGGTTCCAGGTGCGAATTGGGTGGATTCTCCGGCATTAGGATAGGTTGAATTTCCAATAATAACTCATGCGGTTTGGACTTGAGATAGTGGTGAGAAAAAAGGACATGCGACGAGGTGCATCCGTTTCAATACTCCGTTAGTTCTCAGTATGTTGTCACTTTGTCGTTGCCGCTGGAGTCCAGACCTTCTGCCTGAGGCATATATACCTTAGGTATCAAGTTAGACGCCAGCCGCCGTAGCGCGCTTCCGCCTTCTTTCCAGCAACGCAAAGACGTTCTTCCAGCTCTCCATCGTTGGGTTTGTTGCTATAGGATTGAGGGATATCTACGGCGTGTTGTCTACTGCAAATTCTGAGGTTGTCATCGTTTATCCTGCAAATATCTTGATCCCTGGGCGCAGTAAGTTTTTGCACGCTCGTTCCCGCCGACTGTTGACTGACTGTTTTGCTCTGCTTTTTTTTTTACCTACCAGGGCAGCTTCATTGACTTTTTCTGTTCACCTCACGCACCATGTCGTTCAGCTTCAATCCCCCATCCTCAGGCGGAGGATCATCCAGTGGCCTTTTTGGCTCTGGCTCTGGCAGTTCTAGTCCCTTTGGTTCCAATCCGAACAGCTCCAACACCGGTTCAAGCAGCGGTCTCTTTGGAAATGTAGGCGCATCGTCAACCCCCGCCAGCTCAGGAGCGTCTCTATTCGGAAACAAGTCTTCGACCCCTCAGGCTTCGTCTGGTCCCTCACTCTTTGGTTCCGGCACTAGTGGTGCATCTGGCAGCAGCACACCCAGCTTCAGCTTCGGTACGCAGAACAACGCCGGTTCAGGTACTCAGTCGTCAGGGTTGTTTGGGAGTGGATCTACAACTCCCAAGGCGAGCGAAGCTCCTGCATCTGGTCAGGCGAGCAGCGGTGGATTGTTTGGCAACGCGCCGAAGCCTGCAGGTGGCTTGTTTGGAAATACGGCTACTCCTGCCCCAGCTGGCGCAGGTCTTTTCGGCAACACGTCTACCACTCCAGCTGGACCTCCTCCGCAGGGCGGTACCGGCCAAGGGCAGTCTCTTTTTGGCCAACCGGCACAGAAGCCAGTCGGCGGTCTCTTTGGAAATGCGACTCCCAACACCACCTCGTCAACGACCCCAACCGCTGCCACGACAGCAACAGCCCCTACTACCACACCAGCGCTATTTGGAGGAGGATCGCAACCACAGTCGGGTGGCGGCCTCTTTGGAAACACACAACAGCAGAAGCCAATGTTTGGATCGACACCATCGGCATCTACGGGCGGTGGCCTTTTCGGGAATAAACCGGCAGAGTCGACGACCGCGGTCACGACCAGTGCGGACAGCGGTACCAAGCCCCCTCTCTTTGGAGGTCCGACAGCCACTCCAGCAGCGGGCGGACAAGGTGCGCAGGCACCGTCGCTCTTCAAACCACCTACTGTCACCACAGCCACTAATGAATCCTCTACTACGCCTACCACATCCACCACTCCGGCCAAGCCAATGTTCGGTTTAGGAAGCACCACCTCTTCAAGTACTCCGTCTGCTACTCCTGCAGCTGCTCCTCTCACGGGTGGCTTATTCTCTGGTCTTGGTGCAGCCAAGTCGACGGCGACCAGCACTCCCGGGACCGCCGCTCCTTCGGCCCCTAGCACCCAACCGGCGGCCACTGGTGGACTGTTTGGGAACAAGCCTGCGGAATCCACGCCGTCAACACAGCCAGCCAGCACTGCTGCCGGCGTAGGAACCACTACGACCGCACCAGCGACTACCGCGCCGACCACTGCGACGACAGGACCCTCCGCTGCTGGCACAACCGCAGGGACGACCGCCGCACCACCAGGCGCCGGTCTGGGTGCTTCGACTGCCGGACCAACCCCTCCTGCTCAGTCTCGCTTGAAGAACAAGACGATGGATGAAATCATTACCCGATGGGCTACAGATTTGACCAAGTACCAGAAGGACTTCCGGGAGCAGGCCGAAAAGGTCGCTGAATGGGACCGCATGCTGGTAGAGAACGGCACCAAGGTGCAGAAGCTGTACGGAAGTACTGTCGACGCAGAGCGTGCCACGCAGGAAGTGGAACGCCAGCTTGGATCTGTCGAGGGACAGCAGGAGGAACTTAGCTCGTGGTTGGACCGGTACGAACGTGAGGTCGATGAGATGATGTCGAAGCAAGTTGGACCTGGCGAGGCGCTTCAGGGACCCGACCAGGAGCGTGAAAGGACGTACAAACTGGCCGAGAAGCTTTCTGAGCGTCTGGACGAGATGGGCAAGGATCTGTCCAGCATGATTGAAGAAGTCAACGGTGCTTCGGCAACGTTGAGCAAGACCAGCAAGGCAGATGAACCGGTAAGCTCTACACTTTTTATTAGTAACAATAGAATGCTAACAAAAACTAGATTTCTCAAATTGTGCGCATCCTCAACTCGCACCTCTCGCAGCTCCAACTCATCGATCAGGGAACGACAGAGCTGCAGGACAAGGTCAGCACGGCGCAGAAGGCAGGCCAGACTCTTTCCTCCCGGTTCGGATATGGATTCAGTAGCTCTATCGGCGGCGCGAGCGCCGCCGATGATTTCTACCGGTCTTACATGGGACGTCGCTAATTTGCATGACTGTTGTGGGAGTTTATGTTTTGGGGTTTCTTTAATCCTTTTTTTACTGCGTATTGGATTTCTCCTAGATATAATGATGACACCGAGTTTTCTTACGCCTATTTTCTGTTACTAGGGTTGTCATATGACACTTGAGAAGTAGAGAATCGTGATTATAGTCTTAATAGCTATACATGAAATCATAAGCAGCTCGTAGTCTATCTCGCTCGAAATCACGAAGTATGAGGGTCGACAAGACAGACGTCAAGTCTAGGAGCAGAGGATATCGAGGAGTGAGGATGTATGAATACAAGGTAGAGAGTATGTGGCAGTCGGAATCTACTGCTGCTTGCCCTTGCTCAAGTCGTCGCTGTTGAAACGAGTCGTTAGCTCTGCTCCGAGGTATTATGGATTCAGAGTGAAAAGGCGGGGTGCGTACACATGCTTCTCCAGCTCATTCAGTTGATCACGCTGTTTGGAGAGCCTCTCCTTGAGGGCCTGGAGTCTGTACGGATAGATTGGTTATTATCTGACCGCACAGGATAAACTATATCGGGTTAGATTGGACGTACTTTTCCTGCTCCTGCTGCTTAATGTAGACGGCTTCATTTGCGGCTTCACGGCGGGAGAACGAGTCACTGTTGGTTGGCATAGTTAGCATCTGTTCAAGGTGCATGGCATGATGTCATCCGCTTTCTTCTCTCGGCTCTGTCCATTGAAGACAACACAGCGAAAGAGACCAAGACAGGAATATTTCATAAGCACAGAAAAGAAAGGAATACATACGATGAAGCAGCACCACCCGTCTTGGGGGCACCAGTGTCACCCTCACCCATCCTGGGAGCGAGAGCAGAAAACGAACGGTTTCCGACGAGACGGTTGGCGGAGGTGAGAGGGCGAGCGATGCTTTGACGGAACATATTGCTCGGCTTCTGTCTTGCAGTTGAGTTTAACTTAGAGGAATGTACTTGTAGAATATAGTAAAAAGGGAAGATGGAAGTCGTAGGAGTGTTCGGAGCAAGTAGATGTGATGGGTCAACCGGATGCAAGAGACTATGACGACAACGGATGTATCATGTGATTTTGATGAGTCAGCGCCAGCAGGTAATTAACCAAGTTACTTGTAACTAAGTGACTCGCCCAGGTCAGGTGAGAGATGACATGCTATTAATATCGTTACAGAGTACTATTATAATAGAGACGGAGAATTAAGGTGCTTTCGTTTCTGGAATCCTGTAATGCAAGGAGCGTCACAGATATTCTGTATTGTATGGACTACAAACTATGGATTATGTATGTCCCCTGATTGCATCGCACCCGAGAGATCCTCGCTCGGATCCGATACGGTCTAGCAGCGTTCGAGAATAGACAGGACTATCCTATAATTATTCCGGCTAGGGTGAAAATCAAGGCCACTATTGAAGTGGCAGGCCGGGTGCTTTTCGAATATCAATACTCCTTAGTGTTGGCCATAGTAAAGCCGTAGAGTAGGGGCTAGTTGTGCTAGTCCCGTGACTGAGGATTGGCGGACTCTGCGAATAGGGATGACGAGGGACGGCCCACCGAACCACATAGAATTCCGTACGAGTTGTTGAGGGCAGCATGGAATAGAATAATAACAGGAGAATGAGGATATAATTGATTTATCACTATCAAAGAGAGAATATATAAATTATTATTGTAGAGCAAGAGAAATAATATTGGCACGTGGTGATGATTCTGTAATGTAAGCCAGCGGTAATACGGGCGGTAATGATGCACTCCGCGGCCCATTTCCCCTGTAATGGCCCAAACACACCTCTTCCTTCATCTCTGTCTATGTACTGAGTCTCCCCCACCAAAACCTCCCTCTGCGCCTCTCCCCCCCATTTCCCTTTCTCTCTCCATCTTCTTCTCATAAACAACTCTCCTTCCCCAATCTCCCACTTTAAACTGCTATTTTATTCTCTTTCCCAAACAATCACCTTTTATTTCCCCTCTCAGTGATATCCTATTCCTCTTTTTTAATCCTCTACACTTAGGTGAGACATCCTCTCTTCCCACTCTGGCTGTTATGTTACCGTGTTCTTGTTTCCCCTCCCACACTACCCTCTCCCATGTACCACTCCCGTCATCGCAACGAAAAAAGAAAAAGAAAAAAAAAAAAAAAAAAAAAAAAAAAAAGGGAACCAAGTTATTGTGGTTGCAACTGTGTATCCTCCTGCAGTCGCACTGCCATCGCCATCTCTGCTGTGTCCCAATCCTCTCTTGATCTATGTCGGGCGGTGGTCCCTCCAGGTCTTAGCCCGCGCGACACCAAAGAATAGGAGGTGGGAAAAGAGGCCAGCGCAACCCATTTTGTTACCATCTCTCGACGACCAAGCGAGGGCTCGCAATGGCTCTATCGCTTATTCTACGTGATTCGTCTTTTCCTGATGACGGCCCGACCTGCCTGGTGACCACACAGAGAGCCTCAAGGGAGGCGGCGATGGCGGCGGCAGCGGGGGGAGAAGTGAGAACGACCAACCAACCAACCATTCGAGCCCACAGCCTCACTTCCACACTTTCTGCGTCATGAGAGCCATCTACTGGTTCTCGTTGGTTTTCGGGAGTGTTGGGAAATTATCACGGGAGAGGGAGACTGAGAAATTCATTGTTTTCTTCCACTGTTTTTATTGGAATGATTGCCGCTAACTATTCATTGTTGATTTCCAGTACAACATTTCACAATGGGTCAGGAAGATGCTGTCTATCTCGCCAAGCTCGCTGAGCAGGCTGAGCGCTATGAGGGTACGTTCGCTTGCTCCCCGTTTTTCGCTCTTCAGGCAACCCCGTGTTGACAATGCCCTCCAGAGATGGTCGAGAACATGAAGGTCGTTGCCTCTGCCAACGTTGAGCTTACGGTTGAGGAGCGGAATCTCCTCTCTGTTGCCTACAAGAACGTCATTGGTGCTCGCCGTGCGTCGTGGAGAATCGTCACCTCCATCGAGCAAAAAGAAGAGTCCAAGGGCAACGAGTCCCAGGTCACCCTCATCAAGGAGTACCGCCAGAAGATTGAGGCTGAGCTGGCCAAGATCTGCGATGACATCCTTGAGGTTCTCGACAAGCACCTGATTCCTTCGGCCCAGTCCGGTGAATCCAAGGTCTTCTACCACAAGATGAAGGGTGACTACCACCGTTATCTTGCTGAGTTCGCCATTGGCGACAAGCGCAAGGGTGCTGCCGACGCTTCTCTCGAAGCCTACAAGAGCGCCACCGAGGTCGCTCAAACTGAGTTGGCTCCTACCCACCCTATCCGTCTCGGGTTGGCCCTGAACTTCTCGGTCTTTTACTACGAGATCCTCAACTCCCCTGACCAGGCTTGCCATCTTGCAAAGCTTGCTTTTGACGATGCCATTGCTGGTACGTTTTCTTCCTATTATCTCCGCTGTCTAGTGTCTAATTGGTCCCACAGAGCTCGACACCCTGAGCGAGGAGAGCTATAAGGACTCGACCCTCATTATGCAGCTCCTCAGAGACAACCTGGTAAGTGACAGAAATTAAACATACCGACTGTTTAATATACTAAATCCCTTCTAGACTCTCTGGACCTCTTCTGAGGCTGAGCCTGCCGGCGACTCGAACGCCGCCGCTCCTGAGAAGAAGGACGCTCCCGCCGCCGCCGCCGAGAACGAGGAGAATCCTACTGAGTAAATGAATATAAATGACAAAAAAAATTTTTAAAAAAAAATCCAGAGATGGTGAAGGACTCGCGTCCGAGTCATGGATGGAGATTCCGAAAGGACAGGATTTGTCGTTTAGCGCCACACAGGACTAGAGTGACGGAGAGGGAAAGGGAAATGGGACGCATTTGTTTTTCTTTCTTCCAGATATTACTCAAGGCGTTGTGGGGATGTTTTTCTTCCAAACCCTACTGCTGGCGGATGGAGATTCGATTTTAATGCTCTGTTGATTATTTTAATTTTCGTCGCGGTTCCATTCTACTGCCTTGTGTTGGTACGAACTGGCAAAGTCGGTACTTCGGATATCTCCAGCCGTCATCGGGTCTTTTTTTTTTCTCTCTTTTGTTATTTCCCCCTGTCGCCTTTTTTATTTTTGACTATTGCCTCAAGTACCCGAAGAATACCTTTTCATTTTATTCGCAGTTTTAGTTACCAAGAGTCCCAACTTTTTCTTGGATCCACGTCATTTACACCCGCTCAAGTTTATAAGAACCACGGTTCTGTAAGATGATTTACTTGTAGATACAGACCCCTGTCCAGAGATACATGAACACAGATTGCTCTGCAGCTGACCAACGCACGTGTTGCTGAAGACGTTGCTTATCTGGCTACATGAACCAGTCGTGTCGTTGGTAAGGTTCTTACTTACGTAGTACATTTGGAATTTAGCACAATGCTATTGGTAATTATCCCGGTGAGTATCTTATTAGATTCGAGTATGGCGGGTTTAAGAATTGGAGTGATCATACTTTGTACAACCAATAACAAATAATAGAATGTAGCACAGAGTGCAGTTCTAATGATAGAATTAAAAAAAAGAATGCTGAATATGTAGTAAATTGTTTAATAGTAATAAAAATAATTACTCAGTACTCCAATGAGCCCAACGCCGAGCGTGCTAATGCAAAACAAAAACTGTACAGTAAGGACAGACAGACAGATCAAAACATAGATAAATAGACAGAGAACCACCGGCAGAAAGAAAAGAGAATAAGAGAAGGGGGAGGAAAACAACGAAAGAGAAATGGAGGCGAAAAAGGTAAAAATAGGTGCGAGGAGAGTGTGAGGGTGGGTAGTGGCGGTGCTGGTGCTGGTGCGATTTGGTATCAGTTCGCTATGACATTCTTCGAGTTGGCTCAGATGAGACGTCGAATTCGATTTTGCCATGGGACAATGGGTTGAGTATCGAATTTCGGCAAGACTGATAGGACAGGCACCGGTTGAAAGGAAGCATCGTCAGAACAGGAACAGGCTGAGAAGATAATCCGCAAAGCAGAGTAACAAAACACCACAGAAGAACAGGAAAAATAAAAAAGCGACCGTTAAATCATGTACGATCAAATCGTCACTCGTAGATCAATAACGGGGCTGAAGCAGGTTGAAATGTAAAGCAGTCTAATAATGATAAAGAAAAGAAGGTGAAACGGCATCATGTCATCTCGCAATAATTGCATCGCATCCGGGCGGCATATAGTATGTTGTTTTGTTGGGTTTTTGTTTTTTTTATCAACGTCAAACTCGTAAGGCATCAATCGTGTTGTGCTTGATGCTGGCGACGTGCCATCGACTCTATTCGGGGTTTAAGTTGCTGATTCATTTCTGTGACTTGCGCGCCTTGCTGCTTTTCGGGGTATCGCTCTTGGTCATGTTGCGGGTCAATCCACCGATGTAGTCTTGCAGGAATTTGTTCTCGCTCTCGAGCTTGTCATGGTCCGATTTCACCGCGTCGATTCGTTCGGCCAATGCCTGAAGCGACGATTGAAGAACTTTGGCTTGTCTAACGAAAATAAATATTAATACCCACCTCTTTCCGTATCTGAATGAAAGAAAAACTCACTCCTGCAAAGTATGCCTAGCCTCTTTCCCCAACCGTTCCAAATCTGCCGAGTTACGACGCGGGCTCATAGCACGAGCATCATCGGGCGGAAACTCCTCCTCCTCAATCTCAATCTCGGGATGGTCACGGGGAACGAGTATGGAAGCACTGGGCTTTCTACTGGCCATGCGGGGACGTTCAGACCGGCCTCGGCGCTCGGTCTCAGCATCGGAAACGGACGAGGACGACGATACAGACATGTGCGTGCGGCTGGGATCATTGGGTTGAGGCATGGTGGGCACCGGCGCTGAAGCCTGAGAGTCGGTTTGGGTCGCCATTTGGAGTTGTTGAGATTATCGTAGAAGGAGGTGAAGAAAAGGTGATGGTGATGGTGGTGGTGGTGTTTGCGGTTTTTTTGTGGCAGCCGTGTCCGGCAAACGGAGAGAATTCGTGGCTGATGGGTTTTGTGGCGGTTGAGCTTTTCGATTTCAGGGGGAGAAAACCGGAACACGGTCAACGCGCGGTTTATCGTAGTAGAGATACAACGACGAAGTGTCCAGCAGTTATTATTTATTGAACTTTCTCGAAATCAACGAGAAAAGAAAGAAAAGAAAGATATGATTTTAGATGGGAAAATCGAAATCGCACAGTATTCGGGAGGTGAGTCCGATATTGAACGAAAGCGATTGGAACGAAGCGACGGCCGTAGATGCAGACGCAGCAGTATTAATTCCGTAAATTGCCTCCTGAGTGAGAGCCAGACGAATATTCAATATCCAGAGGATAAGGTAATTTAGTGACAGTGACAGAATGGCAGGGTGCTGTTTGCCGAGGCCACGATGGATTCTTCTTCCGAAAACGAATTGGCCGGAAGGAAGAAAGAAACACGGGAGAAGTGAAAGAGAAGACGATCCGCTCAAAATTAAGCGATCTGGGTCATTAAAGAGAAGACAACAGTACTAGGGTGAGCGAGAGGCCGAAGAGGTCGTTTGTTGGTAATAAGTGAAGAGGAATTCAGAGAGTGGAAAAGAGAGGAGAAGCACAGAGGGTGAATAAGCACAAAGACTCTCTCGCAACTCGACGAAATACAACAAGATTACAATTATGATTAAGGCGATTATATTCTAGCGTTAATTGAAGAACATTCTACACGGCGATCCGGCTTTTTTTAAAAGCAGTTTCATACAAAAATGCTGTGTATTACCGGCCAGTGGCATCCATTCCTCTCTCCCGGTTCCCCGGCAAGCCAGTTGGCCGGCTATAAGGAGCCTTATTTGCACGCTGAGGGCGGCTGTCGAGAATAATACTGAATTCTAGTAAGAGAGTCAGGGTCAAAATACACCGATGGTTGACAACGCATCATTCATCATTCATGACTCGGATCGAGAATATCAATACTAATAGAAAACAAAAAATAACAATATCCAACCAGAACTCCGTTCATCCCATCCCGATATGGTAAAGATGCAAAAGTACTTCTGTTCAAGCCATCTGACGCCACTCGTACAATGCCCGCAACACCGCAACCCCTCCAGCCTGCGTCTCTACCGTTCGTCCTCGGCCTCGATTGTTGTAGTCTGGCGGTGGACTGGTGCTCTTCATGCCTGCAGACTCGCCACCTGCACCTCCTTCATGCGGCCCCTGGTCATAGGCCCGAGTTCTTGCATTTCTCGGAACTTCGGTGGCATCCCGGCTGCGTAACGCCCCAATCAGCGCTTCACTATCCTCGCCTTGTTGGTTGTAATTGCGGTAGTCAATAGCCCCACGAGCAAGCGGGCTACTGCTCACGGCCATCGTCTGCGCTCCATATGCCGGACCCCACCACATGCCAAACTGTCCACGCTCGTTCCGGGTCTTCAAAGCGGCCTGCGCGTTATGTTCTACCCATGATCGATAGCCGCGACACTGATTCTGATGCCATTTATACAAGTGTGTCCCCTGGCTAGGCGTTTGCCGCCTTGCTTGCGTGAGGAACCGTTTCTCCTGCGGGCGAGTTTCCCGGCAGAACTCGGTGAAGTGCTGGAAAAAGATACTTTTGAACGTCTGTCCGTCTTGTGAGCAGCTGCCGGATGAATCGCAGGTGTCTTCCATGATACCGCCGCGACCGAGGCCTGACCACTCCTTGTTGCCTTTATTGGGCCATCCAGTGGCCTGAATCACTTTCTGCACCAGCTCGTGTCCATCCCGCAGATACTCCTCCGAGCCTGTGGCCAGCCACAGCCCTCGAAGCCCGCTGAGGATCACTCCTTGGTTATACGTGTAAGCCATGGTGTTTAGGACATCGCACTGGCGCGTGCCCGGCTGCTGCGCACTCTCCCAACCACGGATATGAAAACCATCTCCATAAAGTCCGTTTTCGCTAGTCATATTCGAGTTCTTGAGCCATTTATATCCCTCCATGGCCGCTTGTAAATGGATCGGATTATGCGGATATCCATCCGACGCACTAGTCGACTCAGCGACAAACGGCGAGTCAATGACGTCGCCTGGATAATACAAATACATCCCAATACTTGCAGCAATGTAAAGCTCATTCGTGATGGCGTTCTTATACGGTGCCAGATATGGGCTCCAGATCATCCCGCCTTCGCAAAGCGTAACGTCCCATCCGTCCGATGCCAGGCCGTAGAATAACCGCGCGCGATGAGCAGCAGGGACCTCGAATTGGGTTCCATGCCAGCCGCCGGTTGTGACATTGGAAGTGTAGCGCAAATCCGAATGCAGCGTCTGGAACTTGATGTTTTCCAACCACCCCAGCACAACCCAAAGCATATCATCGTAAGCCTGATTCCTCAATGCAAACGCATCCTCCCCGAAATAAAATGCCGAAGTGTGCTCGAAAAAGCGGTTGATCAGGTTTTCAAGCGCAATCGAAGTTGTCCTTGCCACCGACGTCGACGTCTCGTCCCCGTCGCTATAGTCGCTCGCATCCGAAGCTTTAGTGATCAATGGTATGAGAGCATCGTCCTTCGACGAGGTCAGCGAAGAAAGAGTAGCCGAAACATGTGTTCCAAGCACCGCCGCGGTCCAGTCGATACTACTCGGCCAGGTACCCTGCCACAGTTCGAAGTAGTCCTTTTGCATCACGTCCAACGCTGCGACCAAGTCATCAAAATTGGTGCTGATAGATGATTCATTGTTCCAAGGAGCTGAAGGGGCATTCGTGTTTTCGGATAGCTTTGTTTGTTCGTCCTGTTGCGATGGTGGCGCAAGGAACTGCTGGGACCGACGCGCCAGCGCGTCAGTTGTCCCAAGTTGCGTCGAAATGAAATATAAGGATATAGAGGAGAAGGTATATAGTTTCATTGTAAGGAGATGAAATACTATGTATGGATAGTCGTAGGTCGCGATAACGGAGTCTGCCTAGAGGTCCAGAGAGGTTCGAGACCGTAGAAGCCAACCAGTTGACTTTCAAGGCATATAGGATGAAGAATAGGATAGTAGGGACAGGCAATTCTCAATTGAGGACCATAAAGTAAGGACAGAAGAAGCCTCATTCACGGAGTATAGCCGGATGTCACGAGAAGTTGGAGGGAAAGAAGAAGAGATGCAGTCGAAGGGACCAATTCCGCATGCGGGGAAGCTGCCGGGCCGCACCTTCGTCAAGGACCCTTTCAGCAGCGCCTGCCATTCTAGATGTATGGAATGAGCTTGTGTGCTATTACTTCTGTTTTCATGTATCTGGAATCTATACAATCCTGTGTTCTTATAGGATATGCCCAGGTGTGTGCGACAGCGACAGGACAGGGTATCTATATGCAGGCAGACGCTAATTTAAGAAAATAGATAGCTCTATGCAGTCCAAGGAATCATATAAATTCAAGGCAAAATGCGCAAGGCGTCAATTGTATTCAATGCATAAGCCCTTATTCTAAACACAGTTTTGGATATCCAGATTGAGACGCGAAAAGGAAACTGAGAATCATCTAGTTCTGAAGCCCGAGTTAGAAATAGGCCTTGCCAAAAGAAAGAGCGCAGATATCAAGACTGCGTACCACGTTGAAAGTATACCACGAAGCCGGCGAATACCTCTCAGCTCTCTAGGCGCAAACTACCATATCGAATGGCAATGTTTGGGAGCCTATAGCAGATAGAGGCAATGCCGGCCAATGTCCATGTCTTTCATCCCGGATCCTTGTACAGCACGGCAGCATAATCGTTATAATCGTAACGGCCCGCATCGCAACACCGAGATGGTAATCCCATCGAGCAAAAAGAGACGTAGCTTTTTATTCCAAAACCAAAGGGTAGCCACCACATAAACCCATTTACTCCCGCCCGTTATCAGCACCCGGACTGCGACTCCTCTCGCGACTCCTGCTGCGACCCCGTCCACCACGACCGCTCTTGGGTGCACCACCCTTCCCTTTACCTGATGGCGGTGGCCGGACAAAAGCATAGTCGACGTTGATGGTCTGATCGAGCAATTTGGAGCCGTTCAACGACTTGACGGCTTCGTCGGCTTCGGTGACGGTTGAGTATTCGATCAAAGCGTATCCCTGTATTCAAGCAAAAGTCGTCAGCATTGCGATATAGCCTGAGAATCAACAGAGCTGCGACACCTTCACATAACCCGTCCGGCGATCAAGGTTCAAGTTGAAGTTCTTAATCTCTCCATGCTCTGCGAACAGGTCTGTCACGTCCTCCTCGGATGCTTCTTCGTGGATATTTGTTACTATCACGATCCATCCCTCAATACTGCGCACCGGGACGGCGCCCAGCTCTGTTCGTGGTTCGAAGTTGCCGTTGCCGGATTGTGCTGGCGCCTCCTCTTCTTGCTGAACCGGGGGGTCGACTTCCATTTCGTTCGACATGGTGGCCATTTCAGATTATAATAGCTATCGGGTATCTGTATAGGATATGATATGGAGGGTAAAAATTTGTGAGATGTGTTGTTACCGGGTATCGCTGCTCTTTTGCGGCGCTTGGGATCATCGCTGAGTCTGGAAAGCTGCTGTGTGCTTATGTAATCGCATACTGTCAACATCACGACACGAGAACTTATTAGATTAAACAATTTCTTACGAGTATAAACTATACGGGGCTTATTAGCCAGAGTATACTCTGGAATCTAGGAACTAGCAATGAGGTTATATGTGAATAACTTGCACACTCTAGTAACCAAGATCTTCTTGGAAGCACTGGATATTGAATCTTATATGCTTTATTAATCAAATATAAAATAGGTGAAGCTAAAGACTTGTACACCAGGATACTAGAGGCCTTAGGAATCAATCAAGCAGTAGAATAGTGATAAGGTGCTGCTTGCATCCAAACACAAAAACAAGAATGATAAGCTGGATTTCATCACAGGAAATGACTAGAGCTATCAAATGATTGCTGTTAAGAATCAAAGAAAGCGCCTACGGTCCTAAACAATGGGTGCAGCAGATATCTACCTTAGTCAGTGTGATCACAGTATGTCTGTAAAGAAGTCATGCAGTCGCAAAGGAAGATGCCCTCACGTTTCGCATTATCGCGTGCCAGACTCGCGATTGCTAACTGGGACTCGCGACAGTAAATGGAGCTTCCCGTAAAACCCATTTGGCGCAATATTTGAGGCCAGTGAATGGCTCTGTACTTTGTATTAGAAGCCAACTTTGCGCATCGTATTCATACTCGCTTCACCTCAACTTTCCTGTCATACTGCAAAGCGAGTTTGCCCTCCTACTGCCTTTGGCTCTCTATCACAAAGATAATGTGGTGGTGAGTTTTTCGCACAAAAGTGCACGCCACGCTGAGGATGGCCTAACTGACTTCTCAATCGTTAGCGACGACTCCAAATGCTCTTGCCAACCAGCGCCTCCCAAGTCATCCTCAGAAAAGATGCATGCGTTCCTCTTTGGAGATCAACCCGGCCAGGTCCGCCAGCTGCATCATCCAGGTGCAGAACTCGATATCCACTGCGACGTGGCCTGCCATGAAATGACCCTACGAGAGACCGTCGGCAACGACCCGCGCGCAAACCCAGCCGCGACACGATACGACGTGCATCTCAACCCGAAGAACTCGTGTCTTCTGAATCTCGAAGGTCTTGCAGACAACTCCATCATGTTGACGGTCGAGATACGAGATGAAGCCTGTAAAACCCGCGGTCATGGCTTGCGCTTGGAAACGAAAGCTTGGAGTTTTAGACCGACATACACAGACAGCAAACTACACAATGAATTTTATCTATGCGATTGGCCCAGGATGATCCTTCGGATACACCTTCCAGAGAGCCGGTTCTGGGGTTGGAAGACTGTAGCAATGCTGCTTGTGACATTTGAACGGCTCACTTGGGATGGTTTGCGCATCGTCGCGGATATCAAAGACATGACTCTGGCGGATCTCAATTGGCGGCAGATCGAACAGAGTATGCGGAATGGGAGCAAAAGGAATGTATTGGCCAGGGAAATGACCAGGGAAGAGAGGATGAAAAGTGAGCGTGCTGTAGAGCCAGGCCCTTATGAATTGTGGTTCTAGTGGATTTCCAGGAGTGCATCCAGAGCTCATGTATCTTGCATATGTTTAGATATCGGTTTGAATACATTTCGTTCGGTTATAGAACCTAAACATGTAATCCGTAATTAGCATTACAATAACGAGGAGGCTTTGGTCTGCCTTAGGGCTGCGCGAAGTGGATAGTGGATATCTATTCAGGCACATAGTGAGCATATCTGTTCCATATTTAAACGCTATGATGGCTTTTTTTTTTTTTTTTTTTTTTTTTTTTTTTTTTTCACTTAGCGTTTGACACATTGGATCGGATAAGACACTTCAGTCGGAAGGGGCCGCCGCCTCATTTCTTTCCAATTTTTGTGCCTCAGCCATGCCAATACACCTTGTCTATACAGGTATTCTGGCATTAGCAAAAATGGATAGTTCTCTGCTTTTACTAGAGATATATGTGAAGGTACTGGATTCTTATTGATCCTGGAATCGTTCGCATATACAATAAGGTTCAAAATGAACCCTTCGAAATTTCGTGCTTTCCATATTTGGACCAGTGATATGATACTAGCCCTAATCGGTTGTTAGCAAATCGAAAGGTATCCCGATTGGGACATGGTGCCTGAAGGGACCAATAAATCCGGTCAGATCCCCGTTAGTACATGTGGGGATAATCCTTCTTAATAGCCAATTGATTACTATATTTATCACTAGGACCGGGCTCCATCTCTGGCTATACCAAACACAGTTTAGCGCTTTATGCAGTACCTTGCTTTCCATATAATAGCACAGATCAATCAGGATCAGGACAGCAATACGCAAGGCTTCGATGTTTTTTCAACTTTTAGTTTTTTGGATAATGGTAATAAGAGGGAGTCAAGTATATACAGCAGGAAGAGTGGGAGAGAGAGCGTAGGGGTAAGGGTAGAGACAAGGAGACGCCTCGGCCGGTAAAAGTACATTGCTTGATAAGAGACACTATGGGGATACTCGAATAAACTATAGTAAGACATTACCAATATACAAAAGGCGCTTGTTTCTCCCTTGGCAGTTCCGCTGGTCACATTAATGAGGTTTTTTGCCCTCCATCCGCCGACTGCCGGCTCCAATTTATTATTCTTCGGTATCCAACTTTAGGCCTCTCTTTCCTTTTTTTCATTATTTTATGTTGTGTCAATCGCTCATCAACACTCTTTGCCACTGGATCCAGTCATTCTTTTATTCCCTATCATTCTTTTTCTAGTCAGTGGACTATTGTCATTCGTTATTCTCGGCTTTTCTGATCCAATATTTTTGCCGGTCCTTTCAGATACCCTCGCTAGAAATACCCAAGACGCTCTTTATTCTGTTTCAAATTTTCATTATACCAGGGGTAAACGAAGCAATAAATTTACTGCAACTTCTTTCGATTTGCGAAAACTGCGTCTACAGACATACTTTGGTGAATCCATTTGATATCGGACTATGAACGCGTGAACCATCGACAACTGATTGTGAGGTTACTGCACTATACCATACCCTGTTGCGTTAAGGTACCAGTGGAGGACGATACATCATGGCTTTCTCTATACGCCAAGCGCAACGGCTCCTTGCCTTGGTAGCGTTGAACTGGTCTAGCACGGCATTGGCCATAGACACTGCCGCCTGGAAAGGCAGATCGATATACCAGACCATGACGGATCGATTTGCGCGCACTGACGGATCAACCACACACGCATGCAACACGACACAAGGTTTATATTGTGGCGGGACATGGAGGGGAATGATCAACCACCTCGACTACATTCAGGGGATGGGATTCGACGCCGTTATGATCTCGCCAATCGTTGAAAACATCGAGGGACGTGTTGAGTACGGAGAAGCGTACCACGGATATTGGTCACAAGATCTATACTCGTTGAACGCACACTTTGGCACCCGTCAGGATTTACTCGACTTGAGTAATGAATTACACTCCCGTGACATGTACCTGATGATGGATACGGTTATCAACAATATGGCCTATGTCACGAATGGCAGTGATCCTGCGAATAGTGTGGACTACGCCTCCTTCACGCCATTTAACAGCTCGAGCTATTTCCATGATTACTGTCCGATCCCGGACTACAATATCTACTCCGTTGCCCAGAAGTGCTGGACAGGTGATGACATTGTTCCGTTGCCGGATCTGAAAACAGAAGATTCCACAGTTCAGGATATGCTGAACACCTGGGTCCAGGATATGATATCCACATACTCAATTGACGGACTGCGCTTGGATGCCGCCAAGCACATCACACCACAATACTTACCCTTGTTTGAGAAAGCTGCCGGCTCTTTCATGACCGGGGAAGTACTGGAACAATCGGACGACATTATTTGCGACTACCAGAGCAATTACATCTCCAGTGTCCCGAACTACCCCGTTTACTATGCCATGATGAATGCGTTCACCCTTGGAAACACGACCTCTCTCGCCGACGAGATCATGAACATGAAGCAAAAATGTCCCGATGTGACATCCCTAGCATCGTTTTCCGAGAATCACGACCTTGCCCGGTTTGCCAGTAAAACCGACGATCTTGCAGTAAGGCTGCCCTGACTAAACCTGACTTTAAAGCACTGACGCTAACAAAACTACAGCTCGCCAAAAACGTCCTCACCTTCACCATCCTCTTCGACGGCATCCCCATGATCTACCAAGGCCAAGAACAACACCTCGACGGTGCCGGAGAACCTCACAACCGCGAAGCCATCTGGCTCACCAAATACGACACCTCCGCTCCGCTCTACCAATTAATCTCAAAGCTCAACGCAATCCGCAAACACGCCTACAACCTCTACAACGACTATGTCAACATTGAATCCTACCCAATCTATCGTGGCGGCAGCGAACTAGTGATCCGAAAAGGCATCGACGGCCGCGAAACCATCATGGTTCTTTCGACGCAGGGCACGGGTAGCGGCGAATACACGCTGACAATGCCCGTTTCGTTCCTAGCGGGAACGGTAGCGATAGATATTTTAGATTGTCGGAATTACACGGTGAATCAAAGGGGGGAGTTGAGTGTCGATATGAATAAGGGGGAGCCGAGGGTGCTGTTTCCCATGGATATGATGGAGGGGAGTGGGTTATGTGGGTATGAATATTCGAATGTTTCGTATGTTACGTTGGAGACTGATGGGGGTGGGAGTAATTCGGGGGCTTCGACGGTCGAGGGCTTTTGGGTTTCGTTGGTTGTGCCGGTTATGGCTGGGTTGGTTGTATTGTTTACATAGACATCACAGCACCTGTGATGATATAACGAAGCTATATATACGTATTTTTATTCTTTTATATGATTTACTTTGATAAATTTACAGAACACAGGATAAAAACCATTGGATTCAATCTCTTTTCTTTGCTGAGTGGAGAGTTGTCTATTAAACCACAAGTCCAGCTAATTGAAATCAATTTCCGTGCGCAGAAGCGGAATTTGATACCGACCCAACTCTACCTGGAGGCCAGCCGACGAAATGACAAAAATATACAGATGCAGGCATAACGCAGTGATAAAAGACAAGAAAAAAAAAGCAGTTGTATAAATAATACAGCGGGTCCCCAGTACTAACCCCCTAAAAGCAAACCCGTCTGGATGACGTCAAGTTTATCTCCGGTTGTTGTTCCGCATAGCAAGGATCTGAACCATGCGGACGAAAATGTTGATAAAGTCCAATTCAAGGCTAACGCTCTCGTTGACAACGTCACGCTTCGCCAGGCCCCTCTGCGACATGCGGGCGTGGGCCAAGACCTTCTGGACGTCGTACAGGGTGAAACCACCGAAGACAGCGAGGCCACCGTACAGCCAGATCTTGTCAGACCAGGCAAGAGCGCGAGTGGCAGTGGCGGGGAGGGCGAGCGGGGCAAGACCGGAAAGAGCGACGATGGTGACACCAGCGAGCAGAGGTCCACCGAGGTACAGGTACTTCTCCTGCTTGGCGGTGGCGCCAACGAAGGCAATCGAACCCATCATTCCAACCGTATAGAGGCCAGCACGGGCGAGAAGGGCGGGGTGCATGAACATCAAGGGCGAGAGGAGAGCGGCCTGGGTGATGTTGAAACCGGTCCAGAGACCATACTTCATCACATAGCTGGATAACTGTTAGCATGCGATTCACTAAGACACCGTATGGAAGCCTAGGGGGAAAGTGAAGAGCTTACTTCTCAGGAGGAGTGTAAAAAGTTCCGAACATAGTACCCATGCTAGCAACAAGACCAAGACCAACGACAACCCAAGGGTTGGTGGCCATCAGACGATACGACCAGCCATTCATGTGCAGAGCCCGAGCGGCAATACCAATAATACCAACACCAAGACCAGTGTGCATAAATGTTTCGTTCAAGTAGCTGCGCTCATAAGCCGGCATGCCGCCATCCTCACGAGTTTCCCGGTTGAAGACAAAGTTCGTCGCCAAAACAGTTCCACCAACAATAGCCGCACCGTACAAAAGCTGTTGAGTCATGTTACCCTGCGCAGGGCTGGCAGAAGGCTGCATATAGGTCCGCTTGAAGGCATTATGGAACGACTGACGAGACTTTGCGAAGATGGACGAAACAGGTTTGGAGAAAGGCCTAGAGGACGAGTTGTGGATGAATCGAGCGGTGTTTGTGGCTTTCGGAATTTGGCCCAGCGCCGATGGCACGGCGAATGGGCGTCTTATAAAGAACGCCATGATTGTGGTATCGATATGTACAGGGTATCGACGTTGTCTGATAGATGACGCTGAAGTTGCAGGAGAGACCGAAGAGTATTTAAAGCGGCGGCGGTGATATCAGACTTCCGCTTATGTCCGCTACGGGCACCCGAACGTTCGAGAAGTGAATGTCACGTGGGTCAGATAACTCCCAGTGATGACTAATGCGATTAACTGGTGATGATGGTGGGGAGGGATCAGAATCATCGTTACCGGCGAATTTCTGCGCATTGGAATTCATTGTTATAATTATTGAAGACTATACGCCAGAGGCATCGCATCATATTAAGGTCGCAATCGAACAAGCTTTTGCAAGCCGCTGCAGGAACACATCTCAGTCACCATGTCCGCATTAGAAACAATTAATCTCTCTCACCTGCCTGCATCTTGGCCGGTTCATGTCGCGCTCTATAAGGATGTGAAGAACGCGCCTTTCCTCCGGCAGCAGCTTATTTCAGGAAACTCTGATTTTGAATATGCGCTCATTGACGCGAGCATGGTAGGATGCGAAACCCCGAGTAACTACGCAAGTGCAAGTCTAATAATGGATACAGATCCTGACAAGGACCCATGTTCTCTCAGCAGTCTTTCGGGCTATCAATGACTATACAAATGCACGCCTCAAATCACGCAACATTCACTCGGAGATAGTCTTCTCGCTGAGCCCTGCGAATAATGTGCGTTCGGACTTAACACATTGTCTCCGACAAACGCTAACCATGCGCAGATAGCTGATTCTTTCCGGAAGTTCGGCATCACGGACTCCACGAAAGATTTACTGGTGGTGAAGGTGTCTGTCACTCCTGAGATTACTCATGAGTCAGTGGCAACACATCTCGGGGCTTCGATTGAAGGCTCTGCTGTACCATTCAATGACGAAACGCTTGTCGCAACCTCAGATGTCGCGAAGATCAAGAAGGCCTATAAGCTAGGTGGATTGGCTCCTACACCTGCGAAGACGAATGACACCAAGAATCACGAAAGACAACGACTGGAGACTGCCCTTCTGGGAGCCATTGCATTACGAGGAGCACTATGATGAATTGCACGATTTCGACTCAATCATACTGCAATCGTCGGCTCTTTTCCTCAAACGGGCTATTCCATGGTTAACGGGGGTAGAGAACATTGGCTATCACCCAAACAGGTTCTGGCTACCAATTTCACCGGATACTGACGTTGGCCGTGCGCCTAACGGGGCCTGAATCTCCAACCGCCGCGGGACAGGGACTGTACGTCGTAGCGCATGCTACATCTGTCCTGTATATTGCCATTAATTTCTAGGAGATTCAATTCACCGTGATTTTCCTCCAGGCATGTCAAGTTTAGTCCGCAGAAAACAATACTCAATGCAAAGCCATCTTTGATATCACAGATGCTGCTCGCGCGATATTTCGTAGCCAGCTTATATAAAGAAAATTTATTATTGCCACAATCCATATCACTGAAATAAATACATTTTTGTTTGTTAAAAGCCCCTGTTAAAGGATACCACCTGCCAGCGGTTGCCCTGCCCACCCGTAAACAATATCCCAAATAGGCAATCCTACAAGTTTGCCAAGACTCAATTCGCAGTCGCCGCCGGTGATTCCAACGCTTTCACTTCGCTCTTCCAAACGCCACACGACCTGAATAAAGATCGTTAAGATATGGGGAGATTGATATGAAGACTCTACAACCGTATATATGACATTTTTACTTCTTGGAATGCCTTGACTGTACCGATACCCCCAAGTCTTCCTGTCACCATGCCTTCCTCAGCGAACGTCGTCGTCCTTTCGTCTACTCCGGATCATAAGTCTATTCGCACACCGCAGCAGGTTTCGCATCATTCCGAGACTCCAACTGGACTATCACTGCAATTCGATTCCCCCGCTTCGCTCCCGTCGCCGTCAGAGCTATTCCGACAATTACATAGTCCCGCCAACTTAACGCCACAAGACGCCGAGAAGGACGCAGCGAGAAATACAACAGGGAAACGCGCAGCAGATAAATCAACATCAGATGCGACAGCAACAGCGAACAAGCCAAAACGAGAGAGGAGAAAGATAACGGACGAGTTGCAGACGGTTCTCACGCATGCAGGACCCGCCACTCTCGGGTCCAAAGACAATATCCTGAAGAAAGTACCGAAGACGAGAGCTAAACGGACGAACATCAGCACCGAAAAGAAGCGTGAAGGGCCTAAGAACAAGACATTGACAGGGCAAGTTTCGAAAGCGAGCAATGCAGATTCACAGCAGTCTGACGCGAAGAAGCCGTCGTCTTCGAAGTCTTCGTCGCGAGGAAGAGCTGCAAATGATTTGGATGATTTGGAGGCTGGTGGGCTACATTTGGAGGAAGCTACCAAACGGAGACTAGATTGGACGCCTATCAAGAATACCGGGAAGCAAGTGTTTGATCTGGAGGGTGATGGGGACGCAGGAGGCAGTCAAGCATCGGGAGCGGCACAGAACTTCGGCAACTTTTTGGCTGGATACGGCTTCATTGGGACTGCGAACTCTCAGTCTAGTATTCAGGGGAACGAGGATGGTGGTGGCCCAACTAAGCGAAGACGAATAGATGTATGGTCTCACAATAATGGAATCTCTGGGTTGATACTCACATTTCACAGCTAATGAATTTTCGAATTCAAGCGGACCCCAAATCCAGTGTCGAGGATAAAGACTCCGTTGAAAAAGAGCTCGAGCAGAAGCCCAAGAAGCAAAACAAGAAATTCACGACACTTACAGCACGTGTGACGGCGCGCTACGCTCCCGGCTATACAGAGGATTCAAACAATAGAGATTCATATACTGCAAATGTGCAAGACCGCTCTGATATTAAAAACGCCGGCCGCAAGCGAAAGTCAAAGACAAAGAAGAAACCGCAAGAGCCAGAATTCATCGTTTTGTCCCCGGAAGCTGCGGTCAAATCTCTAGAGGATCAGGATCTTATGTTTGGCACCTGCAGTCAGCTGGAGCGGGAAGATTCACCTACAACATTGAGGTATATGCAAACGGCGATCGATGAGTCAGAGAGCTATATGAAGCCAGTATCAGAACATGTTACCAGCAGGACTTCGTTTGGTTCTACGATATCACGCTTCACAGGCCCGAGAAGTCTATGGTCTGAAGCCTTTAGAGATCTGAACGGGGCTCTGGCTCAAGCAGAAGTCTCGGATCCGGTTGACGAATGTGATTTATCTAAAATCTCTTCTAGGGTCGATCGCGAAAGACGTGATGCTCAACAGCAGGAAACCTCGAAGGTGATCGAGCAACCAATCAATACCACGCACGAAAAAGAATATCCTATACCGAAAGGGAATTCTGATACGCTCGAGGATTCGTCAGAGGTTGCAGATGCCAATGCAAATCAACAAAGTGAAACTGCTTCCGTGGTAGTAGAGTCGCGTCCCCAAGTGCCGCAGTATAATGCGTTCACTGAGGCTGAATTGTCCAAACAAGTCGCTTCATATGGCTTCAAGGCTATAAGGGGTCGCCAGAAGATGATAAATCTGCTGCACAAATGCTGGGAGTCGAAGCATGGCATAAGTGCGAATTCAAATGACGATGGATCAGCTCTGATCAAGCCACCGGAGACCAGCAAGGTTGGGAAAACCACCGGTACTTCTGATAGGGCCTCTGGCTCGAGGTCTAGATCGAAAACCAAATTTACTGCGAATCCGCCGACAGCAGACGGCATGTCAGCTAAACCTCCTGCTAGGAGGCGTCAAGGCTCTTCTCGTCCAGCATCGAGATCATCACAGAAAGCAACAGAAAGCTTTTCTTTGCAACAACAACAAAAACAACAACAACAACAAAAAAAGCCGCCCAGCCTGCAAAAATCCTCTTACGCAAACGTGGAAGAAATCCAAGATTCCGAGGACGAAGCGATCCCTTCACCAAACCAGCTCCTAGACCGATCTTTCACGCACCCCAAACCAAGCAATCAACCACTAGCAATCTCGCCAACTCCTTCGCCAACACGCCGTGCGCCTTGTGAACCTAAGCCACAGCCCAAAGCGACGAGAGCAGTCTCTAAAATTCCCGACGAAGACGACGAACCCGACCTAGGCACCCAAATCACTAAGGCTGTGCGCGCACAGCCTAATATGTCTTCATCCGCCGGCGGCCGCAAGTCTCCCAGCTGGCATGAAAAGATCCTCATGTATGATCCCATCGTTCTTGAGGATTTCACGACCTGGTTAAATACAGAAGGGTTGGGGCTCGTTTCTGAGGATCGGGAGGTTGACGCTCTGCTTGTTAGGGAGTGGTGCGAGAGTAAAGGCATCTGCTGCTGTTATAAGAATAAGTCTTGGTAGTGTGTTTGGGGGTTGGTCAATGTATTTGTTATTCTTTTGGGCGTTGAATGATTGGTTTTATTCGGGAAGATCCGGATGGGCCTTTTTTGAAGGCTTAGTATATATATTCGTTTTGTACAGATACCCTTTCGTTATATGAACAATACGATTTATTAATTACCTTAAAAACCTTGATACTTTTACTTTCCATTTCAAATTCAGATATCATGCTCATATTCTATTCTAGGAGCTTGGACGTATCTCCCCAACGATGGCGACTATAGACTACCTGTCATATCCCATACTTCAGCGAATAACGGTGGTCATGCTCTTCAATCGGCGCCCAGTTTTGCGGTGAAAGTTGATCAAGTCGGGATGGTTCAGGGTCAACTCAACAACTCCGAAAAAAATTCCAACTTCTTATTTCCATGATCCAAAGCAACTACGGGAGAGAATACTCTTGTCTTTATGGTTAGGCCAGAAAATGCTGGGTATTATAATTTGCTTTCTTATACCTTAATAAAGATATCCATATCAAGTCGCTCGCATGGCTTAGTTGGTAAAGCGCATCACTAGTAATGATGAGATCCTCGGTTCGAATCCGAGTGCGAGCATTTTTTTTTCCCCCTGTCTTTTTGTGTACGGACTATCAAAGTAATGAGAACTTTATTGAAACCGAGTGGGAATTTTTGGCCTCTTTCCTACTTGCATTGCCAGAGAAAAGAAATAATAATATAAAAAAGCAAACATTACACCATATTATTGTCTGTGGCCGTGCCCTACTTTCTACCCTGAGCAGACAGAGCCAGCACAGATACCAAAACAAGATACTGGTACGGGGTCCGTAAAAAAAGCAAATACAAACGTATTATTTGTTTCCAGCGCCGCGGATGCCTGCATGCCTACGTAGATCTAAGCGTCAGCACTACACCAGAGCTTACAGCAGCAACCATGCACATTTCCCCAAATGCATACATAGCAAAGATAAACCGGTAAAATAAATGGTTTTGTTGAGCAGAAAAAAAGTAAAGAAGATGCTCGCACTCGGATTCGAACCGAGGATCTCATCATTACTAGTGATGCGCTTTACCAACTAAGCCATGCGAGCTAATTGTTGAGTCAAGTTGCATAATTATTTTTTCAGACCCAAGACAAGTAGTCAGACCTCAATAGAGACTGTCCAATGCTACCGGGCGGTTAATCTGCCTGCAAATTACCTTGTAATGGAAATATGCATGGGTCTGCAGAAAATAGTAAGCGAAGAAAAAAGTGCATAGGGATTTTCCTCTAATTGGGTGGCGGCGCTAGGTGTAGTTCCAGTTGCTACGCTTCTCTCCACCACTGATCAATTGACAAATTCAGATTCATCGGCAAAATATCCTGCGTTCAATAGAGTGCTGCTGTTAGGCGCAATTCTCTAAGATAGGTAGAACTCTTTGGAAGCTCTGAAAGTTCAATTGGACAGCGAAGGTATCATCATGGTATCGCGACTGACATGAAATGAACCTTTTGCATAAACTAACCGTCGAGTTCGAGCCAAAGCCTGACATCCTTGGAAAGCTCCCCTAAAGAGCGGATGAGCTGAGGGTGGACTTTTTCCACGATTTTCCAAATCCTTGTCCCCAGCGGATCGCTGGCATACTCTCTTGAGCCTAGCATGCAAGGTCTCGATGGGAGCAATAAAGCTCCTCGGTGTAAAATCAGAGGGCGCCCCGAGCTTCGTCTCTGCGGCAAATCTCGTCGAATATCAAACAGTCCTTTGATGAAGGCCACTACTATGTAATGAGTACATGGTTAGGCTTGTGGGATCACCGGTCACTCGATTCTCGGGGGTTTTCACCCAAATCATCGGTTTGAAAAGATGGCCTCTAGATGCGAGCCAATGATAGCAGAAAATATTGAAGTGAGCTCTCTGCTCCCTACTTCCGGGTTACAGTTTGCTTCTCGGTGGGTTCCACAAAGGGCTCCAGCGAGACTTCAAACCTATTTATACCCTAGCTTTGTCCCATAAAGCGAGAATGAGAACATACAGCTTTTCTATTTGCGACCAAGCTCTTCGGGTAGGAGCATATGCCGAGAATCACGCATGAATCCGTCATCGCTCGGAGACTGTTGCAGATTCTCAGCCCAGCAGTCACCGAATGGGTGAAAGGCGAAATCATTATGATGGCGGACCTCAATCAAGGTCCGTCAAGCAATGAGAAGCCGTTGGTTGGGGAAAGTCAATTGACGAGGAGCATGAAAAACGAACGAATGAAAGAAGCCAGCCACCTAAACAGGAGAGGTGTCAGTGCGAGGCAGTCGGGGGGGGGATCTGGGATCTGCTAGGATAAAGAGGAAGAGAATTACTTGAGATAGGAGAGGCGAGGGGACGGCTGAGAATATGTTGGCTGTGCAAGAGAAAAGGAGGTGCTGCCTGTCACAACCTGGCTCCTCTCGTATCGTACCTAGGGTTCTAGTTAGTTTTATTTCGAGACAGGATACTTACCCTAAGTATCTTCCAAGTAATCGTATGCTCAATGACCACCCAGGTCCTCTGTATATCACGTCGAAGGTATCTCGCCGCCTCCAGGATTTGTAAGGTAATCAACAAGTAGAAACGATAAAAGGTAACGAATAGAGAAACAAGGCCAACCGAGCACGTATGCTGGGTTGTGGGTTAAGTGCGGACGAGTCAGAAACTAGAAGGTAACCAATGCTTGATTAACTAGGTTGATTGCGAAGAACTAAACTAAGTGCATGAATGAGTATCCTTATATCCTCCCTTCTCCTACCATTCTGTATAACATCCAGGGTAGATAAATGGTAGGGATCACATGCCTGATCCTTTGGGTTATCAGCTGGAATCCCTGTTCCTTCCTGCATTTTCATCATCTCTCGTAACCCAATGATTCTGCCTTATCTCCCCATATAGTCACGTGAGACTGATGTGGCTTGGTCTGTAACACTACCTCGCAAGGCGTCTGTCTCTGGCAGTAGCGGTGATTTCATCATATGTGGATGTAAAAGAACAAGACATTAGGCTAGAAGAGTGTCTCCATTGGTGCTTTGTCTCTGGGGCTACTGTAAGAATCTTTGTCGATCGTCCTGTAATGACTGCATACAGGGGTGGTAACAGGTATATATAGAGAGAGCCTAAATATGGCATGGCGCTTAAATGTAAAAAAAGGTATTTGAGGACTGTGGAATGCAGTGTGAAAATGAGAGTCTATCGTATAGTATGCGCTAAAACTTCAAAATCTCACTCTCCGAGGCGTGTATGCATGCATAGTACCCTGTCGAACTGCTAAGCGCCTATACGTCCATCAAAACCAAATTGTAATTGAATCTAGATTATATTTATGCATATTAATAGAATAATAGCTCGCATGGCTTAGTTGGTAAAGCGCATCACTAGTAATGATGAGATCCTCGGTTCGAATCCGAGTGCGAGCATTTTTATTTATTATTATTTTTTTTTTCTTAAAAAAATTTTTGACTCCATTCTCTTTATAAGTCAATCACATACCATACACCGCACACCGCACACACAAAAAAGAAAAAGAACAGATCAAATAAAAGGACTAACATCACCCTCAGAAGACCCAACACCAAAACAATCAGAATCACTATCATAGTTGCCTGGACCTTCTATTTTCACCTCAACAATGTCACTGCAAGATTTCTGGACCCGTTTATGTACCAGTGGTTGAGACTGTTTCTGCTGTGCCAAATCCTCCAGAAGACCAAGGATCTCTTGGTCGGATAGGTCTTGTGCTTGGTAGGGGTTGCTGCCATCGCTGAGCGCAAAGAGATCGGGGCTGGCGTCTCCTGGGTTTACAATTGAAGTCTGGTTCGCGGTAGTGTCCAGGTCGAGGCTGGGAAACGTAGTTGATCGAGGGGACGTCCAGGAAAATCCGGGCTCGAGATCAAATTCAACAGTGGTGTCATCTTCGCTTTTTATTCCACCTAGGGGATCGTTGAGGAAATTCGGGATATGATTGTTTGTTTTCTGATGTCCAGTGCCCTGGAACTGAACGACCGGTTCCAAATAGTTCTGCGGTGCAGGTTGTGGAAAGTTGAAAGGATAGTTATGTGCGATTATGTATGGCACTTTTGCATTCGGGAGGTCCTGGTGTGGGTCGTTCTTGCTTTCATGTTGGGACATTTGGCCCTGTGTACCTCCGATAAGGTACTGACACGGGGTCTGGAAATCCTGGTTTAGCGTCTTCAAACTTTGAGACGTACCTTGGAAATATGCGTTTGTGTCTTGGCCACAGTTGTGCTGAGATTGGGCGCTCGTGTTTCTTTGACAATTGACCTGATCGGATTGGGCATCTAGAGCAGTTGGTAAATTTTGCGAACTCTGACCTTGCACCCCCAAGCCCTGGAAGTTCTGCATCTGCATGCCCTGATTCATACCTTGGCCACTTGCACCCGGGAAAGAAACACTCTGAGCCGCGTCATCCCGCATAGGAACCCGGATCTGAGAAAGCAGAGGATAAGTCACCATTTTGTTTCGAGAAGCAGTAGGCAATCCGTGGGGATGCCGGAGTTGAACCCATTCAGAATGCGACAATGAGTTTAGCATGGAGCTGGAGATGGGCAGAGGAGCCGAAGAGGCAATGGACTTGTTCCCTGAAAACGCATTATTGTTATAGTTAGATGCAACGGGTTGGATAGTGCCATTATTATTATTATTGTTGTTGTCGTTGCTGGTCTGATTACCATACAGGAAATCCCGGTTGGATTGTGGCATAGCTTGGGTGTGGGGGTTGGGATTGGGTAGGATTCTGGAAAGGTCGCTTACTGGTGGTGCATGGCTTGGGCCTGGGATCTGGAAGATGTTTGCTTTCATGCCATCATCTGCTTTGGAAACTGGGGAAGTACTCACAGTTCCAATCGAGAACCTATTGTAGTAGTACTGCAATTGATCTTGCAGCTTACCGTTCACGCTTCGCAACTGCTCGATCTCATCGCGCAGTTTCTCGTTCTCTTTCTTGACCTCCTCATTTTCACGCTGGATATCGTCAAAATTAATCACCACTCCTTCCGCTCCGCCCCGAACCATGGTCTCTCCAGTAACCCGGTTGGTCATCTTGCATTCAATTCCTGATCGAAGACACATTAGGCAACCGCCTTTAACCTCGTCGCATTTGAACCTGCGTATCTGTTGTATCAAACCATTAATTGAACAGGACAATCGCGGAGAGCAAGGGGAGGAACTCACATGGCATCGGTCACAAGCCTGTCCACACCTCTTCGACTTTGACGACTTCTCACGAACCAGCACTGAGTGGTCTGGTTCTGGATCACCCTTTCTGCGTCTCTTTCTGGGGGGCTTCGCTGGTTCCGCAGCTTTTTCCGCAATAGCTTGTTCGTTAGCCTCAGTGGAAACAGCTTCTTCAACCTGAGTAGCTTGGGTCAGATCTTGCAAGACAAGGGCGTTACCTGGGTCGGAGACAGCGCCATTGTTGTCGCTGTCGATCGGCGGTGCTTGGAAGTCAAATGCATCTAACATGGCGAGATCTTCCGAAGGAGAACCGGGGATTTCAAAGAGATCCTGGAGGTTGTCAGTATTAGCAGCAGCCAGAATTTCAACCAACGTATTTGGGCTGGGATTGTCTTTGCCGTTGTCCATTTGGCTGAAGGTGCGTTTGTTGCCCGCCATAGTTGATAGACTCACAGTATCGGACCTATTTGTCGAGAAGTGTTGCCACGTGCTGGAGACAGGAAGAGTAAGTAATCAGTCCGGGGAAGCCTATAGGTTGGGGCTGATAGAGAAAGAAGGTGAGGTTATTCCAAAGATCCATCACCTTTTATATAGCAAGTCTCCAGGCTACCAATCCTCTTGTCTCATTCCTGGTCTGCTCTATGTCCAGAGGAGACAATGGCTTGCTTTTAGGAAGAAGACAATGATATAAAAACTTGACATGGATGCCCTGTGGGGAGTCATTGTGCTAAGCAAATAGTTAGCCCTACCCGAAAGGAGAAAGCCATTGTGATATGAAAGTTGAAAGAAAAGCCATAGTGTCATAGAGACATCGTGAGGCGACCGTATGACAGTAGATTGTTGGATTGATTGCTTCTCTTTGATACTCGAGATACCCTGGGGAAAAACAAAACATCCTTAGTCCGTCTCGAGACAATTGATTTAGGATTTACCTGTCTTTCATCTCCTTGGCTCTCGTCAAAAGGATTATAGGATAGAATGGATAAGGCAAAAAGAAGAACAAAGACGATGACCAGAATTGAATGACTGCATTAGTCGCATGGATAACCTGCCAATGAAGGTAATAATATCATTACAGTAGGATACAAAGGTACCACCAAAAAGATAAAAACCAAAAAGGAGACTTTTGGTATAGCAAAAGATATCAATAAACAAATGAAGTAGATAATTAAAACTGTGCTGCCATAATGCTTTGCCCTCGGTCAAACTCCTCTCATGCCCATGCCGGACTTTTGAAGCATACAAAAGAATCACAGTATCACAGTAGTCGCCCGTAAAATGCAAAGCCATATAGCCGGGAAAAAAGCTAACAATAACAAAAGACAGAAAGGAAATGAAGTAAACGACAGGCGAATGAATCCAACCGTACACCAAGCATTGATACATAAAGAACCCCGTGCTGGTCATCAATCATGGTACATAGTACAGGAAATAAGAAAACAAAACGAGTGTTTATCACACACAAACTAAAAAGACTGTAATTTCCCCGAGTATCCAAAACAGGTAAGCAGATAATGAAGTTAAAAGGAAATCAAATCATTAGTCAAAACGATAGACCGAAAAAAAAAAAAAAAAAAAAAAAAAAAAAAAAAAAAAAAAAAAAAAAAAAAAAAAAAGAAAATAACAGAAAGATCCGGCATAGACACTTATAGAAACACGGTCGCCATTCAGCAACCAGAACCATGTAATAACATGGTAGCATAAATAGGAGATCAGACGAACCCGCACATCGCAAGCGTGGTGTTCATCTGAATTTTGCATTTTGTACAACAGTCTCAATGCGTAACCTGTTTTTATATCTCTCCGCCCCGCCTTCCTTGAGCCATGGAAGGAGGTTCTTGCATTGGCTAACATCGAGTGACTGTAACTGATGACATCCATCAGCCACTGCTTCGACGCCAACACCAGTAACTCTGACACAGCCACGGACTGAAAGACGTTTCATGTGCAAGAGATGAAGGCCAATGCTGTGTAATGAGGAGTCGGAGATCGCGGAACCACAGAAGGACATGTTGAGATAGGTCAACTGGGAGCACTGGAGGGCGAGGACTTGCGTTGCTGTATCTGACAATGCGCAGCAGAATGACTAGTTACTGTTAGTTCGATCCCCACGACGCTTGTCCAAGGAGGGGGATTAAATACCAGGTCCAGTTCCTGTAATTGCTTGGCAGCAGTGGTCAGATACACGATCGCGTTATCAGTCAAATAGGTACAATCTGCCAAACAAAGTTTCCGCAGCCTACTGAACTGGGCATTTCCCCAGAATTGAAACCCATGGTCCGTGATCGTCGTGCAGCGCGTCAAATCCATTTCCTCTATGCGAGGAGCAGCATGAGCAGCAATGTGGTGCATCGAGCGATCAGTGACATGTTTGCAATATTGCAGTGTCAGTCGCTTTAATCGGGGACACCCATATACAGTCCCAGCGGTGGTCTGCATAGTCGGTTTCAACGTTGACCCTTTGCCCGGCTTTCCTTGTTCTTGATTGGGCTTGTGCGGCCCCGGAACGACCCAGCCAAGGATTCGAGCCAGAAGAGTGTCTCCAACTTTTCTGCAATTGCTCATATCGACCTCTTCTAAGCCAGTAACACTACTGGCCATTTCAAGAATAGCAGGTGCGGTGACGTCCCATACGCTCTTCATTTTCCATGTTGCGACGTTTGCGCCACACGTATTGGCCAATTTCTTGAACCCCTCGTCTGTTATATGGAAGCAGTTGCTGATATCAATGTAACGCGGCCGTTCTCCAGCGAAAGGACAAATTGTATTGACCAGCACATCATCCGTAAGCGATCGGTTGTATATACTGAGGTCCAAGTGGTGAAGCAGCTCCGCAGACTTGGACAGAAGTTCAGACCAATGAAGAGATACACCCCGGAGACGAAGAAGGTGATGGAGTTCAAGGCATTGGAAGATGTGCACCAGTATACTGTCGGGCAATATACCACAGTTGTCAGACACAGAAGGACGCGGTGTAGTCGCCTGGGACTTGAAAACTTCAGATGTTTCAGTATAAGTAAAAGAAGAGCTCGCGCGGCGAGATTGTGAAGGCGAGGGTCGATGCTGTTCTCCAGAGACTTCCTCTGGCGTCGGTGGAGCGACTGATCCCCGTCGACTTCGTTCTCGGACATTGTCCAATCCAAAGTTTATATAAGGGTCCGGATCCGACGGCCGCAGTACCGTCTGGTCATCTACTCCATTAGACTGGCGATGGGAACTATCCAGTTCCGTTTCTGTGAGGGTCAAGATGGGCATCGATTGCCTCCGGGATGCGGCGGCTTTGAATCTGTCGTCAATACCGAATCCATTGACCACTTGCTCAGGGGCAGGATCCTCTGTCATGACGACGTCGCCGTCTGATGCTGCCTGCAGCCTCTCCTTGGCCGTGCCTTCAACTTGGTCACGGACATTTTTGGGACATTTGTCCCAGAATTTGGAGAGGACATCTCCGCCAATCATCAAACATTCGACAGAGCTTACAGAGCGGACTGTCGCCGTTCTGCGTGGTGCGAGAGACAGACTCACAACTTCCCCAAAGTATTGCCCTTGTCTTAAACGAGCTTTCACCTCGAACTCCGGATGCTGAATACCATTTGACTTGGAGCGGTGGAGGCCATCCAACGGTTGTGTTCTCCCGGAGAGAATTTCAACCTCACCTCGCACGATGAAATAGATTTCCCTTCCTTGGGAATCCTGTCGAATGATGTCCGTGAAAGGTGGGTATGACCGTGGCTGGGCATTGAGCCCTAGGAAGTGAAGGATATCTGCAGGCAAACCAGAGAACAATGGCAATTCCTTAAGCAATAGACGAACGTTCACGAGTCCATTCGCTAGCGCGCTGGATGATTTGTCCTTCATTACAGGGCTTGGAGATTTGCGCTTTTTATTACCATTGATTGGGTGAATGGTATGACCGTCCTGATCGGTAAACGACACATCCTTGGAGGGACTGTCTCGCAGTCTCTTTGAGCCACGTCGAAATTGATTATTGGGAATTTGATAATTGGAAAGGTCGACTGCCGGTACGGAGGTCTCTTTTTTCTTCCTCTCAAGGATCATCAACCGTTCCTGAGCCTCATCCCGAATCGCGCCTTCAACCTCGGGAAACCGAGGAAGGATCTTTCGGAAATCCTCTTTGGTCAACACCACAAGCATACATCGCGTTCGCGCGACAATGGTTGCCGTGCGCGGGCGGTCCATCAACACGCCGATCTCACCGAAAAAGGCGCCAGGCTTGAGCTCTGCGTAGATACTCTCGCCATCCCTTGAGGTAACGGCGACTGCACCTCGAACCAGCCAGTACATCGCTTTCGCTTCATCTCCTTCTGTCAAAATATAGTCATTAGCGGCGTGGAGTTGCGGGCGAAGGTGTTGTCCGATGTCAATGAGGAACGACTCCGGCGTGGATTGGAAGAGCGGAAACGAGCGCAAACGGTCAACAAGGTCGAGCGGTAATGCCTTGATATGTGAAGAGGCCAGCGGCGATGGGCGAACTGGACGATTGGGATTCGAGACGGAATCGAAGGAATGTATCAACGAGACAGTTTCTGGCATGGGTGTGACGGCCTTTGTCCCTCCAGCGGCCCTGCCATGACGCCGCATGATGGTCGATTGAGACTTCTATCAACCAGCTATGGTGATTCTTGAGAGAGGCAATGGATTAGCGAAATTGCGCTTGGTGTTCTGCCTCCACCAAATTGCATATAAGGGTTGTAGTCTAGAGTACTAGTCGATCTTGCGGCAAAGCGGCCAATAGAGCGATGACGTAGACGAGACACAGTTGCAACGAAAGCACTCTTCAGCAGGCGCTCATTTGGAGGAGTTCGCGGAGAGAAAATTTTATACACAAATAACAGGAAAGAAGATCAGGACACGCAAAAAGAGGACCGGGATGCAGGAAGAACTGTGGAGGACATGATGTGCCGTTAGTCGGTGGTGAATTACAGCAGCGGACGCGGGGAAATCACAAAACGTCAAAGATCACCCGTACCAGAGAAAAGAGACAGTGCTGAAGCTCCACCGCCAAGTTCCGACGCAATGAGACGGACAGCTGTGAGCTCAAGAGAGCTGCTGGGGGGAGGGGGAGGGAGGGTAGGTGAAAAGGAGCTTGGATTGTAAGTTGGATCAGCGGAAGTATCTTCAATGGGCCTAAACGAATATATTCACTGTAACGCGTGGTGGCTTGGTGGGGTGGGAAACACCGGTCTAGCGGTCAATTCAAAGAAATAAATTAAAAGCCAGCACTCTTCCTGCAGCTGGAAAAATCAGATGGAATAATCGTACAGCGTTGACAGAAGAAAGAAGAAATTAGGAAGAAACTGCGAAGAAAGTGTTGATCTGATTCTCGTCTCAATGGAAGGGGACATTCACACAGCCATAGAGGTTAGGGAGAACTGGAGGGACAAAGATTAATCTATTATAGACCAGGGGGCATTAACAACCTGCAGATGAGATTGAAATGAACTGGGATAAATTAATGTAGCACCCAATGGATATTTTTTCCAGAAAATGATAGAATGATTACCTGTCCTGCAGCGTGCAGATATTACAATTACTCCTAAAGCACAGGCTTTAGGATCACAAGTTGCACTACATCTGCATCCGACATTCGAATTGACATATGTCATAACACTTATAGAATTATAAAAAGAGATGAAGGGATTGCTAGAAAGAAGATTTCATTTCCTGCGATCTCGTATGTCCGCTGCTACCCAAGTATTGTAAAGTACCGTTCGCGATTCTTCCATCATTGGGTAAGACATGATTCCACATACATCCGATGCTTATCCAGTCGATCAGAAGGATTCGCTGGGGCGTGTATCTGACATACCCTGGGGTTAATAAGACGCGATCAGATCCTAGTTGTACTGCCTAGGCAGCGCTTGCCATCTTATCTTCGGATAGACGGAAATGAAGTGGGGAGCGAAGGAATCAAGGCCGTTTCAATTCAGAAAAAGAATCACTCGACGGGTATCGTGGCGTACTTGATTTGCTGGGTTCGATCGGTAAATCCATCCTAGGACGAATTTATATCTGAATAGATCAATCACCATGTTCCAATGTCCAATGTAGTCCATATGTTCATGGAGAGGCAATCGTATGATTTAAAGACTCCCCGCGTCAACCGGATATATAGGTCGCGGTCGGCTTAATAGATAGAGGACAGTGTGATGCGTATCAAACTGTTTCTCCCTCCTGCACATTTGACCGACGATTCCCCAGCAGGAAGTCGATATACGCAGGTCGATTACCCTTGAGAGATTCCAGCGCATCCTGCGCCAATCCATACACTAGACTCAATTTCAACCCGAGCCTCGTCGTGCGAGCGGCCGTGAAGACATCATGACGAGCTGAACAACATATGTCAGTTTTCTCTTCTCCCTAAGTCCAGACACACAAGAACAGAGCATACCAAGTAAGCTGTAGATCCCAGAGAACGACAATCCTGCCGTGACCGTGGACAAGAAGTCTCTCGTATCATCCCGAGCATAATCCACCGTTTCCTCAAACAAACAAAACGCAAAAGCTCCAGCACCCAGCTTAAATCCCAATTTCATGCCGTCCTTAACACCGCCAACAACCGATGCGTAGTTCTTGCTCTTGTGGTACTGGAACCATGCTGCTGAAGTCGTGGGGTAGCGATGGGCGTTCTCGGCTCGGAACTGGTATGATGCCTTTTTGCTACCGTGAAAGGACCCGATGGTCATTCCGGATGCAAATGCCGCAATGGTAGTGTATGGCAGGCGTTTCTTTACTTCCATCCCGAGCCGGGGAGGTGTGTCTGAGTCGAAAAGCTTGTGCCAATGGATGACTCTTAGTAGCGCTGAATCGTGAGGGCGTTGGCCTGATGGTTCTTGCGAGTCCATATTGCCGGTGGGGTGGATGGTCTTTAGATTCATAGACTGGCCTCGCAACTGATTGTCTCTGAAAGCACCTGTTATCTGAAATGGTGGTCCCACGGCGATTGTGTTGGTATTCTTGGTCGGTTTATGTAGGGGTCGAGATCAACCGCGGAGCCCAGAGAACTCCGATAAAGAAATTCTCCGACCTCCGCCCACCACAGCTCGCTCCTACCAACAACACAACTTGCGATACTGATTCTGTGTACAACATGGTATGTATCCTTCATTATCTTCTTCAAGCTGTCTTATTGAGGTTATATGTTGCTAATATAATTTGACCCGCAGTCTAACCCAGACCCTCTGAGCTGGACGCTCCTCTTCAAGAAGCACAAGACAACCGTGCTTCTTATGCTCCTACCCCAAGAATCCATTACCAACACCAAAACCGCTTTACTAAACGCACTCAAAGCTCGCGAACAGCCGGGAATTAACGGAGATCCTCTTCCTGAAGATGCCTCGGATATTGAATTTGGAGTTGCAGTGGACAAGAATGATTTAGAGAAAGGCTGGACGCGGCTGGAGGTGGAGGGGTCAGATTTTGCAGAGGAAGAGGAACCAAGGAAGACTGCCGGTAAAAAGGCTGGTGGTTCAATAAGCCTACAGGCTGCTGATCTTCGGAATGGGCAGTCTATCGCTTTTAGGTTCAAGAAACACGGTGATGGCGAGAAGGCTGTGAAGAAGAATGGCGAGGATATCGATATTGACCTGGACCTTGAGGACCCTGGCTGGGATGTTGTCGTCCCCAAGTTTGATGACGAAGAGGAGGTTGAGCAGTGAGCACGGTTCTTTTTTGGCACAGACTACTACAAACATTCGGCAAGCTTTCTACGCGAGCATTGTACGGCGTTCATATGGCGTTAGGTTAGGTATTTCAGGATGGGATAATAGACGAGAAACGATATGTTGTTACTATTTCAGACACGAGAAAAGAGACTCATTTGCGTCCGATCTGGGGTCTGAAACAGACACCATGCGTTCGCTTCACCTGTAACCACTACAAGCTCTTATTGTCCCTGTACCTCTGAGCTCCCACTATTCGTACGGAGTAGGGACCTTGACAAGCCAAGGTATTCATGACTTGTGAACGTGCTTATACTTTCATGAATCAATCAGGGACAATCGACAAAGCGGTCTGACTATGCCGTTTAAAGGCCATTTTGAGTCAAGCTTTGATGCCCAATGATCCCAAGCAGTAGGATCCACAGTGCGTATAGATAAATTAGCACATAGTGGTATTAACACATCCATACACTTCAATCTCTCATATGTCCTGGTAGATTAATATAAATACGGATACTGTGTTATCGACACGCACTGATGGTTGCCCGGAGCAACAAGCGAAACGTCAACAGGTCAAACCTCACTCCGGCGTTGAAATACTGACCACGCCGACTCCACAGTCAACATTCCTCGTCTGCAAGCCCATAACCCATCCGGCTTGAGGAGCGATACTAACCCACAGCATACCTTCCCCAGCGTCTGATATCGTATGATCCACACTAAACGAGTGTGACGTTTCGTTCCTTTCTTTTGTTGTCACGACTCGACCGGAGAGCAGGCGACGCTGGGTGTCGACTCATCGTCATTTCTCCCCCACCCACCGCGTCGAATTTAGAAGACGTGGATCTGCACAGTCATTTTGGGAGGGAATTAGACTTGATTCGACTTGATTTTTTCGTTCCTTTCTCTCCCAACCGACCGCCGATCGAAACATACGCGCATTATGCCTCCCGACTCGAGTAACTCCTCGTCCATTTCCGTCGCGGTTCGTGTGAGACCGTTTACCATTCGAGAGGCTGCTCAGATTTCGAAATGCGAGGCTGGACCTCTCTTTCTTGGTGATGGGTCTCTGGCGGGAGCGCCCACACCGAAGCTGCAACAGAAGGGACTCAGATCGATCATCAAGGTCATCGACGACAGGTGTCTGTAAGTGGGCTAACCAATTGCTACCTCTTTTGGATATACTGGCTCTGGATCGGGAACTGACGACAGTTATGAAGAGTCTTCGATCCCCCCGAAGATAACCCCGTTCAGAAGTTCTCGAGGAGCGTCGTCCCAAACGGAAAGCCGCGTGTTAAGGACCAGACCTTTGCCTTTGATCGAATCTTCGACCAGAGCGCCTCGCAGGGAGAGGTCTACGAATCTACTTCCAGAAGTCTTCTTGATAACGTTCTCGACGGTTACAATGCCACGGTATTTGCTTACGGTGCGACCGGATGTGGAAAAACACACACCATCACTGGCACCACTCAACAGCCAGGTATCATTTTCCTCACAATGCAAGAGCTGTTCGAGCGTATCGATGAGAGGTCTTCCGAGAAAGCGACCGAAGTTTCCCTGTCGTACCTCGAGATTTACAATGAGACGATCCGTGATCTTCTGGTTCCCGGTGGAAGCAAAGCCGGCTTGATGTTGCGAGAGGATTCGAACAAGTCAGTCTCAGTGGCTGGTCTGTCCAGTCATCATCCGCAGAGCGTGCAGCAGGTCATGGATATGATTATGCAGGGTAACGAGTGCCGTACTATGTCCCCGACCGAAGCAAACGCAACCTCCTCGCGATCCCACGCCGTCCTACAGATAAATGTTGCTCAAAAGGACCGCAACGCTGATGTAAATGAACCGCACACAATGGCAACCCTGAGTATCATCGACTTGGCTGGTAGTGAACGTGCGAGCGCGACCAAGAACAGAGGAGAAAGGCTGTGGGAAGGTGCCAACATCAACAAGTCGCTACTTGCCCTGGGTAGCTGCATCAACGCGCTCTGCGACCCACGCAAAACGAACCACGTTCCTTATCGCAATTCGAAATTGACGCGGCTTCTCAAGTTCTCCCTCGGTGGTAACTGCAAAACAGTGATGATTGTCTGTGTCAGCCCATCGAGTCAGCATTTCGACGAGACCCAGAACACTTTGCGATACGCGAACCGGGCAAAGAATATCCAGACCAAAGTTACGAGAAACGTGTTTAATGTCAACCGTCATGTCAAGGATTTCTTGGTGAAGATCGATGAGCAGATGAACTTAATTAACGAACTCAAGGCCCAGCAAAAGAATCACGAACAGGTTGCTTTTACCAAGTTCAAGAAGCAGAACGAGAAGAAAGACAGCGTCCTCCTGGAAGGTGTTGCTCGTATTCGCAATGCCTTCGAGCACTCGCTGCCGGAAAGACAGGAACGGACCAACAGTATGATCAAGTTGAGACAGATCAGCCGCCGGATCGGCTTGCTGTCCTCTTGGATTGCTGCTTTCGATAATGTTTGCGCGAGCTACGAAGGCGATGAAGAGCCATTGTCGAACCTCCAAGCTATCCGCAAATCGGCCCAAGGAATTCTCTTGGAGTTGGAAGGGAGCAGACAACACTACCACCAGCGGTTGGCCAAGAATGCATGGGAGCGTGGGCTGAACTCCGCTCTCGAAAATGCTATCCGTCAGCTCAGAGAATTCAACATCTCCGATAACAGTGACATTTCTAACCTCAACCGCGAAGCCGAGTTACTCAAGGCTAATATGGAGCGGGAGGCTCTGACTGCTTTGGCAGAGCAAGACAAGGTCGGAGATGCGGCAACGATGCAACTACTTTTGCAGGCTCAATTTGAAATGATTACTTCTATTGAGACCATCATGCAGCTGAGCGAAGCGGACGCGATCGAGGAAGGCATGAAGATCCTCATGAAAATGCTGAATTCTTGCTCTACAGTTACCTCTAATATTGTCAAACCGGATGGCAGCTTGCCCCCGATTCCTCCGCCTAGCCCGCTCAAGACTAGCTCTCCTAAGAAGAAGAGGGTAAGCCTTATCAATGTACCTAGTGCAAAGACCTTGAGTGCTCCCATCACTTTCGCCCCGACAGCCACTTCTCCCACCAAAGCGTCTCCTCGTCGTCCCAAAATGAAAGTGGGTAGAAAGAGTGTCAGCTTCTCTCCAAAGAAATCTCAGCCAAAGGCACCTAAGCGAAGTGTCCGGTGGAAGGATGATGAAGAGGATGGCTCTCTGGCCGAATTCCAGAAAACTCCTCAAAAAGCTTCAGCTGCTCCAGCCGCTTTAGCCCCAGAAGACAACACGGAACACGACCTACCAGTGCAGCGGACATCCCCTATACCCCGGGGCATTCCAGTGCCAAAAAGGAGTCCCTCTTTGGGCTCTTTGGGTTCTTCTCCAATTCCAGCACCCCCTTCGGAGCCCACCCTTAATGTTACTAAGGGCAGTAGATTTCAGGCTGGGTTCCTGTCAAAGAAGAACGGCAGTTCTCCAGCCCCTGCGCCCCCTTCGACAAGTTTGCCTTTGTCCGATAACGAGAAGTCGCCCCTTCGAAACATCGAGAACAGTAGCTTCTTGAATCGCCCGTCCGTCGAACGTCCTTCTCGAATGCCGGTGCGAAGATCCAGCGGAAGCATTTCCAGCAGCCCTTTGTCTGAAAGCAAGGGCAGCTGGAAGGCAAACAAGGACGATGCCATCAAAATTAACTCTGCCATGAGACGCATTTCTGGCGGCCAATTTGGTTCAGCAGTTTCTGCGAATACCCACCGTGCCCACCGCCGACGGAGTCCAACTTCTGCATCATACGGAGGAGGTTCGCCTACCGAGAACACCATGTTCACTGCTTCTGGGGCCAGGCGAATGACGAAGAACGAGGAGACCGAGACCAAGCCACGGGTCTTGGGTCCTCGAACGATCCCTGTAATGAAGAGCACAGCGCATAGACGTTCTACGTTTGGTGGTGACCTCCGGGCCAGTCTCACGAGTCGGGATGCCATCCGGCTTAGCGCTATGGCAACCCCAAACCTTGAGAAGTTTTCAAACAACTCTGGGGGTGCTTACTGGTAGATAATATCTTTCTTTCTATTTGTTTTTGTCGATATGGGTACTTGGGAAGGTGTTCCGGATTACTGATACCACTACTTCTTTTTTGATATTCCGAATTGCGATGTGGCATGGAGAGCATACTATATGGTGTGTTTGTGTACTTTCATTTTCTTTCGCTGTTGACGAATCCCCTCCTGCATCACATATCATTGTTTTTATCGGACGTGTACAGTAATTTTTTCGTTGCCTGGGTTGGCATTCTCGGAGTTGGTTTTGGCTTGAACTGTGTGGGATATTAATCGATACCTCTGATTACTCTCTCATTTGACTGACATGCTTGTGAGGCTGATAATGTAGTCACCATTAACCATGGCTCTTTTCTTTATTAGGGTTTGATTGCCTAGTTTGAAATGCTGCCTATGTGTCTAGGCAGTCAAAGTTGCTTAAGACTGTAGACAATTGCCGGACTATCCCGATGCTAGTCTTCAATTTACACGTCAAAGCCATAGTCCATACTGCTAAAACTGCTCTTCTTCCTCGTTGCAATGAGAATAACATCCAGCCAAGATGTCGTACGTCGGAAGCAAGTCATGCCTCGAAACCACGATAAACACTAATACAACCAAAAGATACACTCAATGTTACGGCATCAACACAAATGAACAGGACTGGAAGCTCATCTGGCCGCAACTCGTCGAGGAAATTCATGCCATCATCGAGGTCTCTCGATGTCGACAATGGGAAAGGGTATGGTTCTGTATACTTCTTCCCCCTGGTCCTCGTCAAAATCGCAGTAGTAGATCTTGCCGTGCCATTGGTTGTATTCTGCTCCATTATGATTTGTTACTTCAACTCCGGAGGAGGATTTGGATCAATGGGATTGGGTACGACGCGCACTTCCCGTTTATTAGGAGGACGGAGGTAGGGCGTTCATGACATCTGTGGAGACCACGCGCAAATCGTATGATGATGTGGTGAGTTGTATCTTGCTGAGAGTGTTTATGCTTGCGCCGAATGCTTGTCGGACTTCGTGAGTTTAGGTCCTCTCTTTACCCTTCTTGGGGGTTGTGCTGATTCATTTTCTTTGTATCGATCGGAAGCTTTTTGGGATGAGTGGGAACCGGCACAGTCAATCGATGTGTTTATTTTTGAAGAAAGAACTAAGCGTCCTTGGGGAGAGGATGGTCCGGCCTTCTGAGTTTGTGTTGGGTATTTTGGACGGCTCTGGGTGTTGCCAGATTTTGCTCGGTACCAGGGCTATAAGAGATGTGGTTTATATTTGAGATTCCTGGTATTATGCTGGGTTGAATGCAAAAGAAATAACTATTGTCTTTTACTCGAGCTGTATGACCATATTCTGAAGACAATTAAGAATAGCTGTTGTGTGGGACGGTATAAGATCTCCGGTGCACCTTGAAAGAAGCTTCCCCGCTGTCACTTACCCAAACGGGCATTTTACATCATTTTCGCGGATTTCGCATCAATTCCGACTTTGCCTCCCACCACAAAGAACAAACAACCTATCCTTCTCAGATATATATACAGTACGTACAATCACAAACTGTCACTTCCAAATGACGTTTGCACCCGCGCTTGGTTCAACACTTTTCTCACGATTTTTCCGTCCTTTCTCGACTAGTTCCCCGTTCTTTTCTTTGGCACCCGAGTCGGCCTCGCGCAACAGCAACAACATGTCGGAGAAAGCTACAGTGGCGGCAGGCTGCTTCTGGGGCGTGGAGCACCTGTTTCGCAAAGAATTTGGCAATGGAAAGGGTCTCTTGGATGCTAGGGTGGGATACTCTGGCGGAAACACTTCATCGCCGACGTACCGGGCTGTGTGCAGCGGGAATACTGGTCGTAAGTGTCTAGCTCTTCCCCCCGAAAGTCTCAAAGAGAGAAAGAAGAAACGTATCGCTAATTGCGTAAAAAAAAAAAATTGAAACAGACGCCGAAGCCCTCCAAGTAACCTTCGACCCCTCTATCGTCAGCTACCGCCAGCTTCTGGAATTCTTCTACCGTATGCACGACCCCACAACACTCAACCGCCAAGGTCCGGACGTCGGCACCCAGTACCGCAGCGTGGTTTTCACGCACAGCGAGGAACAGAACAAGCTTGCGCACGATATCACGGACAAGGTTGGCAAGGAGTGGTACAAGCAGTCGCTTAGTACGCAGATCATCGAGGCGGGTGAGTGGTGGGATGCGGAGGATTACCACCAGTTGTATTTGAAGAAGAACCCGTCGGGATATGAGTGTCCTGCTCAGTATGTTCCCTGTTGATTGGTCCCTATGGATGGAGAAAAGTATGTGCTAATTGTTTGCAGCTTCGTGAGGACCTTCCCGCCGCTTTCTGCGTGACTCCGTGCAAGGTTATGACGTCTTAATGATTTTGCTCCCGTTTTGGAGTATAATGATGTTTGTTGACGGGTATACTAGCGGAATTATCTGGTTTAGTGTATATAACCGGCTTCAATTCCATACTTGCTATATCCTCGAGCTACCAGGCTTTTTTTTTTTTTTTTTTTTTTCGGTGAGATGCTGCAAGCTGGAAGATCATTTCGAATGACCTTTGACAGAACGAGCTCCATGCCCTTATATGTCAGTTCTAGCGAATATTTAAGGGAGGGGGAGGGGAATAAGGTGATGTTGTACACAGTATACCGTTCCGCGACATCGGCATCGAGCATGATAGGATCCCAAGAAGAACACAAGATACAAAATATATCTTTTCGCATTAATTATCTCTTCATAAACGCATTCACTCAGTTAATTAATTAGGTTCGAGTATGGCAAGTGTAGACGTGATGGCTGCAGTTCCCCATGGGGTGAACCCATGTAGGAAAGAAAGCCCTCACCCGTGGCTTCTTTCTCTATATTCACTCGACCACCTACACTCTCCCCTATCTTCCCCTCTCAATCTACGCAAGCAATACATCCTCTTCCAATCCATTTCTTACCCTTCTGCATCTCATTTCTTCATTTTCGCATCAGAAATTCATCTTATGAGCATCGTCTTCTTCACAAGTTAATCGACAGCCAGAGAGCTCTGGTGTGGGAGTCTCGGACAGGCACCTTCTATGAGCAGAGCAACAAAGGTCATTGGCAACGCATCAAAGACCATCAACGGCCTTGTCTGTCTGTTGGCCTTTCTTCCAAGAGACTTTGTTGAGGGTTCATTGTCCCTAGGCCTTGATTCAAGAGAAGCAGCTTCTGGTTGCTCCTCTCTGTCAAACTTTTTCCTTCCTCAGCTTTTCTTGGGATATTGTTGATGACTGCGTGTTTTGACGCGTCTATCTCAGGTCTGGAAGTCTTGACGGGACTCTGGGCTGGAAATTGAGTGGTATGGTCCTTGTCTCTTATTTATTGTTTCTAACGGGTTGAAGCCATCTAACACTAACTGGTCGAATGACAGGATTCCACGAGCTTCGTTCCGGAAACCCTTCTTCTTCGCGATAAATATAACCCTATCTTGGATCTTGTATCCGCAGTTCTTCTGATCTACTTTCTCTAAGGTCATTCAAGATGGTGACCTACTCTATCGATGGTGCCATGGCTGAGGCCTTGGGCCATCTCAACCGCATCGCCTGCCATGTAAGCAAGCTTGCCAAGGATTATGAGGTTCGACATTCGTTTGGCTAATAACCAGCATGCAGTTCCGCAACCATGGGCAGCACAAATCGGCGAACGAGCTGGGAAAGCTGAGTATCATGATCGTCAATGCCTTTAGCGAGGGCGTCGACAACATTCCTGCGACTGAATATGTCCTGGAGGAAGTGGTAGGTCACCATCTTCTCTTCATTATTAGATCCCACCTAGCTGACGCAAACAGTCCGGTAGCAGTTTGAACGTGAAGGCCAATACGATTCAGAAACAGGCCGCTGCCGCCCTCATGAACAAGGAGAACCAGGGGGAGTTCAACTATCAGAGCCGTGCCGTTAAGAAGCTCCAGCCACACGATGGCCACTTCTCTCAGGCTGGAAGCTGGGCTCAAATTGCTGGCTCTTTGTCTAACAATCAAGATAATACCCACGAGCCCTCTCAGTATATGTCTCCTCCCGTTTCGATGACGGCACTTTCCGCCTCGAAGTATAGCCAGAGTGATGATGAGGAGGGCGAATTGCCTGGACTGACTGCAGTTGGACTCGCGTCCGCTTTGTCACCGGAGATCCCGGAGACCAAAGCTGCTGTTCTGCGTGTCAGCGGACGTATGAACAAGGATATCATTCACTATATCACCACCCGAATCCATGAGGGACCTCTGCAAGACATCAAAATCGAGGCCAATGGAAGGGCTCGGGTCACCTTCCAGCATGCGTCTCACGGTGTTATGTTCCTGAACTCCCACAAGGAGATGGAAGCGCTGCTCGGTTTTGGACGTCTTGGACCAGGAGTTAGTGTTGAGCTTCTTGAGATTGTCGAGTGGAACGAAGACCATCGTCGAATGAACCAGCCGGTCCGTGAGCGTCGGCGTCTCTCTTTCGCGCGAAAGAGACTTTTTGCGGAGAACATGTCGCCCGAAAAATGGAAGCAAGACGTTCGTACCTTGGCTGGACCTGGCAACATTGACTTTCTTTGGGTGTTCAATTCTGGCAACGGTAAGAGCCCCTCTCCATATCATTCCTACAACATTGCTTACGCACTTTAGCAACTGCGGTATTTACCAGCACCTGTGTTGCTCGCAAGGTTTTGGACGTGTTCAATAAGTGGAAGACCGGCCGCAACGTGTACAACGGAGTCTCGGTGACGTTCTCATCGGACCCTTGCGAGAAGGAGTTGGTTTTGGTCAAGGAAACTAGCCGTCCTTCGTATGCCAAGAACTTCGTCAAAAGAGCCATGCGTGAAGCAGGGCGGTAATTACAGACCGCTGTTGTACTCTGATGGTCTTGCCAACGCAGCCAAGGAGCGATGTTTTATACGGGAAGGGAGTTGAAGGGGTGATTCCCACCTGGATATTTTTGACGGCAACCGTTGACCAAGATCTTTGGAGGACGTGGCGCCCTGCTGCCACGTTAACTGGCCACGAGCGTGTCGTGTAAGGTGTCGGGCGCGATATTCTTTCTTTTTGATGTATAGCTATTATCAATGTTGGTTACGACGATACCTACCTCAGTGGGAATCGTTCGGTTACCTATGGTTTTACTGTGCTTTTAACATACGGAATTTTTTAATATTACGGATTTGAATTGGGCTGTCTTGTCACTGGAGGGTGTAAGGGAGCGTCACTGCAAAGTAGTAGAAGAACTTGTATGTGGTGGTTGTTGCTCCCTGAACTCCCTGAATCGAAAGGGATAGTATAAGTAGCACGGGACAGGATTGTATCTGACAGTGACGATCGTGGATACCGTGGTAACATAGTGTACGACTCCGTAGACGTTGTTTGTTGATCATGATCGACCGAGATTCCTCACGACACCAAACATGTCTCATAGACTGTCTCCTTGCTTGCTTGCGAGATAACGGTCATTTTACAAGCAAAGGCCAGATAGCAGTCAAGGAAATAGCGCCAGCCTCCGCTAGTCACGACCAAGACGTGAAGACCTCCTTTTTATTTCCCCCAAGATTATGTTGTTTAATGCCAACCCCATAACCATTCCCTATCGGGATAAGCGTTGATGGGCGCTGCAGCGTGCATCAGTCAGTGCCGTATTAGGAAAGGATTATCATATCGCCGATGAACCTGGTCCGAACTCGTTACAGTACGGGTAATGACAGACTGCACGCACATAGAAGTACAGTAGGCAGGAGCACAGATAGGAGTGCTTACCGAAATTAGAGGTCTTAACGATGATGTAATTGTCTTTTCCTTGGTACGGAGTACCGAGAAGGCCATGGTAGACTTCCTCCCACGCCAATGGAAGAAAAAACTAAAAATATCTACAGTGCATGGAAATGTGCAATGTGCAATGTGCAATGTGCATTGTACTCTGTACATATATAGGACCGGTCATAATATGACATCTCGTTTATACAGTTTGTTGTTTACACTGAGAGGTAAAGAAAATGTCCCTCCGTGGAATGGCATGCTGCCTGTCTCCTGTAAGTACTTGTCTCCGTACTGTGCAGTGTTCACCCGGCAACCACTATCGGATTATGGTTAACGTGGTGCTATCTAGTTTGTTTCATATTTCATATTTGATGGGGGGTCAGGAAGACAAGAAAAGTTTAAACCGGAGAAAATATATGATATCAGATGCAGAAAAGGAGAGATTTTGTTTGTACTTTGTGTGTGCCTTTCTTGCTGCCTACTGTAATTTGTGTTTGTGTGCTACTAGTCCACCAAACCATGCTAGCGGTCTCAGAAGCCAGGTTATTGAAGGCAAAAGAAATGAACACAGCCATTCGGCTGCTATTTTGGATTATGGATACAGCCATGGTTCAAGGACTTAAATACACATCGGGAAGTAGTTGCCGAAATAATGCAGATAACCAATGCCGATGCAGGTCTCGCGAAGAACGCTGGGATTGTAATGTACCGACAATACATATTTTACCGTATCGGCAGGGTTAATGTGGGCCCTCGTGCAGCCGGCGCTAGTGGCGCGCTAGTGAAGGGCCGAGGATCGGGTCCATTTGCATATAAGGGTCCGCGTCTCTTTCTTTTTCTCTCTGGAACCTTATGTCGCTTGGAATCTAATAAATGTGTACTAACATCAGCAGATACAGCAATTAAACAGCAGTTGTCCACGAGGTCTCACTCCCATTTTTCGTTTTTTTCCAAGTATATATACTTCTGTTTGATCAATTGCATTGCTGTACATACACTCGTTCAAAATGGTGCGTCTGGGTGCTTCAATCCTCTTCGCATCGCTCCTGGCGTCCACTGCTTGGGCCCAGACCTGCGACACAAGCAACCAGTGTCCCGAAGACAAGCCCTGCTGTTCCCGTGAGTCCACTCTCACCTCGCCCCCTGTGCCATGACCAATGCTAACAAACACAGAATACGGAGAATGTGGAACAGGTGCCTACTGCCTCGGAGGCTGTGACCCTCTCTCCTCCTTCTCCCTCGACTCCTGCGTGGCTGAACCCACCTGCCAGAACAAAACGTTCACCTGGGACAATCTCGACAGCGCAGCCCTCAACACCAAGTACCTGGGAAACGCCAGCAAGTACGACTGGGTGTACAGTGGTTTTCCCAAGATCGACGATGGAAACCTTGTAATGACCATGCCTAATGGTACCGTGGGGACGTTGTTTGCGAACAACCACTACATTTGGTACGGAAAGATCAAGGGCAAGATAAAGAGCAGCCGTGGGGCTGGTGTTGTGACGGCGTTTATTTTGCTGTCGGATACCAAGGATGAGGTTGATTTTGAGTTTGTGGGTGCCGATTTGGATAATGTTCAGACGAACTATTATTTCCAGGGTATTCTTGACTGTACGCTCCCCTTCATTTATTCCCTTGGGCTTGTGAATGGAGTACTGATGCTATGAGGCAGATAACAACGGCGGCAAGTCTGAAGTTGGCGGCGAGAACACCTTCGAAGAATGGCACGAGTACGAAATAGACTGGACAGAAGACTACATCAACTGGTCCGTCGACGGCGAGGTGAAGCGCACCCTCGAGAAATCAGGGACCTGGAACGAAACCGCCGGTCGCTACCAATTCCCCCAGACCCCTTCTCGCATGCAACTCTCGCTGTGGCCCGCCGGTCAGGCCAGCAACGCCGAGGGAACTATCGAATGGGCCGGTGGCGAGATCGACTGGGACAGCGAGGACATCCAGGACAAGGGCTACTACTATGCGTCTTTTGGAGAGATCACAGTCGAGTGCTACAGCCCGCCTGATGGTGCTGATATCCACGGCGACAAGTCGTACATCTTCACTGACGACAAAGGTCTGAACACCTCTGTGCAGGTGACCAACAACGACACTGTGCTTGCGTCGTTCGGTGCTACCGGTCTTGACCCTGACATCGGCGCTGACAAGGACGACGATGACAAGGATGATGACTCTGGTGATTCATCCAGCGTCCCCAAGACCAACGGTGGTACCGGTAACGAGCCTGGCTCGGACGGCTCCTCCAGTGACCACCACAGCCAGAAGAACGTCACCACCAACGCTGCTACCGCCTTCCAGGGCAAGTGTATGATGCAGAGCTCGTTCTTCGGTGTCCTCGTTGCCCTTGTTGTCTTGATTACCCTGTAGAAAAAGTAATCTTTTGACCATTTTCATTCCTGCACATGCTTTTTGTCAACCTTTTTTTTTTTTTTTTTTTCGACGCACATGATTCGAATTTTCGACTTATCTTTTTAGCTATATACCAGACATCTTCTATGTCCTGCATGATGGTTGTCTATCCTATCCGTTCTTGGTTTTGACTTTGATTTGAATAATGCCTGGATGCTCCGCTGTGGTTCATGATTCTGGGAGGAAACGACTGGATCTTGTATAATTAGTAACTTAACTTGATATTACCTAACTTATTGATATCCAGATTGCTGGAAGCAATCGCTAATTTCTTGGTTAGCCATTGCCATTATATACAAAAATTGTGTACAGAAGTTGCAGAGAATGCAACAAGTTACTCCCCCATAACAAATACGCTTCAGAACCCCCCCAATCAGGATAGAACATGGTAATTCCACCCTCAGGCAATTTCTCATCATCATCCATGAAGATATCCCCACTTCTTCAAACCAGAAACAATTCAACCAGCGGCTCAGGTCGATTACTGCTAAAAGTAATTCCCGAGAACCGAAGACCGAAAAACTTCTTCAAATGAACTAGGAGTTAAGAAACCATACAAGCTAGGAGCTGATACCATGTCCTGGTCACATTTTGATGGACGTAATGGGTGAAATATCCTTTTTCCAGGCGCATGACACATTCAAGGGCTAAAATAGGCCGCATAACGTCCGTCCCCTATATAGAGTATTGAGCATTGTCGCCGCTCCTTCCGGCCAAATACTATCTTCCTCGAAAAGAATATCACCACTTTCCAGAAGTCCAAAAACAGCTTGTATGGCGTGTCCGGAAATCGATCACTGAAAGCATCCTCAGCAGAACGAAGACCTAGACATTTCCGGAAGATGAATTTGAATAATTGTAAGGATAGGGTGTTGGACACATGTCTTCGTACTCATTGGGCTGGCCGGAGGTATGGTGCATATAGCAGAAAGTTAAATCCACATATTTGGTATAATTATTCGAGCCCTTGGGTAGTTGTTCTCTTGATAGAAGGATATCCCATGCATTGTGTACATGACTTGGCGTAGAAAACTCCTCCGGGTAGGATCTGTCTGGGAGAATGAGTTGGACTTTCCTATTCAACTGACTGATATCGTCCCCATCATTTATTCTCCGGAAGGGTTCCTTGAATATTGGCCAACACGTGTAACCGGAAATTGTCATGAATGCAAACAAGCACCCCACAGTCTCGGTATATAAGATGCTAGCATGCATTTCATCCATGTAATCAGGAATCGGTTTATTTTAAAATAAGGTACCAAGTATCCAGGCCGTGAATAATACTGGCTCTGGACTCGCATCTTGCTCTGTTGGGAGAGAAAGCTCTTTAGTGACCCATAAACAGGCGCATGGTTCTCATACGGCCCAAATTGAGGATGGGGTATCTCATCAACTATTCCACACCAGCATGGTCGGCGCGCCAATTCTGAAGAGAGAAACCAAGTAGGAAGCCTAGTGGGAGGATGTGGATGTTCTCCTGTACCTGGTGGCGGCACCAGAGGCTCCTGGTATGCCCGACAAAGCACGGCCCCCATTAGAAGAACTCGATAGATAGAACGACAGAAATCCTCCTTCCAAAGCAGTCATTCCCAGACAGAGAGTTAAGAAGACCCAGAGAGACGAGGGAAGCAAATGGATCCAGGGATACCCGGGGAAGTGAAACAAAAGAGAATAAGCCTGTATTTTAATTAAACCAGCGATATCAATCAGCGCGCCATTTCTGCCATCCGTTCAATCTGCTGTATTGTGACATGCTGTTTGGCGGGAGGTTGACGGAGTGCAGAATCAGAACCAAAGGGAGGAGAGACGTCAGTGTAGTAGTACAGTGGTTGAAGATATCTTCGGTTGTATGAGATTGATATGTTATGATTCACATGATATAATATAAACAGATCCAACAGAGCAAATCCCCTGTATTTAATTAACCGAAACTTATGCCCTAACGCCAGCAACCAAATATCATGACAAATGCTATCGTGATCCCCCCCCTAAAACGCGTTCAATTAATGAGCCTGTCCACAGTTACATTCACCAACAGATCGCTTCCTAAAGTCCCCATGGTACGTATCCAATCCCTCAGTCCGGACATCTTCTTCCAAAGGATGACCCATCCAGCCGTACGATTCCTTCGAATCGGTGCGAGCTAAAGAGGAAGAGGAAGACCAAGATTTCAATGATTGAAGCTTGTCGGTGACCGGCTTCAGGTCTAGGTCGAGGTAGTTGGCCATGAACTCGCCGATTTCGGTGTTTTCGTGGTTGCCCTGCAGCGGCCAGGCGTCTTTTGTGGAGGATGCGTAGATGTTGACGTCAACACCTGTTTTGCTCATTAGATAGTTTTAAAATAGATTCCAAGGAGAAAAACGTACCAGAGTGTCCGTGTGTGGACCACCCAATCTGTGCCCGACGGCTGATTATATCCGTAAACACATGCTCAGGGACATACGGGTAGTTCGGGTCAATGAGAGCATTCACTTCATCATCAGTAGCATCATGGACACCGAGTCCCTTCTCCAGAAGAGTGCGAGCATACTTCTGCTGCTTGGTGCGACTTGCTTCCTCGGAGATGTACGCCTTCAAGTTGTCGCTGAGGAATTCGCCGGAGTGACTGGCACTGGCAAGCACGCCAGGATACCACAGGTAATCAGGATAGTCAGGCTGGAGTTGTCGAGCCGTTGCTAAACCACCGGTTTCATGGTCTGATGTAGCCACCAGCACACCCGGAGTAGGGTCTTTCTCGAGGAACTCCGTCACAGCCGCGAACGCCTTGTCATAACTCATTACCTCGTGGACCTGCGCGGCAGGGTCGTTGGCATGCCCAGCGTGGTCAATACGAGATCCCTCAACCATCAGGAAGAATCCCTGCTCGCTGTCGGCAGTGGCATCGCTGAGGATCTTGAGAGCTGTGCGGGTCATTTCCTCCAGAGACGGATACTTTTCGTCCTGGCTGCGGCGGTCAATTTCATACGGGATGTCCTTCTCAGCCAGCAGACCAAGCAGCGGCAATTGAGCCTCAGCGCCGCCGTTCAGTGCGTCGAAGCCCTTTCGGTCATCCAGGTAGTTGAAGCCCTTCTGCTTCGCCAGTTCAACCAGGTCCCGCTCGTCATTTCTGCAGCTTCCTTCGGTCGAGTTAGGCAGGAAATGGCACCGGCCTCCACCAAGCATCAGATCTACGACGCGACCAAGCGGATACTCGCCAATTTCCTGCTCCGCAATCCGATCTTCATAACCTCGTTGGTTAACATGAGAAGCAAAGCACGCTGGCGTGGCATCCGTAAGTCGCGTAGTGACAACCAATCCAGTCTTATACCCGGCCAACGACGCAGCCTCCAACACAGTCCCACAAGGCGAGTGATCGGGCAACACCGAAATAGCCCCATTATAACTCTTAAACCCACACGAAAACGCCGTCGCACCAGCCGCAGAATCCGTAACCAAGCTCGAACTCGACCTTGTCCTCGATGTCCCAATGATATACTCATCCAGCACCAAAGTATCATCAATCGGTAAACCCTCCGTATGCTGTCTAAAACTGCGGGTCATCGTCAAACTCGTGGGCCCCATCCCGTCGGAAACCATGAAGATCATATTCCGCTTGCCTGACGGTTTACCGCCCGGGCCCCAGGATGGTTTGTTCGGAACATGGCGGCTGGATTTGTGCTGGTAGACGACGGCAAGGACAACGACGGCGATTGTCGCGATAAGAGCCCATGCAAGGAGACCGATTTCACGCCAGAAGCTCTTGTTGCGGCGTTCGACCTCGCGGCGGCTTCGGGAGCCGGTTAGTAGGCTTTCTTCTTCTTCAGTGGTGCGGATTGATCCGTGGTCGGATGAGATGCGAGGAGCCAGGAGTGGCTCATCGCGAGCCATGGTATCGGCAGTGCTGTAATTCTTTTAGGATGTATGAATAGAGAGGATGAATTGATGATCGTGATGGAATAGGGGCCTCTTATCGATCGATGTCGGAGCGGTCAGGTGTCTGCGGGCTTGGCACGAGACTGCAACGTCACGCTTGATTGGTGACGCACTCAGCCGGCCAGCTCAAGAGTGTACAAGCTGGATATGCTGGAAATTCACCGCTGAGTCGGTGGATTTGTATCTACAGAAAATTTCATGCTGATTGCTGGCCTTGCTGTCAAGGTTTGCCGGCATTGGTTTTGGCGTTGCTCCTGATAGCAGATATCAAGCATGACGGAATAGGAAATGTTCATGGAACACCAAGAGAAGAGCTATACATTGCCATAGAAATACAGTATAGTACACAGACATATTATAACACCCAACACTGCGTATACAGGTTACCTCCCCTTCCATCCGCTAGGAATCATGGCAGCCGCAATCTCCGTCACACCTCTTTCCGTCGCCAACATATTAAACTGCGATGCCGCATTCCTCGTGCTCAGAATCTCAACCCGAATTCCCAGCAAACTGATATGTTTCTTCGTCTCCGGAGAAAGCGGAAACATATTCTCTCCCATCCCGATAATTAATAGGTCTATAACCGTATTAGTAAACTTCCCCTGCCAAAAGCCATTGGAGGAAGCTGAACGTACCAGGCCTCGGCCAAACCAACCCAAGCACCCCCCAAACCTCCTCATCAACCTCAAACTGCCCCTTCTTATTCACCATCTCCGCCTTAGACCCTCTCGTCGCCCACGGCCTCCACGCAAACGCCTCTCCTCCAACCAGCATCACCCCGTCGCCATTGCGAACTTTCAATCCATTGTCCAGATGGAACCCATCGTCTAGTGTGGCTTCCACGGCCGTCGTAGGCGCAGGGATGTTGCCTAGGACGTTGAGTGCGTTAAGGTCGGTGTTAGTGTTTTCTTGGACTGCTGGGCCGCGGTCGTGGGAAGTTGGTTTAGAGGCGTGGGAGCGGGGGATCATGCGGGTTGGACGGGGGGGTTGGGTGCTGTTGTAGCGGTGGCTAGAGGAGTTGAATATGGTGCTAGTTGCGGTGCATTGCGGCGCGATTCGTGAGGACCGGAGGGCAGTAGTCGTAGTGCTAGTAATGGGTGTGATGAATGCACGCAAGGTACGAAGTAGTTGTGGTGAAGGAGAGTGCATTTTGAATACTTTGTTAGAATACTTTGATTCCTCGCAATTGCCTGGATATGAGCAGAAAAAGGAATAAAATGCGGAGAATTTCGGCACTGATGTCAAGCCCCCGACTTGGCACTATCCCTGGCCAATTAGACACAAGCAAATAGAAAGACACAAATGCCCTACTAGATACAAGCAACAACATTTGGCTAACTGGTTGTATTGCTATGCTACTTCTTCCAGCCAATAATTAGTCTAAATAATGTGTTTCTTTTTTTCTTTTTTTTTCTTTTTTTTTTTTTTTTTTTTTTTTTTTTTTTTTTTTTTTTTTTTTTTTTTTATATATCAACGCATCCAGCCTAACAGCAGCGGATGCCCCCGAGTTCGTCTGATGATAGTCAATATACCGTACGTGCGTACAAATCGTAAGGCACTCCAAACGCCATGATGATAGGAAATGTGCGAGAAGAAAACATGGATACATAGGCCTGGACAAATTCGTACAAAAGAGAAAGACCCGAAAATAAAAAAAAGAAAAACAAAACAAATGGTATCTCCTCTCCATGCCATGTAAATGGGAACCATGGCTTTGCAAATTTTTATTGGCGACAACCTCAAAAACATTAGTCTCTTGTTTATAACAACCTGGCTCGCATAAGAGCCCAACGTTGCACTAACAACAAATTAACTCAACAGTCATGCAATTTATACTCAATGCCCGTGGCCTGGCACATTCGACGGAGGAGCGGTACCGTGGCCATGACCATTCCGGTCTTCGTCGGATTGGCTGGAGCTGTCATCTCCAGGTGCACTACGAAGACGTTGAGCGCGGTCCTGGAGGACTTGGGCCTCTGCGGCCGCCCTTTGCGCTCGAATCTGCTTGCGCCACATGCTGGAATATCGACCTTTCAAGGCCAACAGTTCATCATGCGAGCCGCTTTCGGAAACTTGGCCTTCGTGCAAAACAACAATCTGGTCCGCCCTTGTGATCGTGCTTAGTCGATGTGCGATCACGAGTACCGTGCGGCCATGCGATAATGTGGATAGAGCCTGCTGAATGTGCTCTTCTGTGTCGGTATCGAGCGCGGCAGTTGCTTCGTCCAGCAAGATGATGCGAGGGTTCTTGAGGATAGTACGGGCAATTGCAACCCGTTGCTTTTCGCCTCCACTGAGACGCAATCCCCGTTCACCCACCTTGGTTTGGTAGCCATCGGGAAAGCTAAGGATCTTATCATGAATACTAGCTGCCCGACAGGCCTCAAAAACATCCTCATCTGTGGCGTCCTGATTGGCGTACTTGAGGTTATACATGAGTGATTCGTTGAAAAGAACCGTATCCTGAGGCACAACACCAATATGCTGTCGCAATGAATCAATCGTGACGTCTTCTACATCATTTCCGTCAATGAGAATCCGTCCCCGTTCAGTGTTGTAGAAACGGAAAATCAGACGGAAAACGGTCGACTTTCCTCCCCCAGATTCACCAACCAACGCGGTAGTCGTCCCAGGTTCGCAGTTAAAGGTCAGGCCATTCAAGGCCGGCTTTCGGCTGTCATATGAGAACTCGACATTGTCAAAGGTAATGTTACCATTGCACGCCGGTAAGGGCGTGGCAGTGGGTTTGTCAATAACTGTCGGCTGTTCACGGAACAACTCGAGCATCCGCTCAGAGTTGATCATGGAGGATTGAATCGAACGGTAGAAAGTGCCAAAGAAGTTCAGCGGGCCTTGGAGCTGTGCCATATAGGTCAAAAGTGACACAAACTGACCGACAGGACGCTGGCCAGTCGAGACCTGAAACGCTGCAACAAAGCACGTTATCAAAAGACCTAACATGAATACGGTGTTCTGGCAAGTATTCATGAACGTCAAAGAGAGCAGAACATGATATTCAGACTTCTGGAAGTCGTTGACCGCGTTTCTATATCTGCCAAATTCATAGTCTTCTGCGTTGAAGTATTTGACAGTCTCATACGAAACCATCGAATCGTTTCTATTGGTATTGTATTAGTTCGAACTGTCGAAGGGATGAAACAAAAGGGACAAAATGATGTTACTCACTTCACTGCATCTTCCTGCCTCGAATAATTAACCATCTCTCTTCGGATACCGGCTCTCCATTGTGCCATGCGAACAGTCACATAGAGGTAGGTGAACGTGGAGATGCCGACCGCCAAGGCGTAGTATGCATCGAATGCAACAAGGAAATATCCAATGGCAACCCCAAGGTCCACTAGCATGGGAACTACCTGGAACGTTACTTGTTCCAGGAAAGTGTTAATGGAGCTGCCCTTGCTCAGAGCAGATAGCACTTCACCCGTCTTCTTTCCAAGGTGGAATTCAAGACTGAGCCCATGGACATGTTCGAAGGCGGCAGTTGAAAGCTCCATATAGGAATATTGACTCACGGGAATCCACAGGAAGGAGCGCAGGGAACCGATTAGGCCCTGGTTGCCCTGTAGCCAGCGATACAGGATATACATGCAAATCTCAAACCAGGGCACTCGGAACCCGCCGCCATCTTTCTCAGACAAAGCGTCAGTGATAACGCCCACTTGGTAGGGCACCAAAACGTTCACAATGCGCTGCAGGATGATCAAACCAAAACAGGCGACCACGATGATTTGCAGACGGCGAGACTTGGACGGCCAAAGGTAGGGGAAAAAGAGCGAGTATCCACTAAGATACTCCCACCAGCTGGTGGACGGAATGGTCGTTGGACGAACCCACGCATCCGTCGGTTTGGAGTCCTCGTGATTGGTCGAGCCGTATGCTCGTCCGTTGGCCGTCCCTGATTCCGCATTGGACCCGTCGAGCAATCCCGTAGATTCTGAGATTCCGTTTGCCTGACTTGCCGCTTTCCGTCCAATGGAATTCACGCGAATCAAGTGGGCTACGTACATCAAGACCAGAGTGGCAAGAAACAGGACTCTGACCGCGTTCGAAGCCACTTCCAACGATTCCCACATAGTGATGCTCTTGCGTGGGGGCCCACCAACTGGGTTGCCTACCACCGGCTCGCGGTGAGCATTGACGTAGATAGAAAGCGATCCTCCTAAGACGGCCAATTCAAAAGGTATGGCCACCAACCACGGGACAAAGTGCGAGGGATTCGGCGAAGGGTTTGTATCCAACATGGAAACAAGAAGAATTGCATGGACGAAAAAGGACCCCACGATGTAAATCTATGAAACACTCTCAAGTCAGCCTTTGTGCAGGATACTATTAGGGTACCTCTCTGTTGAGAAGACCTACCACAACCGACTGGCCACACCACCAATGCTGAGATCTCGCAAACATAACATGCGTCATGTTGATTGCGGCATCTGCGACGAGAGTGGCCAATACGCCAACGGCCAGCCACCTAAAGAGGAGACTTGTGCACCGGGAAAACCTGCGACTCTTCGCTACGGCCATGGTACTTCGCGCACGTTTGGGGAGCGGTCTCCCTCCAGGACCCATCTGTTCTTGTCTACCATTTTGAGTAGCCTTCTTTGCCGTAATAATCGAGTTTGTAATGAAAGCCACTATAAAGGTAATCAAGAGGATGATGGGGTAGCTGATGCGAAGAAAAACTACGACGTCTTGCGTCGTGTGCCCAGAATCCATGGTATATGCCATCCTCCTATACAAACGATATCCACACACGAAGACACTTAACAAGAGACCATCAAGGTCTTTTCCATTGACATGACAATCGTGTCACAGTCCCTTCTGTATAAACGCGCGAACTCCGACGAAAGAAGCGGTGGGTAACACTCGGGCAGCGCGGGCGACACGAACGACTTGAGATCGAACACGAGATCGAAAACGACAGTAGAGGAGGAATGAACCGGATCGTCATTCACCGATTGGGAGAAATTGTGAATAAATACCGGCCAGCAGTTCCTGAATTCCTGGAAGGATCGACGCGTAAAACCAAAAAAAGCGTTGGTCAAGGCCAAGGGAAAAAAAAAAAAAAAAAAAGCGGCGGTGTAATGGATACAGCGAATGCCTTGAAAAAGGAAGTTATAGCGAAAGTAATAGAGGGCGATTGATTATGGTCAAGGTGATTTTATAGTAGAGACGAAACCCCGAGGCAAAGCAATAATGACCCGGAGTTGTGGTAGCGGTGGTCTAACGAAGTATTAGACTTGCGGCACAATAATACAATCGAGCGACAAAAACGAGTGCACGAGAAATTGAATTGATCGAGCAAAGGGGCAAGAATATATGAGAGGAAAGAATATATGATAGGAGTTGAGGAGAGAGAGAGAGAGAGAGAGAGAGACACGAAAAGAAGAAGTGAAAAAGAAGCGGGAGTCGTTCGGTGGCGGAAGACTTTGGCTGGGGGTGGCTTTGGCACTGTGACTGTGCACTGTACCACACAGCAAACAATAATAGAATCGAGACAGATGATTTTACTCACCGGAAGTTTATATATAAAAACCTATGGTATTCAATTGGTAGTAGATTCTCTGCAAATCGGATAATATCCTAGTTCAGAGATCTCGATATCGGAGTAGTCCTCGAATCGGGTTGGATAGCACTTGAATGTGATCTATAACAAATCCCGTCTCAGACAAGGACGATGAATACATATAGAGTAAAGAAACAGAAGGAAGAGAGAAAGAAGATGCAGTCATGGCAGAGGAGAAATAGGTTCACTCTTTAGTCAGTATGGAGTATGCTCCACTGAGAATCATCATAGCTGAGGGCAGTGAAAACAATAGAATTGAATCGGTCAGATGCTTTCTGTGGCAAATTTGTCATTCACTTTTATTCTATATCAAACAGGCATCTTGATTTATATATTGACCTGACCGGTGTACTTCGTATAGTACTCTGTACTTATATCATCCTACCCTTGGAATTATATACTCTGAAGTAGTCGCGCACTCACATGGCTCAATTCCACAAGTAAACCCACATATTATGTCAATAGCTATGCTACAGCGTACCCGTAGACATTTGAGCGCATATTCCAGTTGCATTCTTATAATCTGTTCTATACACTACTATCATGAAGTCGACCTTGTGCCTGCGTAGGTGAGTAACCAGTCATGGAACTACGGAAATCGGAATAAGCGAGGAACATATTTCAATGCACTCCAGGGGTAGAGAGTAGTCAGCTAAGAACCACTATCATGAATATTACTCTGTAATTTGTGTAAAGAATGGCATGAAGAGAGCATGGAGAAGCATTCACTCATCTGTATCTGACATACTGACAACTTTCTCCGCCTTCCTATTTAGGTCTATCTATTCCTCCCCTCACATTCAATCTTTCTCCTCTCCTACACACCCTAATCTTCTTCAGTCTTCCTCATTGTCCATTTGTTTTCTAGCTGCTCATCGTCGGCCCTTTCCCGGCCCAGCGATGGAGCTCCAATCGGCCTTGGGTTGAGTTCCATCCTGCGTTGGTCTCAACTGGACTGCTTATGTACTTGCCTTCACCATGTCGGACCTTTCGCGTCTCTCCACCAACGTCACCTCTACTAGCAGCAATAGCAGTACTACAAACCTCTCATCGCCCGTTCCTCCTCCTCCACCGCCTCCCCCGGCACATCAGACCAGCCAGAAATACTCTCATCGGGCAGCCAACGCCCTGGCTAGATTTGCCCAACCGTTCTTGTCCGCGTCTCGTCCGCCCAGCCCGCAGGCCTCTTCCGCTGCCAATGGTCGTACTGAATTGGCTGTTGGTCCTCGTCACACGAGGTCCAAGTCTCTGTATTACTTCCCAACTTTTGTTTCTTTGGTGGCATCCTAGAATAATCGCTCTAATTGGATCTGAACTAGGCCCGGAGTTTCTCAATCGGTAACTCATAAAACCGGCATTCCCATTTCAGCGTTGGATATCTCGCCTCAACGGACTCATGCAGTAATCGGCGGCAAGGAGATCCTCAAGACCATTCGTGTATCGCCAGACCATTCTTCGGAGGAATACAACCTGCGCAATGCGATCATCAGCTTTTCATCCACTCATTATGGGGGAAGTACGCTTTCTGCGCGGCACAAGGACCAGCTAGCGGTGAAAGATGTGAAGTGGTCTCATGGAAATTTTGACCAGGTTATCGCCACTGCCATAGCAAATGGCCGCATCATTGTCTACGACTTACATCGTACCGGCCTCGAGTTCTGTCGTTTTCAGGGACATAGCCGCCAGGTTCATCGGCTGGCATTCAACCCGCACTTCCCAGCATGGTTACTGTCGGGGAGCCAGGACTCCTCCATTCGGATGTGGGACTTACGCATGGCCTCCTCCGAACGGGGTGTTTCTACAATTGGGAGCAAAGAACTATACAATGGGAACAGTGACGCCATTCGCGATATAAGGTGGTCTCCAAGTGATGGCGTCATGTTTGCTACCGCCACCGATAGTGGTGCTGTTCAGCTGTGGGATTACCGCAAGACCAATGCCCCCTTGATGCGAATCACAGCTCACGATCGCTCGTGTTTTTCTGTCGATTGGCATCCAGACGGGAAACACGTTATTACGGGTGGTGCGGACCGGCAGGTCAAGGTTTGGGACTTCTCATCTTCGGCCGAGCGACGACAGAAACCGACTTTCCAGTTTCGGACCCCGCAGGCGGTCTTGAACGCTCGATGGCGCCCGCCCTCCTGGATCAGGGATTCGTCGCAGGGCTCGAGCGATTGGCAGTCGTTGCAGGTGGTGACATCCTATGACAAGGAGGATCCACGAATCCATCTATGGGACCTGCAACGCCCACATATCCCCTTTCGGGAATTTGATCGGTATGACACCCAGGCGGCCGATCTGCTATGGCATTCCAAGGATCTCCTGTGGACGGTAGGGGATTCTGGAGCTTTCACTCAGACAGATGTTCGATATGCGCCTCAAGTTGTCAATCGTCGCCCGACGGGTTCCATCGCTTGGAGCCCCAATGGCGAAGTGCTTGCGTTCATGCAGAAGCGTCCTCGTCGAAGTCCCCTAGGTCTTACTACTTCGGAGTTTCTGGGTTACGAGGCGGACGAGAGGAATGCCAGTGAAAGGGGCCTGGGCCATAGCCCGGCCGACGATATTTTGGATGAACCGTCCTTCACGTCTGCCATCCGTCATCGACATACGAAGTCTGTTGGTGCCCGGCCGTCCAAATCGCTAGGAAGTACTCCACCCGGCGCTCCGGACTTCATTCCTGTTGCTCCGCTGGAACAAGCATTGTCGAAAAACAAGGCACCGGGACCCCGGCAGTTGGGATTAATGGGTAGCATTCCGGGAGCTACGATGCATTCGACTCTCTTCCGATATTTAACTCGCCAGTATTCCGCTTTAATGAGAAGCAGTGACGAGAAACCGGTCCACTCTGACCTTTTACGGTCTCTCCTTGAGTCATTCGAGTATAATGCAGAGTCTGCAGAAGCGGCTTCCCTTTTTCAGCTGGCTCAGACCTGGAGAATCGTTAAATTTGTCGTCCTTCAGGAGCTTCAAATCAAGTCGCGAGAACAGCTCCGGTCGACTGACAAGACTGCCAGTGGCATTAAAAAGAAGATGTCCAAAGAAGGCCTACTAGGTGAGAAAAGTCGTCCACTAGACGAGGGCAGACATGACAAGATGAAGAACCGATTATTCAAAGGTGTTATGGAAACGGAGGGGCATCGAATTGCCCTCTCTGACGGGGAAAGCCCTTCCAATATAGCTACGCCCTTGGCCCGTCCATTGCCGGATTCTCCAGTAGGATCGGATAGTAGCGTCACATCCAACAATGATCTGGCAGACATTCAGCCTCTACCACCGTCCGTTCTCAGTTCAAACAGGGGCACTCTGGATACGAATGATTGGTCTGACATGGACGCCCGCGACTCCGTACAGTTCCAGCACCGCCAATCGACTTCAAGTGACCAAGCTTCGTTGACAAGCTCCCTATCAGGACAGGTCCAAGGCTCCTCGTCTTCAGACTTTCCAGTTGACCAAAGGTCAGCTCCGCGGGCGATTACTGGTCGGGCTGACTGGCGCGGCTCCGAAGAGGACGAATATCAACAGAAAATCGAAGATAAACGAGCAGCCATCCGTGATTACAAACAATTTCCCAAAAAGGTATTGTCGCTCGAATCACCTCTAGAATCAAAGCCATCCAACCTTCATAATCATGAATCATCGGATAGCTTCCCTATGTTCTCTGCCTCCACAGAAAGCTCACATCCCTCCAAGTCAATCGGGGCATCCTTTTCTCCTACGTCGAAGTTGTATGAGCATAGGAAGAAAACCATAGATGGCGATGCCGTTGAGCGGAACCAAATTAGGTCCCGGAGCGGCTCGTTACTGGAAGCTGAGCCTGTGATTGTGCAAGATAAAGAAGCTGTGCGGGGCGACATGTCCTTTGAAGAGAGCTTGCCGGAGACTGATCACGTACACCTAGAACGACCCTCTAGCCCCCCAATGCTTCTGAAAGAATCTGATCCTCTTGGATCGTCTAACCAGGAAGAGGAACCCCAAGTCGATAATGACTCCACGGCTGCTAACACCACAATACCCAAAGCTACTGAAGATCTTTGTGGAATGACACTTCCAATTCAGTCTGATATGACAGAAAACAAGCCTTGGAGTGTCGAATTTTTGATGAGAGAGGCCATCCGGCACTACCATAGCAACAGCACCCACGTCGATACCCAGACTGCTGCTCATCTGCTCCAGAGATTACATATTCTCTTCCAAGATTGCGATAACATTCTTCCTTATGAGGAATGTGAGATGATATTCAAAACATACAACGAACAGCTGCTGCGACAATCCATGTATCTCGAGGCAGCAGAGCTGCGGCTTCTCTGTGTTCCGTCCTACCCAACCGTGTATGACTATGCACAGATGGACACTTTCATCAACGTCTTCTGTTTCAAATGCAAACGACCATACGAAAACCCGAAACAGGACAACCGTCGTTGCCATCGCTGCGATACATCTCAAGACCCTTGTGCTATCTGCATGAGTATCGACCCGCCTCCTGAATGGGTTGCGGAGCAGTCGGAATCTTTAGCGCGCGTCGAGGACTCTGAAGGAGATACCGAAGCCGCATCGCAGCTTCTGTCGTCTGGTTTGTCAACCCAAAGAGAGCCGATTCCTCCGTTTGAGATGCAGCAGTTGGACAAACCGTATTTGGACTCCTTCTCCGCTCCACGCCCCAAGGGATCATCCCTCTGGACATGGTGCCAAGGCTGCGGGCATGGCGGCCACATGGCCTGCATCGTCACATGGCTGAACGATGTCTCAATGAGCGAAGGCGGCTGCGCAACCCCAGGCTGTATGCACGACTGCGGACCAGGCCCACGTCGTGAACAGAACCGTGCTGCGCTGCTTGAGGAATCAAAACGGCGCGATCCTGTCGGCCGCAGAGCTGGCACGGGCTTCGCCAGACGAGATCGCTGGGATATGACGGAAAGTAACGCTGCGGAGAAAGCTCGGGGCATGCTGGGGGTTGGGCCTGGCATTCCGGCCGATGGTGTAACGCCCTCAGGGACGATTTCGCCAAAGAAAGTCCGGCTTGTTACACCTAGCGAGCAAGGGAAGCGACGGCCCGGCACGACTCGAGTTAGCTTGGGGGGTGCAATTGAGCAGGGAGGTCGTGATCGTCTGATGTGAGGAACACGAGACGCTTTTTTTAACTTTTATTATTATTATTTTTTTAAGTTCTTGCATTGTTTATGGTTCTGGGGCGCAGCTTTGTGTTTTTTCGGAAGGGTTATGCATAGGGAGGTTTCGTGCTGATTTCTCTTTTATTAATAGCCTTCACGTTATTGAATGAGTATGATACCCCAGTGCATATGTACTTTTATTTTGAGTTTTACAACCTTAATCAGAATGATTCTCAAGATTATCGCGATCTTTTCATGTACTGTCACGGCTAAATCGGCACAAACCAAGGAGAAAAGGACGACCATCGAGATCTGATTCTCCAGAGATCGATGCTCCGTAAAATACGGCCTCCTACTTCAATTGAAAACTAGATAGTATCCTTCCGTCGGGTTGAAAATGACACGGTAGAGTTTCTCTAATACCAACCAATCGCGCATCTTTATATACATACCATTTTTCACCAATTTTTTATGCCATCTGCTAGTGATATTCCCTTTCTTCAGAAGACGAGGTCATCGCAAGAGCCTTCTGGCAAGCGCCATCCCGAAAATCCCTCAACTTCTGCCTCCATTACCCTGCAGTAACCACCTGCTCCAACTTACCATTCCTCTCCCAATTCTCAACAACCGTCCTGGCTAACACCTCCATGGTACCGTTTTCTTCCCACTTGTCCACGATTTCCTTGGCCAGCCCTTGTGCTTTACCATTTCTCTCCCGGTTGTCTGTGACTCGCGTAGGTAATGGATTCATATGTTATTGCTGTTCTTCAATGAGGACCGGTAGGGAGTGGGATACTCATGCACGCCCAGATTCAACTCGGGGAGGTTGGTTTTGTCGCTCTCCTTTGAGTTTAGGGACTGCTGGGAGTCTGTGGTCATCTCGATTTTGTGGCAGACGCAACCGCAAACTTGGGCGTGATTGTCATTAAACCACCTGGGGAAGTCAGAATTAGTATAACTTAACATGGCAGGAAGTAACGATCTACATACTTGTAATTGATGAATCGGAACACACATTCAATTATGAAGAGAATTATTACTGACACACGAATCCTACGCCAGCCACCGAGTACAAAGCATGGTCATCGCCAATCTTATGTCTGAAATCAATATGGGGGAAGCCCCGAGCGCCCACGAATCCCCTCGAATCCAACTAGGCTTAGAACTCCAAAGCCACCTTGCAGCAGCTGTGGCATCGCGCACAGCACAGATAAAAACTACAGGAGATGAAGCCTCGGAGCTTGTCTCTGTGGTTAGCCAGAAGGTTGCTAATTTGGAAGAGAGGGGCCTACAAGGAGCTGCCTCCTTGGGCAAGGGTATCAGGACCTTGGTCTTCAATTTCAACAAGAATCTAGCGTCTGGACACCTGGCTAGAGAGGAAGAAAACCACCAACCCCCACCCACTGAACACAATAGCTATGCCGAAGCTGCAAAAACCTCCCCCAATGCCCCCCAATGCCCCCCAAAGCGCACCCCAAGCCACTCAAGGCGCTGCGCAAGCCATCACAACCTGAGAAGCACCCCCCCCCCCCTCCTCCGCATTTTCCTCCAACTCCCTAAAGACCATCCAGCCCGCCGAGCTAGCCCACATGCCACCATGGAGGTACTGAGGAAGCACCTGGACAAGACTTGCTCTACTGCTGTGAGAGAGATTAAACAGGTGCTCTCCGGCCTGGCAATCTGGCCTAAGGATGGCCTAGGCTTCCATCTCCTCTTAGAACGGGGAAATGCCCTGGAGTCTCTTATACAGGGAGCAAAGGCCGAAGTCGAGCAGAAATGGGCCATCTTGCCCTTTAAATGCGCCGCAAGATTATACTAACTATGATGGGGCCCAAGTGCCCATAGACGAACAAATGGCCCTGGGGGTGTTTAAGCTACAGACAGACCTGTCCCCCTTAGAAGTTCTATCACTCAAATAAAAGCCCACTATCCAGTACACTCATCATGGCAGTCCCCGAGGACCAAGCCCAAGCATTCCCTAAGTGGATCCACCTCTTTGGCAAGAACGTACAAACTAAGCTCAAACCCTTCCGAACTCGTATAGAGCAGTGTACACGTTGCTGGGACTATCATGACTCCTGGACCTGTACCCGCACACCTAGATGCCGCATTTGCAGCAAAAAAGATCACACTGAAGAGACCCACTCCTCTCCAGAGGATGTTGAAGCTTCAGACCCATGCTGTACCACCTGCTGCGGCCCTTTCCCAGCAGACCACCACAACTGTCCCACTAGACCTACCATACAACAGGGAGTCATCCAGTGGCTATCCAGATCACAACTCATTGCAGTCAGGAAAGCAGGTGCACGCCAACACATGCAAAAAGACCAGATTGATTGACACAACCGAGCCCCTGAAAACTCAGGCTCCCCACCCACATGAGAACAGTCTCAATCATGTTAGATAGACTATCTCACCTACAGATCCTCCAACTCAATGTTGGCCGAAACTGGGAAGCGCATGAAACTGCGCTCCAAATAGCATTCGAAAATAACTGCCATATAGTGTTGATTCGGGAAACCTGGATATTTACAGATCGTTCCTGTCGACTATCAAAACACCACCCATCATTCCACCAACTTGCCCCGATTGGGACTGGTCAGAAAGACCCCGAGTCTTCCCTTATGGCACAGCCTATCCTATCCCACCCCTGCCTAGTAGTCGGAGATTTCAATCTCAAACACCAAGGATGGCAACCCTCTGCCAAACCCTCCCAAAGAACAGAAACCTTCCTTTCTTGGACAGGATCTCAGAATCTCACCCTTACACTCCCCCCAAACTCGCTAACTCGAGGACAAAATATAATTGACCTGGTGTGGGCTAACGACTCAATGCTAACACTTGGCATATCCTCAAGAGGTGACCACAGACCTCCCTCTCTTAGCAGAACACGAGTCCATCATCACGACTATCATTTGGGGCACACAACATCCCCCCAGAGACATCCCCCCAGAGACATCCCACCCTTCTGTTGGTCCACCAACAACGAGGAGCTTTTCAAGAAGCGATCCAAGGAGAAGGAGAAGAATTGAAGGCAGCAGTCTCTACTCTCCTTTCCCTCCCTTCCTCTGCACAATTAGATGAGCTTGCAGTTAATATCACACAGGCAATCTCCATTGCACTGAAAGCCTCCACCAAACAGGCGTACCCCGGATCCGCGGGCACAGGTGGTGGAACCAGGACTGCACCAGGGTAGTCAGGACCCTCTGCAGAGTTGCACGAGATCCAACCCCCACATTGGAAGATTTAGGTGAAGCCAGAAAGGCCCTTTGCCGTGTTATTTGGCACAGCAAACGGCAGTTTGGCGCTCTAAAGTTGATGGACTCAAAGATCCGACAGTCCTCTTCAATGCATTGAAATGGAACAGAACTGAGGGCTCCCTGCCCATATCACTCTAAAGGAAGGAGACCAATTGCACACTACCACAGAGAACCAGGCAAGCTATCTAGTCCATGCACTTCTGCAAAAGCCAGACAGACAGCAGCTGGAATAAAATCACTAGCCAACAAAGTCCGAGGCGCCAGCGCACAACTACTGCGGCAAGCCACAGTTGCCTGTGTCATCTCAGTCTTATGCTATGGGGCTGAGGCCTGGTGGCAGGGCCGACGCAGACCCCGGAGCCAGACACATATATCAAACAGAGTCGACACTGCCCTATCTTGCCTTGACCAGGTGCTTAGAGAAGCCCCCCGGGGCACCCTTCCTGCATACCGCACCATCTCTATTCCAATCCTCCATCGGGAAACTGCAATCTCCCCTATGAAGATCATCCTTGATCAGAAACACGCTGCTGCCAAACTGCGTGCTTCCAGGCTGGACAACCGCCACCCAATTCTCAGACGCTCACTTCGAACACAATCTTCCCTACTAAATACACGCCTAACCCGCAATCACCTGCGTGGTTGGAGGGGATAGAACAAACTGACCCTCTGATCTATCCCCCTTGACAACCAGAGAACCTCAGTACTTTCCAAAATATCTGCTCTACCCGAGACAGGGCTTGTGCAGACTTTCACTACTGGGCAGACTCATACTCCCCACTCTTCATATTCCTCTTCACAGACGGCAGCCGCTTGAACAACTCAGACACTGCAGCTGGCGCTGGTTGGTTTGGATACTGGGGCATATGGAAGAAAGAGTCTGCCCGCGACCATCTCTCTCTCCCACAACACGAAGTTTTTGATGCAGAGGCAACTGCAGCAACAGAGGGGCTGAAGGCTGCTCTCAACAACACCTAGGCACCCTTTACTCGGAATCTATATGTCCTCCTTGACAACCAGGAAGTAGCACGACAGCTGCAGGGCTGCCCCAAGGGCTCTAGCCAGGGCTCCATCCTATCCTTCCAAGAAACTGCAAACACCTGACCCAATCGATCCCACCAGTGCCTGGCTATCCCACCCGGATGAGTGCATGTTTGCTGGATCCCTGTACATGTCGGCATTGCAGGGAACGAACAGGCTGATGAGCAATCAAAAAGAGGAGCAAGGACTACCCCACAGACCAGCCTCCCTCCTGCAAGTCTTGCCTGGACCTGCTGAACTTTGAAGGAGGAATTCTGGCGACGATTTCAAACATTCTGGGCTGAGAACGCGCCACAGCAATACCAGGACCTCTTTATTGGCCTGGATAAACAACTCCATGAACTTTCCATCCCCAGGGCTACCCTCGGCCGACTTCTTGCTGCCCGGAAAGGCCACGGAGACTTCGCCCAATACTATAAGCATTCAGACATGAAGACGCAAAGGTAGACTGCTCATGTGGGTGCCTAAAGACTCCTCATCATTTCTACTACTGCCAAAAGGGCTGCAAGGCCTCCATGCACCCTTGGGGGGGGCAGAGAGAGGTTGACAGGATCCTGCAATCAAAGTCAGGGATAAATGACTTCCATGAATGGCTTCAGACTTCTCACTTCTACCTCAAAATCTGCCCTGTACATTGACCAAAACCTTCTCACACACACACCCCCTCTCCCCCTCCACCTCCCATCAACAATGTACGTCCGCTCGCCAATGTGTATAATAGAATTAGTGTAGCTACTCGATAGGCGATCCCACTTCGCCCGTCGTATGTTCCGCTCTGAAACGGATAAACCAATAAGGCGGTTAACTCCGAGTCGGGGAAGTCGGGGAGTCGATTATCCGGACTGCACGAGGCTATATATGAAGAAGAAATTTAGATTACACGGAGGGTGACAATGATATCTATAGACACCGTAGATGGTAGAATGAGTGCTTAGCTATCTAAACGAGTGTGTGTCCGTATATGAGGGATCTGTCGGCCGAGGTAATCGGACAAACTATTGACCCACCTCAACTTTCATCACGCTCCGGGACCCATGCATCACGTGATCTTTATTGAACACGGGACCGAGTTCCTTCGACGTTAAACACAACAACAACTACTACTATATATTCCTTTTCTTAATGAGGTCCTTGTCGAAGTCTTGACAATATTACAAGAAACAATGGCAATACGCTATGAAATTGACGCCATTCAAAAAAAAAAAAAAAAAAAAAAAAAAAAAAAAAAAAAAAAAAATTGTGAAGAGTTAATATATCGCAATAGATTCGATTAGATGTGTCCATCTATATAGAGCCGTACTTAAAAGGTTCATCGTGTAACCAAAACCGCATTATCCAATCTCTAGAATTTCCGCTTCTTCTTCACAGGCGCTTTACTCTTCGCCTCCAATTGCTTCTTCAGCTCCTCCCGCTTTCTATCAGCTCTCTGCTGCTCCGTCTCTCCTTTTTCTGGTTCTGGTTCTGGTTCCTTTATTTGCGGTCTTTCCTCCTGCGACTCTTGTTTGGGTCGGATTCCTATTCCTGGTGGTGAGGGGAAACTAGATTCAGATTTACGCTTGAGGTTTGCTCTTCGTGCTGGTTCAGGTTCGGGCTCGGGTTTGGATATCTTGGAATTTTTGCTGCCGCCAATAACGCCTAGCTTTCCTGCACGTTTCGGTTTTGCTTGTTGTGATTGCGATGGAGACAGCGGAGACGCTGATTTTGGCGGCTTTGGAATTGAGGACGACGGGGCTGGAGGTGGAGGTGTAGGTTCTTTAAGTGTTTTCTTTTTGCCGTCAATTACACCCAATCTGCCATGGGGTTTCTTTTGCTGCAGTTCTTTTTCTTTGGGTTTGGGGACTGATAATGGTTGTGGTGGGGTTGGTTGATGACGTTCGTCTTGATCCGAAGCAGCATCTGAATCTGTTGGTTGATCCGAGGGCGTGGCCGATGGTGTTTTGACTGGTCTGACGGGCCGCGAGGGTGGCCCTTCGAGATCTGGGGACGATGATCTTGTTGATGGAGGTTGTGGGCATAGTTCTTTAAGTTCGGGTTCGGGCTCGGGGCTGGGTGACTTCGGTTTTGGTTTTGTCTTTGCACCGCCAATTTTGCCTAGTCCTTTGGTGGGTTTTTGTTGGACTTTTTGGGAGGGTGAAGAGGGTGACTTTCTCCCATGGGGTTGTTTTGGTTCGGGATTCTTTGAGGGTTGAGGCTCTTTCTTGTGAGGTTGTTGCTGTTTGAATCTTGGAGGTGTTTCTTGACGCTGTATAGGAATCAATGCTTAATTATTGTACTAGAAGGATGTAGTCGGGTTTTATACATACCTCAAATTCGTCGTCATCATCTTCAGAAGCTGTGTCCATATCCATTTGGCCGGTGTCCTTGGTAGCACTAAGTTTTGGCTCTGGTGTTTCCTTTCTTACCTCTGGCTCAGGGCTGGCCGCAGCAGTGCTGCGTATGTCCAGCGACCCCCACCATCCGTCTGGTGGCGGGTGGACTTTCTCCAGGTCTGAGGCCGAATCAGACCCCGAAACCTCCTCAAGGATATTTGACTTAAGCCCGGACTCAGGAGAAGACTTGCTCATCTCATCCAACCACGCCTGCTCATCAAACGGCGCAACTCCTCTGATGTATTTCGCTGCCTGGGCTAAGGATGTCTCTTTTCGAGCGCCGCGCAGCCCAGACGTGCCGGGAAAGATGGTACTTAGCTCGATACCCATCACTTCAATCTTGTCGAACAGCTTCCCAAGGACCCAATCCTTCTGTTTGAGCTGGTCGAGCAGGGTTCGTTGGTGCGATTCCCGATCCTTCTCTTCTCTCAGCAGGGGTAGAAGTAGGTGATTTGTCGCAGCAGTTATCGGTTCTTTGGACAGATATGTATTCCATTTTAGTGGTCTCAATGGAGCAGGGAGTTTCATCGTTAGATGTAGTTCTAAGGAATCGGGTTTGGCTCCGCTGGTCAGTGCCATACTGCTCCCGGGACTGTTGCAGAGGGCCTCTTCGATCTTCTGGAGCAGAACCTTGAATTGCTCAGAATCTTCGCTTGGGTCAATGGTCGTGTCATCTTCATCGGCTCTCTTGCGGATTTGTCGATTGCTGAGCTGCTCCGACCATAGTAGAGTGAGATCCGTGATGTATATCTCGTAGCCTTTAGATGTCCCGCTGTATTTATAGAGGAGCGGGGGAAGCCCCTCACGTTTTGGAAGTCGTAGTCTCTGCCATTTCGACATTCTGACACTCATATAGATGAATCTATAGAAGGGGTGTTGTTTACTATGACTGCCAGCCTCAAGGCAGCCAGTGCACGTGCCACCGCGGATCGTTCGCCGCCCGGAAACAATTCTGGAAGCTTTCGAAGAGCTGCAATTCTGTCGCCAAACAAACATTCAAAATATTTGCATTTTCCTTTCTTTAACAGACTTTGATCTTGATTCCTGCGGTATCGTCTGTTCTGTTGACTTCACAATGTCGTCGCGACTTCCGGACAGATCGAGCATGAAACGAAGCCGCTCCCGCTCTCCGTCATCCTGGCGACAACCCCAGAAAGTCCCGCGCAAATACGATGAAGGCGACCGACGGCGAGAATGGGACAATCGACCATCGCAGGGTCAACCGCGGAACATGAAAGACCAGCTGCGATTGAACCAGCTACAAGAGGACGAGCAGGTACGGGAGTGGGTGGCGCAAGAGGACATCTTCGTTCTCAAACAGGCCAAGAAGAAGGCAGAGATTCGCGTCAAGGAAGGTCGTGCGAAACCTATAGACTGGCTCGCAGTGACCCTGCGAGTGATTGATCCGACGAGGGACCCGCTGGACGATGAAATTGCAGACTCGGAGCTTGATCTGGTGGATCCAGATGGGGTGTTTGAAGGATTGTCGCAGGGGCAACTGGGTGACCTAGAGAAGGATATTGATATTTTTTTACATCTGGAGAACAACTCTCAGAACAGGGAATTCTGGAAAGTATGTCTATCTCGGTTTGCTATTACGTACCCGATGAGATGTGTAACTGACATGTTGTTCTCCAGACTATGAAGATTATATGTCGAGATCGCCAAAAGACGACCGCCCCTCAAGAACGTGCCCTCAACTCTGTCGCCGCTGATATTAACCGACTCCTCAGTCCGAAATCATACGAACAACTTCTGACGTTGGAGGTGCAGGTCAAGAAGAAGCTGGACTCCAACGAACCTATCGATACTGATTACTGGGAAGAACTACTCCGCAGTCTGGGAGTATGGAAGGCTCGGGCGAAACTGAAAAAGGTCTACCAGGCTGTCATCGAAGAACGTGTTCGGGGATTACGCCAACAACAAGCGGAAGAAGCTGAATCGGTCCGCGCCAAGCTTGCTCCTCTTGCGCCAGTAATCGAAACGGGCTTGGATGAGAAGGCAGCTGAAATTGTTGATGAGGATGAATTCCAAGGACTGGATCCTGATTCCCTGCTACAAATCCGTCCTGAGGATAAGGTTTTTGAGATAGTCGATGAGAGTGCCTTTTTGAACCAAATGGTATGTATTTCGTCGCGCGTGTTGATGGGCGTTTGCTGACGATGGTATAGGCTCGCGAGCGTCAAAAGATCATGAAAATGGGCTTCGTTCCTCTTCGCCAGCGACAGGCAGAGAAGCCATATACAGCTGCGCCGGTCAACCAGACATCTAATGCGCCAGTCACGGGCGCAATTTCTCGTTTCTCCGCGATTCCGAATGAGGACTTCTCGCAAGCGACTAAGGCACTTTACGAGAGGGAACTTGCCAAGGGTGTTAGCGAGAACGAAGAGATCTTTACCGGCGAAGAGGCTGTCAGCACCAACACACGTCCGCAATGGGCCAGCAAATACCGACCGCGCAAACCACGATACTTCAACCGGGTCCAGATGGGCTATGAATGGAACAAATACAACCAAACGCATTACGACCACGATAACCCGCCACCGAAGGTTGTCCAGGGATACAAGTTTAACATCTTCTATCCAGATCTTATCGACAAGACCAAGGCTCCGACGTACAAGATCGAACGCGAGCATGGGAGAAAACGTGGGCAGTCGTTTGCCCAGGCCGGGGAGGAGGACACATGCCTCATTCGGTTTATGGCAGGACCGCCGTATGAGGACATTGCGTTCCGGATTGTTGACAAGGAGTGGGACTATAGTGCTAAGAGGGAGCGAGGTTTCAGGACTACTTTCGACAAGGTATGTTCCGTCGCAGTATGATTATCCCAACAGTTGTGCTAACGCCAATATACAGGGCATCTTGCAACTGCATTTCCAATTCAAGAGGGTATGTTTTCTCCCCGCGCACTTTCTCTTTTCCATACTCACGATTCCTAGGTCTATTACCGCAAGTGAATTCCGTCGACAATAGCGCCAGGTTATCAATTGCGATTATGTACGATATTTGATTATCATCACAAAGTAGAAGGTGGAGCGCATGAAGTCGGTCGGCGTTTGGATCACCGCGTTCATCTGGATATAATCTCCTAGGCGACATTATTGGGCTGGAATTTTGAGCCGGCTGCGACCGTACAGGTTCAGAGCGCGCGCGGAGCTCATATGTATCATATGAAACGTTTCAGTTAATCTCCAAGATGTGCAGCCAACGGAGATTTTTCTCTTCCTTGCGAACCGTGTTCCTGATGCTTATTTTAACCTCCTATTCCTCCGTGGTTTATCGTTCAACGCCCCGTCACCGCCAATATATCACGTGCATATACCCCCGGTCCATTTTGCATTGCCCCCAGCTTCTTTTGGTTCGCCATTGTCTTCTATAATCCCAGTAACTGACTATAGAGGAAGTCGGGGTGAAAGACGGTCACACGATATGGTTCTTGCGGTCAGCAATTCCGTGGCGTCTGACTGGTTCGGAGGCAGTGGGAAGAGGCTCAGGTGTCTCTGCAGGACGAACTGAGGCGTAACAATGATGGCCAGATTCTTTTTTTCTCCTATTCCGACTACTTTTCCTTTTTCCTTGCAAGGGAATGCTTGTCAGGAACAATGCTTCAGCCTCATAGCGAAAGTACGGTGAAGATGTGTCCCCGGAAGAAAATACCCTACTGTCAGTCGGGTGGCCAGCGAGATACAGGTCAAGAAATGCAGTTATCCGGCCATGCGCTTTTACCAGTATCATATGAAAGTAACCCAGTCAGCGTCAAGGATGGTACAGTAGGTTCCTTTGAACGTATCGCCAGGTGAGCCATGCTGTAGTACAGGATACCCAGCGTCAGTTCCCAGGTAATGATCTGTCCGGACAAGTGAGGTTGCACAGTGCCGCTGTAGAACGAGCGACTAACTGGCTACTACGCTAGAATTATGAATCATTGAAAAGAGAAAGACAGTTCAGTTGGTAGAAAGCGAGGCAAGCGATGGGAAAATGCAGAAATGCAAAAAAATAAAATAAAAACAGGTGCATAAAATAATTCGAAAAAGGAAAGCACAGGAAAAGAAAAGGCAAAAAAAAAAAAGAAAATGTAAAGTTTCGATTTATTGATTTCTTTCTTTCTTTTCTTTTTTCTCGTCTTTGTCATTAATTATTTCCTTTGACAGGGACTGCATGAGATCAGCCCGCTGCATGTAGTCCATTCCTATACTATACCCCGGCACAAGTATAGTACACACACACACCGCGAGACATGCACACGCGCCTTATGCGCTGGCATAGTTTGGATTCTTCTACTTCTATAGAGGCATCGATTGAGAGAACAGGGCTTGCTTCATATTCTGACTGGTCAACATCCCTTTGGTGTTGAGGCCCTATCCGGCATCTTCCAGAGACCCGTTAAACCTGAATGACCAGGGTCTGTTATTATTTTTCTCCGGTCTGTGCCCGCTGGTATCTTTTCCTTCTTATTATTACATTGTCTACTTCCTTTATTTATTATTTTGTCTTTTCCTCTTCCTTGAAAGTCACGACTGCTTACGGGGTTCTTGTTCTCCCAAGCAAACCAGCGTTGCAAATATCATCCAGGATTCAAACGTCAGCATCATCAAGCTTGTTTGGTACAAAGCCTGTGGCTATTCGAATCGAGTCTGCTTGCTCGTGGATCTGAACCACCCGACATGGATTGTTCATCCCCCGTTTACAACCTCCAACCAGGCCAGTCTCCCGTGGACCAGGGGACTCGGCAGCATCAGCGAGATCCCTACATGGCGAAACGATTGGGGACTTCTCCCTGTGTCAGCCCTGATACTTTCGAGAGTGACTTCTTTTTCTGCGATCCTTGTCCCTCCGAGAACTGGACGGAATCCAGCCCAGACAGCGTGTTATCGAACTGGGGACTAGGAAGCTCCCATGAATCCACGCTCAGTCCGTTGTTCTCGCCTCAGAAAGTGCCGTTGTATGGATCACTTTTCGACGCTGACCACCACCAATATCGCCTCCCTCAAGACGCAGTTGATGTACCTTGCTCGACAACGACAACGACCGGGCCAGCCACAGACTCTATTAAGATAGAGCAGCATTCACCCTTGGAGACATCGATTAATCCTTTTTTCGATTGGACCTACGAAGGAGACTTCAATATATCGTATAATTTTGAAACCTATTACCCTCCCTCCTCGTCTTCAGAGATCCTGGTCTCTCCACCTCCTCAATATGAAACCTTGACCCCGACTAAAACGGAGACGAAATTGACAGTGAGCCCATCATTATCCCCACCAGCTTTTTCGGATCCTTCTCCAGTTACTTCCGTCAAGGCCGAGCCACAGCTAGATCGCGCATGTTCGCGTTCAAGCTCCAGCGTTAGCGCACCCCATGATACTTCGGACCTTCCGTATTCAAAGTTGATCTACCTTGCCCTTCTTTCTGCAATAGACAGAAAACTTCCTCTACAGGGCATTTACAGGTGGTTCGAACAGAACACTAGCAAGGGCAAGGAGGGGTCGAAGGGCTGGCAGAACAGCATCCGTCACAATCTCTCCATGAACGCAGTATGTCTCTCCTCCTTTGTTTCGGAAGTAAAACACCAATCTGACCAAACCTCCGCAGTCTTTTATGCCTTCTCGAGAGGAGTCCCCCAGCGGCAAACGAGCCGTAAACTACTGGCGACTCACGGAAGACGCAATTAAGAGAGGTGGCATCCACCCTACGACGCGATATCGAAAACAGGCGAATCAGCGAAAAGGCCTGGGATCGGAAGCCCCGGCTCCTCAACGTCAGCGGTCTGGGGCCAGAGGCGGGAAAGCAACGAAAATCATGGCCAGAAACCGCGGGCACGCCAACGCGGACGAGCTGTCACCAGCCTCGGCAGCAGCACGATATCATTCGGCCGCGGCCACGGCGGCTGCACAACGACAGCGCCAACTACAACGACAACAACAGTACTATCAGCAGCAGGCCCAGCAGCAGCAAAGGCCAATCCTGCCGCAATTGAAACTCGAGCAGGCGCAGGAGCAGCTCCAGCACGGACTCCAGCAACGGCACCAACAACAACAACAGCCGCCAAACGAACTCTATTGCTATCAGCGGTACACTCCGTGCCCCACGACAGCACTTCCAGGGTATTCCGCAGCATCGATTGACGGATTTGATTTGAGAAATCTTGTTGGCCGTGCAGACCCTCCTCGGGACATCCCTGTCACTAGCGACATGGGTGAATCGGAAAGTTTCCCGCTGGAACTTGGTGTGCTATGTGGCATGTCGTATTCGACCTACAACTCTCCCAACGGGCTTTTTCAAGATGAACAGCTTCCCAATGGACTTCCCGGCGGTGGATGGACATCTTGAGATCGCACCAGATCTTCACCTTAGTGTATAGGTGTACGTATAAACTACAGTCACGCAATTTGTACAGAAGAAATGACTACAATGAGAATTAGACTGGGGGAAGGGGAAGGGGAGAGATTGTGTGAGAGATTATTGTTAAGTCCACCCGATCCATTTTTCCTTTGTTATTGACACCGGTCACTTATGACTATCTCCTTCACTTTGCATATATTATTTTGGTCTCAAATTTTCTATTGGATACCTTTTGTTTTTTTTTTTTTGGTTTGGGGACATTATCATCTGTCTGGCGAATGAGACGGCCAGTCTACGCATACCTGTTGCATTTCGGTTACTTTACTTTGCTTTCTTTTTTATTTTGTTTTTATTCCCTCATGGTTTTCTTCATCTGGTAATGTGGCGTCCCAGAATTGGTAGATTTTTATTCGTTTTTCTTTTTTTTCCTGTTATCTCCTCCTGTGTCATGAATTATGATGATTATGATGATGACGGCGTTGATTTTGTTTCGAGGTCTACACTTGGATTATAATTGAGTGAAACGAAGAATAGCCGCCTTTCGCGGCCATGTATTTCTAAATTACTGGTTTACATAGCAGGCAGAAAAGAGTTCAAATGGACAACAGTCAGAGTTTCACCTTAACACCATACCAGTTTCCATGCAATCCGGTTTGGTTTCGAGGCCACCATAACTGATACCCAAAAAGGATTCATCGCCCAGAATACCGGATTTGGCCGGAGAGCCGGCTATTTGTCGGAGATGTATAGTGCAGTATGATATAGCTATAGTACAGAGCTATAGTTCGGAGGTGGTTATAATTGGGTAGTTACTAGTAATGACAAGACGAGTTTACTTCGCCACGGGGAATTATTGTATTCCAGATGACGAGATCAGACGGCTATCTGTCACCTGCCTAATTCTACTAAGTGAATTATTGGGAGTATTAATATTCTAAGTAATATTAATCATTGTTCCGAGGGGAAGGCTGTAACTGTAACCCTTGTCTGTATGTACCTCCGATCAGCACGGGCTGGGAGGATTTTCGACCGACGACCTGTCAGAAGGAAAAGAAAAGAGGGAGGTGGGGGTAAGGCGTATAGCAGCTAGCTGAAAGTAGAAAATATTTCAATGACAGACAGGCAAAAGAGGACAGTGCATGCATATCTACCCATCACGTTCAGCCAGTGTTCGTGACGAATCACAAGGGAACTCAGCAAAAACGAAAAAAAAAAAAAAAAAAAGGGAAAGGGCCGAAAGCCTTGCAAGCGTTGCTTTTCTTTTCTTAGTCACTTTTTCTGTGTC